GGAAAGCAGATTATCAGTTGCTTTTGTTTTTTTGAGGGACCCAACACTGGCGGTTTTCCCTTTGGGTTCCCTTTACACCAACCCCAAAAAGGGACTAAACAAAGGACGAACCACATACCAACATAAGGTGATCTTTTGGAAAATCGATGGGTTTCCTTGGTCAACGGAATCAAACCCATCTAGACCTGCGGAACCCATCTATTTCTAACCAAACTAACCGACAAAGGACACCTATGATACCCATGGCTCCCCAGTGCGTGTGTCCAACTTTGGGGTCCCAGCATGAGAGAAACTAAGAAGGACACCTCAACATACCAACTGCTGAGCTTGTAGAGTACCTCCCAGCGCTTGGCGCCGAGCTAAAGGCGGGGCGACCATCCTGGCGAGAGGATGCGTGGGGTGAGGATGGCTCCGAAATCCGAGACCGCGCCACGGTCAACGAAACCATGGCTGAAACCATGGTTTGTTGGTAATTGCGTTGGGGAACCGAAGCATCAACCAGGGTTTCTGAACGGTGCAATGGATTTCGCAACCATCCACAGTGTGTGACAAGCTGGAGACCCAGGAAATGTGGCCTCGACAGGTAGATAAACCAGCCAAAAGCCAAATGATAGGAATTTGAACTTCCCAGCGTAGTGATGAGGTCTTTCAAGGGTTGGATTGTCCAAGTCACATGCTTGGAACTCCTGGTGCCATGTCAGGTCCTTGCCCGCTCGCCAAGTCAAGGCTTTCAACTGTGAGTGTCCTGCAGTTCTGAGAATTGCTTGACCGTCCCAGGGCTGTCCCATACAAGTAGCAAAGATGTCGAAATGGGTGTGTCTGTTTTTGAGGGTACCCTTGTTGGTGGTTTCAAAGGGAAACCAAATGGACCGCTCGCATGCTTGTGGTTTCTTTTTATTGTTCTTTTTTGTGTGGGGGGAGGGTCCCTGAAAAAGACACACCCTGATTCAAAATTTTCACCTGGAACCCATTTGCTTCTGAGCGGCAAGATGCTTATCTTCCCACCGCAAGCACCCATAAAAGAAAGCACCGTGTGGTGCGGAACTCTCATGAGCACAAGCTACTATGCCAACCATGCAGGAATACTCTGGGCCGTACTCTAAAAGTTTTACTTCTAGTGGGTTGAATGGACACCCAACCACTAAACCAGCTAAAAAGATCCAAAAAGCTAAGGAACCGGATGGCTGGTTGAACCACCAAGAATACCACGGCGTCAATTCGTGCCAAAAGCTGAAAAGCCGCGTCCATCGCTCATTGCGTACTCTCTGCATTCAGAACCATTCTGACAGTAGAAAGACGCCCAAGGGACGACTTGCTAAATATATGTATGAATGAGTTATGATATGTGCATACATATATATATATATATGGGTGTTGATCAATATTTATGGCCCCCAAATGACCATGGGTAACTTCTCCTGTTTAGTGGGAAATTTCATCTTTGTAGTGGTTTCCCCCAAGTTCATCTCATGTTTGCCGGACCTTTTGATCAACCCCCATATAAATATGCAGACATATATATACACACACACACACCTTAGGCACCATAAACAGAGTGCGCCCCTTCTCCTGCCGCCCCCCCCAAAAAAAACACGACTCGATCTGAGCTTCGCGCCAGGTGTAGGAGCTGCTTCCGCCCAGCCAGCAGCACAGAGTCATTCTGGGCACATGGCATGGCTCTCGGCGTTTTTTTTTTTTTTTTGTTCTCGGGGTCTGGAAGACGCATTTCCTTTGAATTGGACCCTCCGGTCGGTTCCTTATTGGTGGACAGCAGGGAAAATTCCCGCCATCTACTTGAGTGTTCGTTGCCAGTATGTAATGGGATAGAAGCCACTGACTGGGGCTTCCTGGGTTGTACCCGAACAGTTACCGGTTACAACTTAAAGTGGAGGGGTGTTCCAACTCCAGCACCTTCCAACTTGGTTTTTTTTGACATGGGATAAAGCAGCCGTCCAGCGCGGGCTCCAAGAAAGCTCCAAATAGGTGGGGAAGCAGTAATGTCATCTTCCAAGAAGAGAAAGGTTAACCTCAAACTGAAGAGCAACCAAGTTGGTCCTGAGCGAATTTGGGCGTTTGGACTTTGCTGGTACCTTGGTTTGGCTCCCGGTCGACCGCAGTGTTGTTTGCCTTCCCGCAAATTGGCTTCCGAAGGAAGACAGGCAAAAGCCCAAGCCAATTTTGCCAATTTTCGATCTTGGATCCTTGGGCTCAGGAAGACAATGGGCCAAAGTGCGCAAATCCAATTGGGTGTGTCGGTGTGTCCTTTCTTGAGTTGGTACCCTTTTGCGGCTGGTTTTGAGAGGTCCCCGCAAAAAGACAGACCCTGAACAGGGGCCAATTGCCTGAAGGTGCTTGTTGCAACCAGATTGCTCCCAAGCCCAAAACACGCCCACGCGCGCAGAGCCTCCACCTCCCAGCAGTGAGCCACAGCTTCGAATTCAGGTGCCAATTCTGGTATGACCGGTGGCCAAAACACGCACAATCGCCGCACAAACGCATGCCAAGAATCTTACCATTGCGGGGTGTTGTGTATGTGTTCTTTGCAAAGAGTCATAACCCAACCCCCCCTCTCCCAATTCAGAGACAATGCCACACCGGTCAGCGAAACATTGGTTCCCTTTGAAACCACCCGGTCCCCCCAAAAAAGATTCCCTCAAAGAAGAAACAGGCACAGTCAAGATTACTTGTTCCCCCAAAACGACAATGGACATTTAGTGTCCCCTGCATTTGCGGGGAATTGAGTGGGACAGTCCCACAGCGCATATTTTGACCCAACCTATGGCAGATTCGGGTGTTTCGTATACAAGTATCTTCCAATGGTCGGTGCTTTGGCAGATCCCTTTCATGGCAACCCCCTTGTGGCAACCCCCCTGCGGCAATCCCCTTTTGGCACACGCCTTTGCTGAATCCTTTTTGCGTACAAACCCCAGTAAAAAAGTTCACCTTGTCTGGCCTTGACCAAATGGGTATGGGTCAAAATTCAACCACCAGGAATTGGACCGCAGGTTTTAGTCCGTGTTTCCATTTACCAGGATTCCATTTTGGGTACATATCTTTGACCCACAGCCAGATATGGACCAAAAAGGGAAAGCCAAAAGGGTCGGATCCGGTCGAATCCTCCAACGCTTTTCGATGCCCTTTGCAGGGCCAGACATAGCTGCGAAAAGTGCGGCGCGTTTGCTGGCTGAAAGGTAAACTGATGGAAACCCAAGGCCGCGAGTTGAAAAGGCAAGCCTTTGGTCTGGCAATGTTTGGGCGATGCTTTTTTCACCAAGAGAATTCTCCAGGAAACCTCATGGGCTTGGACTTAGAGAATTAGCTTCTTAGACTTTCTGAGAACACTTCCCCTCCCCTCCACAGGGAACTTTGACGGGGTCCTGGAAGAGAATTTGCCCCTAAACAAAACCCGGGTGCCTTAAAGCCCCCTGGTGCCTTAAGACCCCCTGCTTAAAGCCCCCCTGGCCCCTGGTGGCTTCCAATCCCCTGATGCCTTGAACCCTCCTGGTGGGGGAAAGCCCCCTGGCAACGTTTGAGACCAGGTCTCCGCGCCACTAGAGCGCCGTCTGCAAGCTCCACGCCGGGCAGGTTGTGCCTCTGCTTGGATGGGGTTGGGGTTGGGGGTTGGGGGGTTGGGGGGGTTTGGGGGGTTGGGGGAGTTGGGGGGGTTGGGGGGATTGGGGGGGTTGGGGGGGTTGGGGGAGTTGGGGAGTTTAGGAGGTTTAGGGTTTGGGGGGGTTTAGGGTTCCGGCAATGCGGCTTGGTCAATGTTCAACCCGGTGTTTGAAATATGTTCTATCCTTCAAGCAGTCGGGGATGTAAGCTACCAAAGCATGATCCACTGGAGGCGTGTTTTTTTTTCCGGAACCCCTCAAACTGAGCTTTGGCTTCCCTCTTGAAGCACGACCAAACACCACGTGAGCCGCAAACAGGCACACCTAAAAATGGGTCTGGTGAACCGCCCGCCCCACCATGCTTAAAAAAATCCCACGAACGCACGAAGGACCGCCAAGGGTGCCAAAACCGCACTTCCTTGGGTGTCAACCTACAGCAATGTGGGTGTCTTTTTAAGGTTGGACCCCAACATTGGTGGGTTTCCCTTTTAAACCACCAAACAAAGGGAGGACAGACGAAAACTCACGGCTGGTACAGCACCCAAGGTGCCGCGCTCCCTGCGAAAACTCGTTTGTACGATGTGTCAAAACTGTGGCTCTCCGGACCTTCGGTTTCATCTTGGCCTCCCTTTGCAAACGGGCCCTAAAGGGTCCAGCTAGCATAGGTGTATTTTTTTGCAAAATGGATGGCCCGGTAGCCCGGTAGATGATTGAACCACCACGTAAACCAGACCTCCTCACTTGAGATGTTTGGCCATGTTTGGTCCAGGGAGTTGCAACTGGGCCAACTACGATATCTGTGCTAGTAGAGTTGGCTATCCAAACGTAACCTTTACACAAGCTCAAACGGTTCTCCAAAGGTACCTGAGGTATCTGTGTTGTACATCGGGTGAAGTGGGTCTGTGTGCTGTCGGCCTTTTTCAGCTGGGGAAAGCAAAAAAACATTGACGCCATGCAGGGCGTCCAAAAAAAATGAACCCTGCTTGGGCAATGTTCAAAACCAGCAAAGGGGTGTATCTCTGTTGGAGGGTACTTTTTTTTATGCGGTTTTAAAGGAAATGCAAAAGGCAAAACTGCCGTTGTGTGAGTCCCCTAAAAGAGAAAACACACCTGTAGGTACCAAATAGGTTTGGGGGACCATACCAGATTAAGTCATGATGGCATTACCCGTACCCTAAAGGTCCAAATACCCTCCCTGCCGAGGTACTTTCACACTCTTTAAGCCCCAAAAAGAACATCCTCAAAGGGTACCAAGGGACCCTCTGAGATAGGGACCATAGTAAAATCATGACTCATGACACACCCATAACTTGGCTGACGTTGGAAGGGGAGCAACAAATCAAATTTGAGCAGTTAACCCCAACAACAACCATGATAAGAACCTCTCCCTTAGCCATTTGCTGGGCTCCCGTGCTCCTCCAGGAGCACGGCGGAGCTTTCAGTAGTCCTCGGAGCACGGCGCGAGCGACGCGAGCGGCGTGGGGCGCGGGCGTAAGGCGCAGGCAGAAGGAACACGCCCCCGCAAACTGCACACAATTCCTTGGTCTGGGCTTTCAAACAACAAATCGACTCACTGCTTTTTGCAGCCCCCCCCCTGTAAAAAAAATGAACGGACCCCAAAGACTCCAAAACCCAAAAAAATAGTGATCCAAGAATGGTGAAGCAAAGAAAGGAAAACTCACCGCCGATCTACTGGAATGGCCGAAAAGAGAAAACAAACTTATTATGTACCACAAAAATGGTCCAAACCCAAAACGTGTCAAGTCCAGGAACTCAAGAAGTGAGGAAACCTAGCTTTTGGGATGGGCTTGAAACGGAACTCTCAGGAATCGAATCCTGTTTGGAATGCAATGGAGGGTGTATTTCAAAGGGAATGCCCTCTCCAAACGAAGAAAGCAACACCGCACCACTGCTTCCTTGTTTGGGCTTGATGGCTTGAAAGAGGTGCACCTTCCCCACCGCCGGAGAGTTCTCGGAGCATCTGCAGGCGGCCATTTTTCCTCCCTAGCATGAAGATCTCCTTCAGGTCGTCGTCGATGTCCTGCCAACCCCCTCAAACGGGTGCGTCTTGGTAGGGCAGCCCAGAAAAAGACCAGTCCCGCTTTGAAAGTCCCCGATTTTAAGGCACGCCCAAGATCATCCCACCCGACAACAACCACCCAAGCTTGTTGCAACGTCAGCTCGGGCTCCCTCCGCCGTTCCAGAATGTCTCCGTAAATCACCCCAAAAAACATTCCATGGCCCGCAGGATGAGGTTCACCCAGAAACACATTGTCTAAAGGCGCAAGACTCACGGCATCGCTGCTAAAAGGAATCAACCCCTAGATAGTTGGGTGTGTCTTCTTTAAGTTTGGACGCCTCCCAAATGGCTTCGCCTTTTGGTTTCCCAAGGCCACCGAACAAGGAGCCGGGCCTCAACTGAGCTGTCCGTTTTCAGATGTCCCGCTAAAAGTTGTTTTAACTTTTAGTGGGTTAAATGGAAATCCAACCACTAAACACAAAAAGCCTAAACAGCTAAGGCTCACTTGCCCAAAGGACCCAGAAATAAAAGGTCAACCTTTTGGCACCTCCACTAAAAATGGTTCCCAAAACGGGAAACCAAATCAGATCAGGTCGATTCGCTTTGGGCACCTGAGGGGATGGCTGGGAGCCGCCCCATCTCTCCGAAGCTTTCCGCATACGTCACGTCCTCCACTTCCGCCTTTGGGCGCGGAGCAACCCGGAAGGGGCTCACCTGGGCTGGAGAAGTTTCCGGAGGGGGGTGTCCGTTTTGAACCCTTTTTTCGGGTTTGGTCTTGAAAAGCAAAAGGAACACCATGAAAATCCCCTTCTCTAACACGAAATTTCTTTAAACCCACTCTTGCTCCACACTACAAGCCCCTTTGGTGTTTTTTTGGGGCTTGCTTCCCAACGCTCACGCATAGCCTCAGGCCTTTCACCGGTTAGACCCCCAAAACGGCTTGACGGTGTTCCTTCTGGCTTCCCTTAAAAACCAACGCTATCTCGCTTCCTGGGTGGATTGCCCAGAAAAAGTCTGAGTCCGAAACGGCTGAAAGGCCACCAAAGCTGGGGGTATCCTCCAAAAATATATATTTTCCTGTTGGCTTCTCTTTAAAACCACCACAAGGGGGGGGGGGGATTTTCTGAGTGGGCTGCCCAGAAAAAGTGACCAAAGTCCGAAGCGGAACCCAGGGAGTGATGCAGTCCGAAAACCGCGCGGTGGTCCTTTTTGGTGTCCCTAAGCCACCAAACCACTGTCCTTTTTAAAGTTGGACCCCCCAAAACGGACCAAACAAGGGACGCCGGGCCTCAAAACCGACCGAACTGCCAACAAATGCGCCCCGCGCGCCCCGCGGCCCTCACCTCGCTGCCAAGGCCAGGCCCGATGGGCGCAAAGTGCCCGAAGCGAGTGGTGTGCTGGTCATAGACCTTCGAGGGGTCTGGCACCATCACCTGCGGTCGCCACCAGTCCAGCAGCTCCTGCAAAGACAGCAGCTGACAGCTAGGCGCATAGAAACCACCAGTGTTTCTTGATCAACGTTGGAGGGGATTTTTTTAGTGATCCCATGTGACCCCTGTGCTCAGGGGGGTGACCTTTTGGAAAAATGTGTATATATAAACAATATATCCCTGGTAAATGGTTTGTAAAGCCGTGGAAGCCCTCGATTTCTAACCAAACCAAGCTAAAAAGGACACCAATGGTCCCATGGTCCCCCAGTTCCATGAGACCCTTGAGGTTCCATAAAAGGTGAGGCAGGTGAAAGGTGAAGGGAGAGTCTGACCTGCCCCTAAACAAAACGACGAGCCACCCGTTTTCGCTTCAAAAAAAAAGGGGGGGAGGGGGTGATACACTCGGTTCTCACTCCGCATGGATCTCGCTCTCGCTCCAGGCGCCTCGCGATTTTCCTCGGTCGGCGGCTCAGACACGCCGCGGTTCAGGTCGAGGGGGCGCACGGCGTCCACGTCCACGAAGTGCTCGTAGCAGAGCCGCTCCTGCCAGCTGAGTCACAAAATTTCTGAAGGGGTCCTTGTGGGATGCATTGCATGGGGGGGTTGGGGGGGTTGGGGGGGGGGCTTCTCTTTTTTTTGAAAAAAACCCAGAAAAAGCTGAAGCTTCCTCGCCAGCGAATGGGAAAAGTTACCCATGGCCATCTGAGTCACTTGCTGAAAACCGATCGGTATCAAACTGATGTACCCAGAACCATGCTTCAAGAATTAGGTAATTAGGAAGCCGGAGATATCCGCCTGGCTATTTCTGGCAAGGGGATTGTCCCTAACCTTCACCAATCCCCGAATCGGTGTTGATTGCACGTGGCTCAGCTGAGTCAATCAAAACCCGCAGGTTGGTTCCAGTGTTCCAGTGGCGAGTCTGTATGTGCGTTTGTGCAGAGAGAGAGAGAGAGAGAGATATATATATACCAAACTCAGGGTTTGGGCGAGCTTCCTCTATGCCCAGTGGGTTCCTGTGGCGAGTATGTGCGTTTGTGCTTAGAGATACCAGGGTTTGGGCGATCCTCTAAAAAAAATGTCCAGTGGCGCTAGTTTTTTCTGAGACTGTCTCTGTTGAGTCACTGTATCAAACTGATCTAACCAGAGCCATGGAAAGAATTGAGAAGGCGGATATCCGCACCTACTTATGGTTGGGACTGTCACTTGCTAACTGTCACTTACCCGCGGTTTTATTGTGACTCATCTCAAACCCATCCCTTAGGGAGCCCAAGAAGAAGGTCTTCGGACCATGGATACTGGATTTGCTGGTAGGTTTGTGTTGAACATGTCAATCCATTCAAGCTCATGTCCGGGGAAACTACGAGATTCATGGGTGTGAACTTGAAAAGAAGATAGTTGGTGAACATCATTTCCTCATCATGTACGGCAGTGATGTCCGCCAACCGATTGGGAACCAAGATTCACAGCCATACCACTTCGGATGAATCTCCTGGCTGATTTTTTCCAGGGGGTGTCCCTGTTTGCTGGGGATTCATCACTTCAGGGAAGAACCCCCCCTTTTTCGGCCAGGTTTCATCCGGGGTCAACAAAAGGCACTTCGCAAACCGGAAATAGGGAAGACCCCAAGTTCTAAGGGACACTTCCAATTCCATTCTGAACCCAGGGATCCGAATCTTTCCAGAAAACCATCAGAGAAGTCAGGGGAAACGGATCCGGGTTTTGGTAAAAGAACGATGGTTGAAAATAATGGAAAAGGAATCCCCTCGACAAGTAGACCTTCACTGAGCGCCTGGCCTAGAGAGAGCGCCCCAGTACAGTGCCACTTGATTTAACCAGGGCGAAGCCCATTGCCGGAGGGGGGATTTTAAGGTGGCAGTCACGTTTCCCAGAAAGAGGCAAAAAGTTGCAGAAAACGGGTGGCTCGACTTCTTTTGAGGCACGCTACCCAGGTTCAAAGGGAAACCAAGGGGAGGAAAGCCACCTTTTTGGCGGTCCCCTAAGTTTGACTCACCGGTATCCGCTGCGCACCAAGGATTTGCTCCGTCATTTGCCACTTCCTTCCGGCATATGTGTTTTGTCCCTAGAAAATGCGCAACGCGTCTATAGAAGGGAAACCTCTGGCATGCCTCTTGGCAGAATCATCGAGCTTTCAGCTGCTACCTTGCTTCAAATGCGCGGACTTTCCATCGAAAGAGTTCGAATCTACTAGCTGCGATTCGCACACTCGCGACCACAACCTTGCAAAGTGTACCGGTTTGGAGGGCAACCTGGAATCTCAAATCGGTGATCTTGGCGGAGGGGCCCTCATGTCTGCCAACACATTGTTGCAGCTTAGTTGGGAGAAACATCAACATGGAAGCGCCCACCCAAGTAACAAAGTATCCTCTTGGGAAGGCCCCCTGTGCTTCCAGATTTGTTGGTGGAATTGCATTGGCTTCCTGCAAGCAAGGGAGGTTCCCTGTGCGGATCATGCCTTGGAGATGAGGTTGAATGATTTGGTGGCCATATGGCTATGTGGCAGTTTAAACCAACCTGAAAAGGGTACCTAACTCAAAACAACAAACCCAACATCTGGGCTACATCAAAAACAAGTGTTCAAATGATGTTGCATGATACGTCCAGAATGGTTTGAGACTATGTGCAAACTATGTTCAAATGTGTTTATAAATGTATATGTTTATAAATCTACATAATGTGTGTACATATATATATATATCTGTATGTATAAAGTACTAGCTAGTTTCAGATGATGCTTCATTTTTCGTCTACCCTACTAAAACATATCCAAAACAAAGTGTTTGAGGAATCCTTCCAACTTATACCTAGGTCCTCCAGTAGAGAGGTTAGAATAAGTTGGTACCAACCTTTTTCAGGACGTCTATTTTAGGGGAACCCTCCCAACCCAAAGAGAAACGGTAAAAGTTGGCACCTAGCTGGGGGACCTATACCCAACGGGCCCCAAGGCGCTGGACGCACCTCGCCCCTCGCTGATTCGCTCGATCGCTCGCCTCCCCAGGCGCGAGGTCAATGCCCAGCGCCAGCTTCACAGGCAGCACCTCTGCCCGGGGTGAAAGCGCGTAAGTCGCAATCAAAACCTGGTACAGGAATAAGAAGGCGGATATCCGCAGCTGCTTAAATTAGGTGTGTGTGTGTGTGATGTGTGTCAAGTGTGTGGTGTGTGTGCGTGTGATGCGTGTGATGTGTGTGTGTGTGTGATGTGTGTGATGTGTGTGATGTGTGTGATGTGTGTGCGTGTGATGCGTGTGATGCATGTTTATGTGTGCTTGTGTTTATGTGTGTGTGATGTGTGTGATGTGTGTGTGTGTGTGATGTGTGTGTGTGTGTGTCGTGTGTGTGTGTGAAGTGTGTGATGTGTGTGGTGTGTGTGGTGTGTGTGGTGTGTGTGTGTGATGTGTGTGATATGTGTGATGTGTGTGTGTAATGTGTGGGTGTGTGGGTGTGTGTGTGGGTGTGTGTGTGTCGTGTGTGTCGTGTGTGTGTGTTGTGCGTGTGTGTGTGTGTGTTGTGTGTGTGGTGTGTGTGTTTGTGGTGTGTGTGTGGTGTGTGTGTGTGTTGTTGGTGTGTGTGGTGTGTGTGGTGTGTGTGTGTGTGGTGTGTGTGTGTGTGGTGTGTGGTGTGTGGTGTGTGTGTGTGACGTGTGTAATGTGTGTGTGATGTGTGTGTGTGAAGTGTGTGATGCGTGTGACGCGTGTGCTATGTGTGCTATGTGTAAAGTGTGTGATGCGCGTGATGCGTGTGCTATGTGTGATGTGTGTGTGTGATATCATATGTGTCATATGATAAGTGTGATAAGTGTGATAAGTGTGATATGTGTGATATGTGTGATATGTGTGATATGTGTGATATGTGTGATATGTGTGTGTGTGATATCATATGTGTCAAATGATATGTGTGATGCGTGTGTGTGATATGTGTGATATGTGTGATATGTGTGATATGTGTGATATGTGTGATATGTGTGTGTGTGATATGTGTGTGATATGTGTGTGATAGGTGTGATAGGTGTGATAGGTGCGATACGTGCGATACGTGCGAGATGTGCGCGATGTGCGCGATGTGTGCTCTGTGCTGTGCTGTGTGGGTGTGTGTGTGTGTGTAGGTGTGTGTGTGTGGCCGTGTGTGTGTGTGTGTGGGTGTGTGTGTGTGTGGGTGTGTGTGGGTGTGTGTGTGTGTGTGTCTGTGGGTGTGTGTGTGTGGGTGTGTGTGGGTGTGTGTGTGTGTGGGCGTGTGTGTGTGTGCGGGTGTGTGTGTGTGTGTGTTGTTGGTGTGTGTGGTGTGTGTGTGTGTGTGGTGTGTGTGTGTGGTGTGTGTGTGGTGTGTGGTGTATGTGTGTGTGTGACGTGTGTAATGTGTGTGTGATGTGTGTGTGTGTGAAGTGTGTGAAGTGTGTGATGCGTGTGCTATGTGTGCTATGTGTAAAGTGTGTGATGCGCGTGATGCGTGTGCTATGTGTGATGTGTGTGTGTGTGTGTGATATCATATGTGTCATATGATATGTGTGATATGTGTGTGTGTGTGATATGTGTGATATGTGTGATATGTGTGATATGTGTGTGTGATATGTGTGTGATAGGTGTGATAGGTGTGATAGGTGCGATACGTGCGATACGTGCGAGATGCGCGCGATGTGCGCGACGTGTGCTCTGTGCTGTGCGTTGTGGGTGTGTGTGTGTAGGTGTGTGTGTGTGGCCGTGTGTGTGTGTGTGGGTGTGTGTTTGTGTGGGTGTGTGTGGGTGTGTGTGTCTGTGTGGGTGTGTGTGGGTGTGTGTGTGTCTGTGTGTGTGTGGGTGTGTGTGGGTGTGTGTGTGTGTGCGTGTGGGCGTGTGTGTGTGTGTGTGTGCGTGTGTGTGTGTGTGTTGTTGGTGTGTGTGGTGTGTGTGTGTGGTGTGTGTGCGTGGTGTGTGGTGTGTGTGTGTGACGTGTGTAGTGTGTGCGTGTGATGTGTGTGTGAGCTGTGTGATGCAGATGCGTAAAGCATGCGATGCAGACCTGCAACAGGATTTGAAGCAGGATGGTGTGGGTGTGGATGACCATGCTAACACACTGATGTGTATGTGAGACGACATGTGATGCTGTGTGTGTGTTTGGTGGATGGCGGCAGATGTTGGCAGATAGGTGTGATAGGTGCGATACGTGCGATACGTGCGAGATGTGCGCGATGTGCGCGATGTGTGCTCTGTGCTGTGCTGTGGGTGTGTGTGTGTGTGTAGGTGTGTGGTGTGTGTGGCCGTGTGTGTGTGTGTGTCTGTGTGTGTGTGTGGCCGTGTGTGTGTGTGTGTCTGTGTGTGTGTGCGTGTGTGTGTGTGTGTGTGTGTGTAGGTTAGGGTAGGCGTAAGGCAGGGTGTGTGTGGTGGTGCTAAGGGCATACAGGTGTGTGTGGGTGGTGGAAGGGCATGTGGTGTGGGTGTGTGTGTGTGGGTACAGCATACATGTGTTATACAGGTGGGGGTGTGTGTGCTGGTGTTGTGTGTGGGTATGTATGTTAGGTAAAGTAAGGCAGGGTGGGTGGTAAAGGCATACAGGTGTGTGTGTGTGTGTCACATGGGCATGCTGTGTGTATGTAGTGTGCATACAGTGTGTGTGTGTGTGCTGTGTGTGCTACATGTGTGTGTGTGTGTGTGTGTGTGCATGCAGGTGGGTGTGGCATGCAGGCAGGTGGTGGGTGTGTGTGTGTGCTGTGGTGTGTGTGTGTGGGATATACACATGTACAGGTGTGTGTGTGGCAAACAAACACGTTTGTAAAGGCATGTGTGTGTGTGTGTGTGTGCGTGCTGTGTGTGGGGAAGGCATGGGCATGCAGGTGTGTGTGTGCACATGCAGGTGTGTGTGTGTGTGTGCTGCAGGCACAGTGTGTGTGTGTGTGTGTGTGTGTGCTTGCGTGTGTGTGTGTGCGCGTTGTGTGTGTGTGTGTGCTGTGTGCGTGTGTGTGTGTGTGTGTGTGCGTGCGTGTGTGTGGGTGTGCGCGCCACGCAGGTGGTGCGGGTCGCCACGCTGGTGGCAAGGCAATGGCGAGGGCAAGGTCGCCTCGTGCCATCATCCGCTCGCCGGGCACCACAGGCGGGGGGTCACAGGCAACGCACGTGCGCACGCAGGTGGTGGGGCGGTGGGTGTCGCACGCGAGGCGGGGCAGGTCAAGACGCGCACGCAGCACGGTGGGCCGCATCGCAGCGCGGGCATGCGCCACGCTACGCAGCGCCAGCCGAGGTGGCAGGCACGCAGGACTTTGAGAGGCTGAGGTGCTGTCGGATTCAATGGGTGTAAAAAAGCCACGCGCAGGTGGCGGCGGGATGGATTCAAGACACAGCGAGGGCGGGCAGGCAGGTACGTCACGCCACGCAGGTGCAGTCCAGGCCGGGCGAAGGCGGGGTGGCAATGGCGCACGCGAGCCGCAGGCAGGCCGCAGGTGGAGGTCGCACACACAGGCGGCAGGCACGAGGTGGTGGCAGGTCACATTGCCACGCAGGCAGGTGGTGGCAATGCACAAGCAGGTGGGGCAGGCAGGCCGCACGCAGGCGTGCCGTCACTAGCAGGCAGGTACACACACACATCAGGTCACAGGTGGTGGGTGCACACCATACGTCATTTATGGTACAAGCAGTGCAGGCCGCGCGAGGTACAAGTACAAGCAGGCACAAGCATGCTACACCATGGCAGGTGGTGGTGGTCAGGCAGGTACGTACTACAGGCAGGCAGGCACGCCACTGCAGGCAGGCATGCGCCAGGTGGCAGGTACGCCACACGTACATGCAGGGCGCATGGCCACTATGTGGGTGGTGGTATACACATACATACAGGTGGTGGTGTCAGCAGGTGGTGGTAGGTGGCAAGATCCAAGACAGCAGGTGGTGGTGGTGGTGGAGGTCAGGCATTACAGGTGGTGCAGGCAGGTGTCGCATACATCGCTATATATGCCGCAGGTGGTGTCGTTAACAGGTGTCGCAGGTAAGGTGGGTATGCGGATGATGGGCGGGCGGCGGCCGCCACGCAGGTCGCAGGCGTGCACGCACGCACGCAGGTGTGTGTGTACGCAGGTGGGTGGGTCACACAAAGCACGCGGGCGCAGGTGGCAAGGCACGCATCGTCAGGCACTGGTGGCGGTAAGGCACGCCACGAGGTCACAGGCAGGCGTCGCAGGCAGGTGGTCACACACACACGCAGGTGGCAGGCAGGTGTCGCCACGCACGAGCGGGTATGGTCCACGCACGCAGGTGGTGGCACGCCACGTTATCGCAGGTGGTGGTCACATGGCAAGTGTGGTGGTCACACATCACATGGCAAGGTCATGGAGGTAAAGGCATCACACGAACAGGTGGTGGCACGCCACGTTATGGTATGGTGGCAGTGGCAGGTGGACTCCTAAAAGCATTTTCCTTCTGCGGTGGCAGGTGGCATGGCCATCGAACAAATATGAAAACAAACAAGACAAGACAAGACGTAAGCAGTAAGGTCAAGACAGCACAAGCATACATCATTATCGCCACGCTATCGCATCGCCATCGCCATCAGCATCGCCATACCACGCTAACGCCATCGCCACGTCATCACGTGCGTGCGTGCGTGCGTGCGTGCGTGCGTGCGTGCGTGCGTGCGTGCGTGCGTGCGTGCGTGCGTGCGTGCGTGCGTGCGTGCGTGCGTGCGTGCGTGCGTGCGTGAGTGCGTGCGTGCGTGCGTGCGTGCGTGCGTGCGTGCGTGCGTGCGTGCGTGCGTGCGTGCGTGCGTGCGTGCGTGGGTGGGTGGGTGGGTGGGTGGGTGGGTGGGTGTGTGTGTGTGTGTGTGTGGGTGCGTGCGTGTGTGCGTGTGTGTGTGTGTGTGCGTGTGTGTGTGTGTGTGTGTGTATGTGTGTGTGCGTGCGTGCGTGCGTGTGTGCTGTGCTGTGTGTCTGTGTGTGTGTGTGTTTGGGTTTATGTGGTCCCCTTTTGGTTGGAAAAGGGAAACCTAAAGGAAGCCACACACTTTTGTTTTTTGGGGTGGGGGGGGGGGGGAATATGGAAACCGCCTCTCAACTACCTAGGGGATCAGCCACTAGACACGATAGACAGGGTACATGCACCAATTTGCCCTGCGGGTAGTGCTTGCGGATTAGTGGAAACCATCTTAGAATGTGTCAATTGAGCGGCCCTTTGAGGGACATCAGAAACACATGGTGACTTATGTCCATGTATGAACTCTATGGGGACTTACATGGTGGACATCATTTATACGGCCATTTGGGATTTCCCTCAGGCTCCCTTTCTGTTGGTCATGAAAGAAGAAAAAAACAGAAATGAGGGAACAGTGCCATCCACTGGCCTGTGATTTTCTGTCCAGCGCCTCCCCCTGGAAAAATAGACATGGCCTGGGGCTGACCGCGTGGCTTCCAGGTCAGCCCCCACCTACGGACTGCCCGATCCTAATGCCCCTGACAGTACAGCAATTTTGCACGAAACGCCGGCGCGATAAGGCTGACGCTTAAGGCTTGGCATGGATGCAGACTCCAAAGGCAAGCATAGCGGCCTTGCCGCAGGAGAGCCAAGCTTGGCAGATACACCCTGGCAATTCTACACACTCGCAGTTGCATTGTTCCTGGCTTGGGGCATGAATAGATGAAGCTGAGACCAAGGTGTCCTTCTTACACGCCCTCTCAGTGAATCTGCTGCCACTGACCGCTGCTTGTTTCCCTAGCCCAGTTGAGATCATTGGAGCCATTTGCCGAGGTTCCTGATAGAGGGCAACCCACCCAAACAAAAAAAAAACACAGAAAAAACGAGTATCCAGGACTCCCCTTGCGCATTTCCCTATAGGAACAAATGTCTGTGGGTCAAAACCAATACCATTTTTGGGCTAGGTGCACCACCCATTTTAGATGGGTGCCACCTCTCTCTCTCTGTCTTTCTGACCTGGGCGCCACCTCGCCCAAGACGTGCCCCAAGAACCCCTCCGGCAGCAGACTCTCCTGAACGCCATGCCCCAAAGACCCGGTGACGGCGTGGATGGAAAGATCACACGACACAAGAAGAAACCGAACCAGTTTGCCTTGAGATGCAATCGGATGGATAGAAAGCTGGCCAGGAACTTGAAGAAATCCGAACCAATGTGGCACCCTGGATTGCCAACTGACTTAACAGGAGAAAGGCAGAAACACGGACGCCAACCGCTCGGAGCCCAACTCTCGCATCGAACTTCATCGTTCGAGCCCATGCTCAGCGTACTTACGAGTCTTGAACTGAACCCGACCCCAGCCCTGTGACCCAAGACAAAGGAAAACCATGTGAGTCACAATCAAAATCCGGTATTAAAATGGTCTACCCAGAACCATGTAAAGAATTAAGAAGGCGGATATCCGCAACTATTTCTGGCTGGGACTGCCCCTTACTAACCTTCATCTACCCGGGTTTTGATTGTGGCTCATGTTGCTGCTTTTTTGGGGGAAAAGGGAGGCCAAAAGCCCAAAGAAGGGACTCGGGTGTTTTTGGTGTGTTTGTTCTGCTTCTTCTTTTAGGAGCACCCTGTTGGAATGTGCTCAAAAGGGAAACTAAAAAAAAAACGCTGGTTTCTGCTCTCTGTTTTTCTCCCCCGCTGCAAGTTGCTCTCTGCCCGAGGCTTGTTCGGGGCAGCTTTCAGGGAGGGTTCCTTTGGAAACCGGAGCTCCCCTCGGTTGCTTTCTGCTCCCCTGCTAAAAGTTTAACTTTTGGTGGTTTAAATCGGAAAACCCCTTTGGTTGGCAAAAAGTTCTCAAGTCCTGACATCCCTGGGCAAATTTTGCCACAAAGTCCCACCAGGTGCCGCCGCCCGCGTGGCTCGCTCCTGAAAGCGCTCCACCGGCTTCCCCTTCGCGAAGCGTCCGCTGTCCCCGGGCCGCACGAAGCCCTCCGGCTCGAAGCGGAGACTCAGCCCGTGCCTGGCGAAGCGCGCGAGGCGCTCGGGGTCTTTCACCGCGCAGAAAGCGGCCGGCTTCAAACGAAACCGGCTAGTTCGATAAGCAGGGAAGGAGAAACGGAATGACCCCTATATAAACCATCCGACTTGTGGTTTGCTTTAAGGGAGTCCCAAAACAGTTCATTCGCAACACCCGAACTCGGTCATTCCCTACCTATCGCACCAGCTAAATGAATGGGGGCATGGGACTGCTCGGTTCCATGGATTTGTTTTTGGAAAGTACGTCTGATACTCGGAAAAACGAAGAATGAGATATTCTGGACAACCGACTTCTGTGCAAATCAGTTGTAAGGTCTTTTTGTGAGGCTCAGGCTCAGGTAGCCCTTCTGGCGCGGTCTAAAATGAGTGGGAGCCACAGGTGGTGTGCGCTTCCATGGTGGAAACCTTCTATTGACCCTTTCAAATCCGCATGCAAGACAGAGAGGAGGAAACGGACGCCGACCTTTGTCTTCACGCTGGTCGGGTCACTTGGAGACTCAAAGGAAAGGACTGCCTGCGACCCCATAGGTCGCAGGCAGTCCTTTCGCATGTTGCTTGGCGCGCGCGTACGCTGGGTTTTAAGGGGAGTACAACACAACGAAGAAAGGACCAAGAAAGAGCACCTCCCCAACCTGCTGACTAGGGCCATCCTCTTCATAAATTTCAGGCAACGGAGTGTCTTCCAAATACATCACACCCATGGAGCCGCCATCGTCCAACGCGATGATTGCTAAGCAAATTGCTACCCTTGGAAACTGGGAATGAAAAGAAATCCAAAGGATCAATCATCGCAGGTTTCTCCGTGGCTGTGGGTAGGAGAATCGCATACTCGCCTGCCCAAAGGCATTGGACACCAGATCACTGATCATAGATACCAGTTTTGACCAAAACAATGCACACGCTCCAGGATTTCCCAACTGGGACGTTCAGCCCGCTAGTTCCTATTAAAGCCATCAAGACCAGCTTACTGGTGAGTCGCCTGAAAAGGCGACTCTAAGCAGCCCTCCTTTTTGGCTCTCAGAACTTCTGTCTGAGAACTTCTCATCAGGTTCTAAGGGAAAATTAGGAAAAGGCCTGGTTTCGCCAAGAGGAGTGCGGTGCGGGGCTCCCTAGAATTCCCCTGTAAACATCACGCAAGGTCACTGTAAGCTTCCCGGTTAATACTGCAAAAAGTAGAAATACACACCAGGCCGAGTTGGTAGATGACAATTTCCACAGGGCGATGACCAAACCTCAACAGTTTGGACTCTTGAATTCGGCATATTTCAGCCCACCTTACAAGACCCAAGATCAATTGGGCGTGTCTGTTTTCAGAGTACCCTTTTTGATTGGCTTAAAGCGGAACCCAAAGGCTATTTGTCCAATGTGGGATCTGGATAATTACCCTTTTTCAACGAGACAAACCCACTTGGCCCATAACTTCCGTTTGTTTAAGCCCCCTGGACAAAATGAACATATTTCCAGTAGTGATGGGTTCCCTTTAAAACCAGCAAGGGAAACTAAAACATCTCTACTCTTGGTATGGTAGCACAAAACGTTGTTTTTTGCAGACCCCCAGTAAAAATGAACAGAACCAAAAACTAAAAAAACAAAAAACATGCCAAGAACAGCAAAGAACAAATGTTCATTTCAGCAAACGGATGATAAGGGGTGCGGCCCTCGCAAGCCCGCCCCTCGCCGCCTAGCCGCTGCGTCTCTCTCTCTCTCTCTCTCTCTCTCTCTCTCTCTCTGGGGCCCCCCGGCAAGGCGCCCTGCTCCACGCAAGACACCCATCGCAGGTCGCCGCCCAAACCTTCCATTTGGTGAAGACCCCTGGAAAAAGTACAAAAAAATCGTCCGGTAGTGATAAGTTCCTTTCAAAACCAACGAGGGAAAATCAAAATAAAACATCTCTACTCTTGGTATGGCAGCGACATACTTTATTTTTTGCAGACCCCCCGGCAAAAAATTTAACAGAACCAAAAAAAACCTAAAAAACCAAAAAAACATGATCCAAGAACAGCAAACACATGCCAAAAACATTATAAAAAAAAGAAATGCCAAGAGCAGCGAAGAAAAAACAAAAACTTAAGCCGCATTCAAGAGACCGTAGCGCACGTGGATGCCGTCGGAGGGCACGAAGCGCGGCTTTGCCCAGTACGCCTCACCCAGCTCCGGCGGCGCCTGCGCCGGTGGTCGGTTTTTTGTTCTTTTTCTGGTTGGTTTGCTGTTAAACTAAGCAGAAATTGGGTTCTTTCAGGAAAACATTTCAGAAACTCTTGTCTTTGAATCCTGCTTCTTTTCTGGCTGGTTCGATAGGCAGGGGATGAGAAATGGAATCACCGGCAAGTTTTTGGGTGGGGACGGTGGGGCGACTTCAACAGGTGGCCACAGCGATGTGGAAAAAAATGGGCGGGGCGACTTCAAGAGGTGGGCCGATTTTCCACGGAGCCGCCAACAAATCCCAGATTTGTTGGTGGATGCGTTGATGTTTGGTGCCTCCCCTACTACCAAAGGGGTAGCAAAACGCAGCTGTGAGCATCCTGGGTGGACGCGTTGCGGGACCCATCGATTTCGAACCAAACCAATCTACAAAGGGACACCTATGATACCCATGGCCCCCGAGCTCCATGAGACGGAGGTTCCATATGGGTCCATGAGAGGTTCTACCCCAAAGATCCCTGTCCAAGAAGGGTTTTTTTGCTGGTTTAGATTGGCTTTGCCCATTTTACCAAAAGGACACCATAAATTGGGTGTGGCTCAAAATTAAACAGCCAGGGTTGCGCAGGTTTTGGTCCATGTTTCCACTTACCAGGGCTCCATTTTGGTACCGGTTTTTTTAGCCACGGCCAAATAAAGCTACGGGGGTACCCAGACACCCTCTGGCTCGAAGAAAACTCGCCGCACCTCGCCGTAGCATAGGTGTCCCTTTGAGTAAAATAGATGGGTGAAACCCTGGCAAATGGGTCATCTAAACCAGTGGAACCTATTTGATTTATTTAATATAAGTGATTAAAAGGATTATCTATGAGCACAATAGGTGTCGTTTTAGGGGAAATAGATGGCCCTGGTAGATGCTTAAACCACCTGGTAAACCAGGAATCGCCCTCTATTTTTCAACCAAACAAAGGTCCTCCAGTAGAGAGGCTAGAATAAGGGTACCCTTTTTGCTGCTGCAGTCTATTTTAGTAGGGGAACCCTCCCAACCAAAAAGTTTGTAAACGTTGGCACCTAGCTGGGGGACCTAGAAAACATCCAAAAAGGACACCCATGCCTCTGAGCCGTCGCCTGATGCTCCCGCCTGGCTGCACGCCGTCTGCGCCAGGCGCCGGCCGGGCTGCAGCGGCCAAATCGCCGCCAGGCCGCCGTGGCCGTGGTGCGCCGCCACGCCCACGCCGCAGCGGAACCGCACCTCGAGATTTCTCGTTTTGGGCAGCTGGGGGGGGGGGAGGGTGGTGGGGGGGAGGGTGGGGGGGAGGGTGGGGAGAGGGTGGGGGGGAGGGTGGGGAGAGGGTGGGGGGGAGGGTGGGGAGAGGGTGGGGGGAGGGGGTGGCACCGGTGTGGGTCACAAATAGGGAAACCCCAAAATGGGTTGCCATGGTAAATGGAAACAATGACCGAAACCTGCAGGCCCAAGTCAGCAACCAAATCAGTCTGCCAAGAAATAAACGACCAACCGGTGGCTATTGGTGGACTTTGGGGCAGGTGTATGGCTGTAACGAAGTTCGATGCAATGGTGCAGGGGGAAGGCCAGAGGTGTTTTTGGTGGATGGGGCAGAACTTGCTGAAGGCAGAACTGTGAAGTCTGCCAGGAAAGCAGCAACAAACAGGCTTGCTATTGGTGTGAGGCCACTTTCTAGGCGGGGGTGGGGCAGAATTTCCGGAAGGCGAATTCTACTCGCAGTAGCTTTACGGCCGAAAAATATCCTTGCGGTGTCAGGGATCCTTACATTTTTCACCTAAACATTGCCTTGTAAATGGTGGTTTCCCCTTATTTTGGTGGAAAAAGCCATGTTTCAAATGGTGAAACCCTTGGGTGTCAAAGACCCTTTCAACCATAGTGGGACCTCTGGCGAAGGGTCAAAGGTTGGGCCCTCACGGATCGCTTCCGTGCCCAAACTCCTCGTCTTTCTTTTGGGGGTGCCCTTTTTTAAGGCGGACTAGAGCAACCCAAAAAAAACCTATTTATAAATCCACTATTTAAAACAAACCCAGACATGTAAGCCATGCTTCATCCTTTTCTCAGCCTATCCCCAAGTAAATGGGTCTTTGGACCACACATGTTTCCTCGGTTCCTTTCTGCTCCCCTGCTAAAAGTGAATAACTTTTAGTGGTTTAATACGGAAAACCCATTAGTTGGCAAAAAGTTCTTCAGTCCGAACATCCCTTGGCAACATGCACCAAACACCTTTGGTGCTTGGCCAGCCGTAGCTGCAAAACCCACGCCTCCCGGACGATGTTTGATCCCAAGGGAAAGTCTAAGGGGCCCACGTGCCTGGGCGCTGCCTGGCCATGTTGACTTCAGACCTTGAGAACTTGAGAACTCCAGTGCTGTGGGTGGTTGCGAAATCCTCATTTCGGCACCACCGTTCAGAAATCCAGGTTTCTGATTCGACTCCCCAACGGTAAATACCAACAAGCTCTGGCTTCCCCTGGGTTCAAAGTGGTGCGAACGGATTTTGTCCATCCACGGTATGGCTGTCGGGGGCGACAGAGAAAACTGGGAATGGTCCCCAACCCGATTGGCCCCTGCACCCAAACAAGTCGCTGAAATCGCCCCTAGGATTGGGGAATCGCCCCCCTACTAAAGACTCGGCCTTGACAACCATAGGATCCAGTGGCACCGTGGAACCTGACGTATTTCATAAGCCGCCCTCAATGCCTATGCGGCGATGAACCGGTTTTTGGGCGCCTCGTATGGTTCTTCAGGCTCTTCTGAAAAGAACCGATCAGCATATCCCCACTTTGGATTTGGGGAAATCCGGGTGGACGTGTCTTTTGAGGGACAACCAGTTTAGTTCCCGCCTTCTTGACACCAATATGGCTTCGGCGCAAAACAAAAATGGCATGGACCCCAAAAAACAGGTGGTCCCCTTTTGAGGCTTTCCTTAAAATTAAAGCCCCCCCCAAAAAAAAACAACACACACACACAAGGAACTGCTCTTTTGGTGGTTTTCCTTAAAGCCCCGCCAAAAAACGGAAATTCCGACCAAGGAAGCGTTGGGTGACCTCCCAACACCTTCTCCAAGCCTCGGACCCCAACTCCCCCAACTCCCCGCCCCCCCGGCCACAGCGTTGGAATCCAGCGCCGTGAAGCCTCGCTGCCGCCCGGGGAACCGGTCCTCGGCTCGAGCCAAGAGATGCGCAGGCAGGGGTCATTTTTGTGCATATATATATATATATATATATGTATGTGTATATATATATATATATACACATATATGTATATATATACATATATATATATATACTCTGGGCTGTCTGTTTTCAGATCCCCTGCTAAAAGTTGTTAACTTTTAGTGGGTGAAATGGAAATCCCCACTAAAGACGAAAAGGCTAAAAGGTTAAGGGGATGGCATGGACCAAAACCTGCAGAACCCCTCCTGTTTAATTTTGAGCCACACCCATATATACATGCTGTGGGTGCACGCAATCTTGCACCGCTTTAAAACCAAGAGAAACCTTTACGTTTGTTGGTATTTACCGGGAATCATCATTCCAGGGTTTCTTAGGTGGCGCAGGATTCCGTCCATCCACTGTAGTTCCATATTACGTGAAGACATACATGTACGCATACATATATTCATATATCACATGATATGATCAACTCTGTGATATCAAGTGGCATAACAACATGGCATAACATGGCATGGTGTAGTTTGATATTATATGATATGACTTGACATGTGATGTGTGATGTATGATGTATGTTATACGATATATGACGTGTGTTACACATAATGCATGATATTTGATACATGATAGATGACATATGACCTGCGATATATGTTGTATGATACATGAATTGAGAAATGCTATGCGTGTCATATGTTGTATATGATATATGATGTATGATATATGGTGTGTGGGTTGCATGGTATATGAGTTATGAAGTACCAAATATGTTATATGATAAAATGACAGAATATTCGACTTATGATATGTTGTATATGATATGCACCATGTATGACATGACACGCCTTGGTATAATATGATATGACATATGGTGTATGACGTATGAAACATACATGAGATGTGACATATGGTATAATGCATGTATGTATATATAATCTATACTATGCCACTATATGATATTATATGTTGTGTATGTATATTGGTATGGCCCACACCCGAACAAAACACTGCACAATTTCAGTTGGGAAACCGGGGTTGGTGTTTTTGGCAAACCTCTTAGGTGGGTTGGACGTAGGGCCTCAATGGCTGATCTGTCCAGCAAGGATAATATGTTCGGATCCTGGGCTAAGTCAGCGAGGAAGCAGCAGACCCTTCATGGACATGAGGAGTCAGGGACCCGAAATCACCCAAATGTCGATGGTCATCATCTCCAAGGCTGTACCCAAACCGAATTAAGGGGTACGTCAGGAACGCAGGGGCCGGCCCCTAGCTCTGAAACTTGTCCGGCTGCCCACTGAAAAACCCCTGATTGGACGGTCTTAAAAGGGGATGTTAAACGTGAAACTGCTCTTGTGGGGAGTTCAAAACCTAAGGGAAGCTTTCCAAACACCAAGGAAGCTTTGGATGATCTTTGAAACTGGGCTGTCCGTTTTCAGATCCCCTGCTAAAAGTTCAGCTTGTGGGTGAAATGGAAACCCAACCACCTAGATCCTCCAGTAGAGAGGCTAGAACAAGGGCACCCACTTGTTTTCAGGACCGTCTATTTTAGGGGAACCCTCCCCCCCAAAGAAAAAAGCTGGCGAGAAAGTTGGCACCACTGGCTGGGGGACCGAGCCACCTAAAATCGGGATCCTTACGTTAGACACCTGAACCTTGCAACTTGTCAATGCTGGCTTCCCCCTTTTTGGATGGAAAAAAGCCACGTTTCCACCGGTGGCAACATGTATCTTTTATGGAGCCCTGTGTTAGAACAACCTTTTTGGAGTGTATTTTTGAGTAGCCTTCCTCCCAACATGGAGATCCTTTTATGGCGCCCCGCTAAAAAACCGGCTCAAAGCCCAGCTGGAAAGCCGCCAGCCCAAGCTGCCGAGTCCGCCAGCCGCAGCACGTCCCGAGCCGAGAAGGGCGCCATCGATGGTGAAGTTTTCACCGAGAAATCGAGCTGTGCTTAGAAGGACACGTGACAGGTCTGTATTTTTGGTCTGGTGGTTTTTGGCCCCAACCACCGAAAAAAGAGGGGGTCTACGGCCTGGAAGACGCATATATATATATATATATATACGTTGCTTGCTGTGAGCAGAAGCATGTTTCAAGATCAAATATGTGTTCAGAATCTTCATGAGCCGCTGTTTATACGCATGTCACAAGCTGAAGGACTGTCGACCCAGTGTTTCTCAGATAATTTCCATCTGAAAACAAGTCAAAGACCTTCTCCACTGTGGGCTGATTCAAGTTCTCAGCCTTGCGAGCTGTCTTTGAGGCTAAATAATATGGCACGCTTGAAAGGAGAAAAGGCGAACGGCCCGTGGGCCGGCAAGAAGCTACAAGGATCCCCCAGATGCCTGCAAAAAATCCAGATCCCGATGGATTTGACTGGCCATGTCCTCCTCTGCCTGGGACCTCCAGTAGAGAGGATAGAATAAGGGTACCAACTTTTTTCTGTAGTCTATTTTAGTAGGGGAACCCTCCCCGAAAAAAAGTTGGTGAAAGGGCACCTAATTAGCTGGGGGACCCCGCTGCAGTCATTTCCCAAACAGCACAAGGCAGAGCCTACGTGCTTACGGGCTCAGCTGGACCACAATCTTGTGTGGCCTTGAGCCGCAGCGTCGGGAACATGACCACTGCATACCCTAAAGCAAAACATCGACTGAACAGGCTATTTCATTTTGCCCTTTCAAATCCATGTGCAGAGTTCAAACGACAATTCCCCGCTCCTTCTTGCTTGAACGGCTTATCAACGCTGATTCTTTTTCAGCAGCACGCTCCTAATGATCTAAACCCGCTCGATTCGCCAGCATTCCCGTCCGCACAGTCGCCCATCAACAGACGGACGCCTTTCATTAGTGGAACGTGATCAATCATGGCGGTTTCGCCGGTTTGTCAGGTGCCAAAAAGGCCCTTACAGGTTTTTGTGGGAGAATTCCTGTTCACGGTTAGGCCAAAACTCTGGGGTATGACTTCGTTCTTTTGCGGAGACTGATGGGGAAGACTCGGTTGACGTTGGAAGGGGAGCAACAATCTAATTTTAGCACTTAAGTGGGGATTTCAACCACCAAACCACAATAAAAACAAATGTTTCTCAACAACAACCATGAAGACCCCACCAACAACCGCGCCGACCCCCGAACCACACCGCGACCACCGACAAGGCGCCCAACGCCACCGGGCCCCCAAAACCAATCCAGGGCTTCGACTTGAAGCGAGCGAAGCGGTAGTCCGTGGTCACCAGCAAGGAGTCCTAGCGACCCTCCGTAAGGCTCGACGCCCCACAACCCTGGAGCCCAATGTGTGTTGTTTTAACCCCAAATCGCTGAAGCAACCAAAACAGGAGAGCGAAAAGCATCGGAAAAAAGAAAGACATGCTGGCCAAACTTGTTGTTTGCCCAAAGGTTCTTAAGCTTCAAAAGGTCCAAGCCCAAAAATGTTAAAGTCCATCATGAACTCGGGGAGTGAGTTGACCCAGGTGTCTTTTCAACCGTACTTTTGTTTTCAAACAAAATCGTATCCAAATTACAAAAAACACAATAATGGACTTCCCTCGAGGTAGCCTACACGGTAGGTCACAACCTTAAACTAACAGGTTGCAGGCCTTGAGGGCGTGCCTGTTGTTTGTACTCTTAGCTGCCTTGCTTTTTTCCGCAATTCGGCGTTCTTTCACGTTCGTTAAATAAATTGACGTGTACGCGATTTGTTGCTCTGTTTTTTGCTATCAGGCGAGGCAATTCTAGGTCCAGGAAACAGCTTGGGCTCTCGCTACGCTTCCGGGCCTCGTGGTTGCCTCGTGGTCTCCAGGTCCCATGGCAATTCACTTTCTGGGGCTCCAGTTCAGAAAGTCCGACCAAAGTGTCAGCCAAAAACGGGTTAGAGTCAGATCCGGTTGAGGCCTTAACCTTTGACTCTTTTTTGCTTGACACAAAGGTGGTCGCCCTTTCAGCTTCAATTTAAAGCCGCCTTCCCCCAACAAAAACATAAATGCCCTTTTGGCTTCCTACCCCCTCCCCCCCCAAAAAAAGAAACATTTGGCTTCCCTTCACCCCCACCCCCGCCCCCCCCCCCCCCACCAAAAAAAAGGAAACAAAGAAACGCTCAACCAAGTCCTCCAGTAGAGGGGTCAGAATAAGGGTACCCCCTTTCTTTCCTGTCGTCTATTTCGGTGGAACTCTCTCAACCAAAACAGAAACGGCAACAAAGGGCACCAATTGCTGGGAGACCCAGTGAAAGAAAGCAGCCCGTCGCCAGCCCAGCCACCCAAATCGGTTCGGACGGTTCGACTCCTCGAGGGCCACCAGGCCGCTGGGGTTGAAGAACCTCAAGGGCTCTCGCGGGATTTTTTTCGGACGGTGGCCAACGGTCTTTTTGGGCAAATGGAAACAACCAGCCACCAGATAAACCAACCAAAACACTCTACGAGTCTCCGCAACCCTTTGCAAAATGGGGTCACTACCCTAAATAATGGGATCAAATGGCCGTGGCTCCAAAAACCGGAATTCCCACAATGGCGCAAGCCCTGTGGACACATTGACCCAAACCTGCGGTTTGCCCCTGTTAAATTTTGAGCCAAATGGAAACCACCAAACCAACTAAAAGGCTCGAGGATCCAAGACCAATGGTAGGGCTCGGTTGACCAGGACAAATGGCAAGCAAAAAGGTTTGTATGGTACACGGTTGCTCCTCAACCCCCAAAACAGTCGGCTCTGTTGCCTCCCGTTAAATGCCAACCAAAAGGGCATCCACCATTTTGGGACCCCCCTCCGGATGTTATTGGTAGTTGTTCGATATGTGACGAAGTGCCAACCTGGGCTGTTGGTATTGCATCATAGGATTCTGCACCCCTTGTCCTTTTTCCCAGCCCAATGAGACCTCATTGGAACCTCAGTTGGAGGAAACAAGAGGGAAGGGATTGGGGGTGGATCCTATGGGCTTCAGCCTTTCATCTTTGGGTGCCATTACCAGGTCCTCCAGATTTGAGAGGTTAGAATAAGGCTACCGTTTCTTTTTTCTAAAGTCCATTTTAGTTGGGGCACCCTCCCCCCAAAAAGTTGGTAAAAGGGCACTACTGAGGGACAGAGAATCTCTTTGCTTCTTTGTGCCTTGTTTCCGCTAGTCCGCTGATTCTTGGCAGACACTTTCTGGCCGATGACCACGACAACGCCCTCTTGCATTTCCATCGAACCAAAACGGGGCTCCGGCTTTTCGGACGGTTGTTGGAGGGAGAGTTCCCTTCGGTTTACCTTTAAATCAACTGAAAGGGATATCCTCAAAGACGAGCATATGGCCGTGGCTCAAAGAATGGCACCCCAAATGGCACCTGGGTATATGGGAGCCTGTTTTCCGGGAGGCTATAGAAATACTGTGCAGCTAGCCAGCGTCTTCGTTTCCCGACCCCAAACAAGTGACAATATGTCAGGTTGATCGCTTGACATGGCTGTGGCTCAAAAAATGGAACCTAGCTCCTTCATCTTGAGTCAAAGACACATGGACAAATCACTGAACCGATGCTAAAGGATCCACTGATGCGAAACTCGTCCTACTCGTCCTGAGCCGCGCACAGTGGCCATCTATCCACCGACCTTCGGCCCGAGCCGTCATGGAAAGCCGTCAGAACCAGAGTTGTGTGTCTTGTTTTTGTGCTCGGTTGGTTTTGACACTCACTGGCTGAGTGGATGGCCCAAACAAAGTCCAAACTTTATAATTACCACTAAAATGGTCTTCCCAAAAAGTTTAAAGTTCATGAACTCAGGAAGTGAGCAAAACAAATTGGGGGACCTGGACTTAAAATGGTGATCACTTTTCGGGGCCACTACAAATGGATGCCAAACAGGGGAACGCTCGTTTCAGGTCGGCTTGACTGAGTGGGGGAACCCCCTTTTGGTTGGTTTCAAGGGGAAACCAAAAAGAAGACCACAGGGGGGGGGGTGCCCCCCAAAAAAATGGACACACCCATCTGCCTCAGTACTCAGACCATCCCCACACGAAACATGTGCGCAGGGTTTGTCCCTTATGTCTCGCAACAAAGGGTGGCTTTCACTGGTGATTTCACGTCTGAGCTCTGGCTCACCGTTGCACAAGGTGAGCTGGCTATGGCCGGGTGAATTTGTATTTGGCTTTCAGGGGCAAAGAAGCCGCGTTGGCTCCAAGAAGATGAGGAATTTCCGGATTGCAGCCAACCGTCTTTCGTGCCGGACGAAGAAGCCAACCCCGGTTTATGATTCCCCCTGCAAATACCTCGACAAACGCTCTGGCTTCAACTTCATGGTTTCTTAGGTGGGTATGGGTCAAAAAGGAAAAGCAGAAGGCCGCGGCTTTGAGTCCAGGTTTCCGGTTTACCGATCGGGCAACCCATTGGGCCGACCCGATTTTTTGACCACCGCCAGGTGGCGCGGTCCTCAGGGCTCGTTCCTCGGGGCCCCCGGGGCCCCCGGCAGCTCGGTGACCGTCAGGCCAACCGCCACCGGGGGCGTGTGCAGCTGCAAGGCCAAGGCCAAGCAGGTGCAGGAGATCACCGCACCCACCATCACCTCGGACAACGAAACAAAAATCGATGGGACGAACAAAGGGTCCCCAGCTTTTTTCGTGGTTTTGGTGGAAACTCACGCGCTCAAACTGTGAAACCAACGAAAAACCAACTGAACACAGAGGGAACCGGATGCCTCGGGAACCCTTAACCCGCGGAAATCCAAAGCCTCTCGGGTTCTCTTTCTCATGTCCGCTTCAGGGTCCCTCCTTGAGGCGACCCGTTGTGCCCCCTGAACCGCCGGGGAGGGGGGGTTCAGCCCTTGACTTCCCGGGGCTCAAGTGCCCCTCCAAGCCGCGAGGAGTGACCCCGATTTGTACTGGACAGAGATACTGTGGGTGGGCAAAATCCGCTTTGGAGCCATGGGAAACCATGGTTTGTTGGTATTTACAGGGGAATCATCATTCCAGGGTTTCTTGGGTGGTGCAAAATGTCGTCCATCAACAGTAGCTTGGCAAAGACTTCTTCCATTAGGTTGAGGCCCCAGGAAAAAATGAAAATATATCCAGTAGTCATGGTTTCCTTTTGAAACCAACAAGGGAAAATAACAAATTATTCAAATGGAGGACTTGCAAAGCATGAGCCCCTCATTCAGAATGAGGCATGTCGGCTTGTGGGATTCCAAAGCCTTGCTTGGTTGGGGTCGAAAAAGAAACTCATATAGAGTAACCACTTGTGGGAATCCCCCCCTGTTTAAACAAACGTTCATCAACATGACATGTGCTAAACCCCACGTTCATCAACCAAAAAAGCAACCCTGAACAAATTACAGCAATCTGGCCACGGGTCAAACGCCCGTACCCCCAGTGAACCTCCCAATCCCCACTATTGACAACCACAGCCATCTGGAAACCAAAGACACTGGGCTTCCTCACAAAAGAGATTCCTCAAAGGCCGGGTGGAGCTGTAAGAGAAGGACAGCTGCTTGGATTCTCTCCAAACAAATCATTGGTGAAGGCAGTAAGCCTGGTGCCTCAAGCAGGGATCCTTGCATTTTACACCTGAACGTTGCAACCTGTAAATGGTGGTGTCCCTTCATGTTGGCGGAAAAAGCCATGTTTCAAATGGGCAAAATGTATCTTTTAAGGAGCCCTGTCAAGCTTATCTTGCAAGAACCAAACATGGTAGATGTGGGTCTATCTCAAATTAGTTTACCCTTAATCTTGGTGGTTTTCAACATGTTCCTTTTGTTTCCATTAAAACCCACTCCAAAAAGAGGGTACCCTGAAAAAAGACACCTGTCACAATTTACCGTCCCCCGTGCGTTGCCGTGTTCTTTCAGGATGAACCGCTGAAGGACTGACCATTCCGAACTCTGATGCTGGGTCCTCTGCCCCAGAACTCACAAGAGCTAACCTAAAATCGATCAACCAGGCCAAAACGTGATCAACACTGGCTGCCTCCACTTCAGCCTGAAGCACTGTGCCGATCTCTGGTGTTTGCTTACGCCGCCTTTCTGAGCCATTGCCAGCACCAGTTTTGGGCTGCAACATCTGGTTTGCCGAATAGGACACTGTTGGGCGAGACAAACAAATGCTTGGAACCTGCCACAAGCGTTGACAAGTGGCTTCCCAAACAACCGCTTACGAATTCACCGCCTGGATGGAAAATGGCAGCTTGAAAAAAAATATATGGAAATGCTTGTCGCAGGTTCCAGGTGAAAACCAACCACCAACCATTGCTCGGGATCCCCTCTCAATACCAACCCCATCCAAGAAAATCCCAATGCCACTCCGGTGATTCTTCTTCCAGAAGGGTGTGTCTTGCTAGCTTCCAAAAGGGAAGCGCTAGGCAAACCCAATTCTAGGGGTGCCAAAGCTATTTTGAGACACACCCCTTCTGAGGCGTGCGCCACACACTGTGTCATAGGCCTGATGTAGTGTGGGTTGATGGAATCCTGGCAGGCCATGCGCGAGCGCGAGCGCGAGCTCGCAAGTGTCTGGTGTCGGCTAAGGCCGAGTGGACAGAGATCTCGTGGCCTCGTCTTTTCTTTGGTTTTTTTGCTGTTTCGTCTTGTCTTGGGTCCTTTTTGGTGTTTCGTCTTTTCTTGGGTCCTTTTTATGGTTGTTCAAGAGAAACCGGAAACCAACCATTTGGGTGTTCCCTTGGGATCCAAGTTGCCTTCAAGCTTCGTCATCTTTCTGAGAATCGTCGTGCTTGGGGCCGGGAGCCAAGTCCCTAACCTGAGAACAACCAAGATTCCAACATTTAAAGTGCCCTTGGCTGGAAGTTGTTGTTGAGATATATGTTCTTACAAGTACCACTTTTCGCAAACTCTGGCGAGCAATAGAAAACAAATAAACACAAGATCCTTTGGCACCCGCACCTTTCACTCACTTCCTGAGCGGATTGGCCCAAAAAAGTTGGAATGTTTTTTTGTTTACCACTAAAATGGTCCAAGCCCAAACAGCTTGAGAAACCGCCCTCCTCCGGCATCTCGTGCTGGAGCTTTCCCGGAAATGGCCGGATGAAGGAGGCGAACCCCGCCACCATCAGCGGCGGCAAGAAGATGCCGCACCGCGCCGCGAAGGCCATGGGGTGGTCCTCGCGTCGTCTTTTTTGTTGCTTTTTTGGATCGTGTTTTTCGTTGTGTGTGTGTGTGTGTTTGTCTTGTTTTGTTTCCTTTTTCCCCGCGTCTTTTGCGCCGCTTGGATCGCGTGTCGTTTTTGCCCTCCCCCCCCCGGGGGTGTTTCAATTTTGATGGTACCCGAGCTGGTGAAGATGCCCTTGAGATGGGGAGTCTTGTCCACCAACCGTGTTTGAGGTTCCCATGAGACATGGCCAGCGTCTAGAAAAAACACGCCAGCCAGCCAGGTTCTCTTCTTGGGTTTGCCAAGTCTAGCGCCCAAAGACCCCGGGAGATGAGTTTTAGGATTTGGGGCGAACTTGGCCTGCACCTGCGGTGAACAGAGACCTACATAGTCCGCAGAGGGCGCACATGCTTATTACCTGAACCACGATCAGGATTTGTTGACGTGTTATTTTTGGTGAGTGACCCCTATCCTAATGACAATTGGGTAAGTGTGGGCCCTGTGTCATGCCCTTTACAACCATAGATGACTGTTGCTCGCCTGAGTTTTACAGTTGGAAAACATGGATGCGCGTCGTGCTCTTGGCCCACTTAGTGAGCACAGCACACCGGCCCGCAGTGCGTTGCGCGCCCAATGTCCCTGAGCAAACTATTCGTTTTGGATGCAATCAAAATTGGGTCTGTGTAGAACTTGATGGTGCACTTAAACGACCCCCCTTTGTCAGGTTCAAAAGATGTGCATCTTCTTCTACATTGCGAATATAGTGTATATAGGTATACACGCACACATATATATATATATATCCGCCGACAACAGGCGGCATGTTGGACATAAGAAATGCTCCTTACCTCTTTACCTGTTACCCCCCCCCCCTTACCCCGGGCACGGTTTTAGACTATTGCGGGGGGGGGGGAGGGGGTTCACGTAGCATGCGGTGATTCCAAGACGTTGCAGCTGTGCGGAACGTAAAACCATTGGGGTATTCGATTCCCCCCGGGTCCGTTCTTTTCCATCCTTAGCACCTCCTGGGCAACATCGCCAGCACCACATGCATCATCCGCATCAGCGCCTGCCAAGGATGCTGATGATGCAAGTGATGCTGGGGATGTTGCCCATGCTGGTGAAGGAACATCTCAAAATTAAGGAAAATGCACGGAAATGAATGACATGAAGTGAAATGAAAGAAAAGGAACAAAAACTGTCATAAAGGGAAGGAAAGTGAAGGGAAATGAAGATCTTCGGGGGAAAAGGTGGGGGGGAACTGGGGAGAAGATCGGGGGGGGGGGGGGAAGGGAAAGATCTTGGGGGACAAAGGACTCAGGGGGGAAAGGGGGGAAAGGATCTCAACCGAAGATCTTGGGAAGGAAAAGGGAGAAGATCTCAGGGGGGAAAAGGCCTTAGGGGGGTAAGGGGGGGAAAGAATCTCAACAGGGAAAGGGGGGAAAAGATCTTAGGAAGGAAAGGGAGAAGATCTGGTGGAAAAAAAGGGGGAAAAGATCCTAGGGAGGAAAGGGGAGAAGATCTCAGGGGGGAAAAGGCCTTAGGGGGGAAAGGTGGGAAAGGATCTCAACACGGAAAAGGGGAAAAGATCTGGGAAGGAAAAGGGAGAAGATCCAGGGCGGAAAGGCCTTAGGGGGGAAACGAGGGAAAGGATCTCAACCGAGAAAGGGGTGGAAAAGATCTTAGGGAGGAAAGGGAGAAGATCTGGGGGAAAAAAAGGCCAACAGGGAAAGGGGGGAAAAGATCTTAGGGAGGAAAAGGGGGAAGATCTCAGGGGGGAAAAGGCCTTAGGAGGGAAAGGGGGGAACGGATCTCAACAGGGAAAGGGGGGGAAAGATCTTAGGGAGGAAAGGGAGAAGATCTCAGGGGGAAAAGGCCTTAGGGGGGGAAAGGGGAGAAATGATCTCAACAGGGAAAGGGGTGGAAAAGATCTTAGGGAGGAAAGGCAGAAGATTGGGGGAAAAAAAGGCCAACAGGGAAAGGGGGGAAAGATCTTAGGGAGGAAAAGGGAGAAGATCTCAGGGGGGAAAAGGCCTTAGGGGGGAAAGGGGGGAAAGGATCTCAACACGGAAAAGGGGAAAATATCTTGGGAAGGAAAAGGGAGAAGATCCAGGGCGGAAAGGCCTTAGGGGGGAAACGAGGGAAAGGATCTCAACCGGGAAAGGGGTGGAAAAGATCTTAGGGAGGAAAGGGAGAAGATCTGGGGGAAAAAAAGGCCAACAGGGAAAGGTGGGAAAAGATCTTAGGGAGGAAAAGGGAGAAGATCTCAGGGGGGAAAAGGCCGTAGAAGGGAAAGGAGGGAAAGGATCTCAACAGGGAAAGGGGGGGGAAAACATCTTAGGGAGGAAAAGGGAGAAGATCTCAGGGGGAAAGGGCGAAAGGATCTCAACAGGGAAAGGGGGGCAAAGATCTTAGAGGGGAAGGGGGGCAAGGGGTCAATTCCAAAGGGACGCAAATAAGAAAGCAGGCCTGTAATGTCGGCGGCCTGAGCCGGAGGCGTTAAAATACATATACCTAGATCTTCTTTGAGAACAATTTCCCAACATGTTCCTTAAAAAGCAAAAAAAAACACGCATTGTTGGAAATCACGCTCATTTACCCAAAAAACACACATTTCGGTTCGACCAGCCATGTTCAAAACAAGTTGGTTTTGGGCTTTCCGCCGATTTCCGCGCATTTTCCGCCGATTTCCGCGCATTTTCCGCCGATTTCCGCGCATTTCTGGTGGCCAAATTTGCAGGATTTGCCACAAAATGGGTGCGGAACATGAAATTTGCAGTTTCCGCGTAGATTTCGGAAATTCCGCTCAATTGGCAAAATGAGCAAAAATAACGTAATGAGCAAAAAAAAGTTCCTTTTTGAGGGTCCAGGTATATATATATATATATATTCCTATATATATATATATACATATATATATATATATACATACATACATACACATTATAGACGGGAAATCCATGACGTCCCACGTCCCTACGGATCTCCGCGGCAGATTCTTTCGTCGAATCAAATCGCCGGAGCTGGCCCCCCTTGGGACAGAAAGATCGGGAGGGCGTCTCAGGTGTTGGGGGACTTGGAACGCCTTGGGGGGGAAACCGACCAAAAGAAGGACCCAAGCAAAAAGGACCACAAAAGCACCAAAAAGAAAAGACTGAAAAGAAGGACCACAAAAAAAGACCAAAAAAAAGGACCCGACAAAAGAAGCACCAAAACAAAAATCAGGACAAAAAGGAAGCAAGAACAGTTCGGAGCACCAGTAAACCTTTTCTTTTTTTTTGAGAAAGGAAAGCCCAAAGATAAGACCAGCCAGCTTTTGGGGGCTTCCATGTTTCGAGCAGCAAAATGTTCAGCCATCGGAAGGGCGAACCAAGCGCATACCACAAAACCTCTTGGCGCCCCTTCAACGCTTTTTGGGCGCAATTCCAAGGACCCAGGCTGATTCGCTTCGAACAGGGCGTGTGCCGAATGCCGCGAGAGCTGTTGGTTCAGAAGTGCCTTGGTGCCTCTCCGCTCGCTGTGCCGCGAAGGATTTCGCATGGCCCCGTGAAGGCTTCAAGTGCGGCGCTGTGGCCTCGTTCCGAATCCTTTTGAAACTGAGGAGATGAAATTAAAAGGGCAAAGCCTGGTCGCCACATTTCTAGGGGTTGACTCCTTTTCCATTCTTGTCAACCGTCGTTCTTTCCAAAAACCGGATCCGTTCTCCATGGGTTTCCGGAGGTTTCCCAGAAAGATTCGGATATATACCTGGGCTTAGAATGGAAATGGGGAAGGTACCCCTAGAATTTCGAACAAAGACCTGCAAGACTCGTCCAACCGTTTGAGTTTAGGTCCTGTCTTAAGTCAAACGGCTGGCTCTCCCCATCCATCGTGGGGGAAATTCCCCTTGTGTTGGGAAACCAAAACTGAAGGCGCGGCCGAGTCTTAAAGAGTAGTACTGTGGAAGGTTGCGAAATACATTTCGCACCACCGTTCAGCAACCCAACGGAATGATTCGATTCCGCAACGTGAGTGCCAACAAGTGGTTTGGCTTCAAACATGGTTTCATTTCGTGGTGTAGGCCCCTCCCCCCCCAAACAAAAAAAACACCCCCACAAACAACAAATAATGGTTTCCACCATGGTTTCATTTCGTGGTGCAGGATTTACTCCCCCCCCCCCAAACAAAACAACCCACAAACACCCTTTAGTTGGGAAGCCAAACCTGGAGGTGTGGCCCTGGAACAGTAGGGGCGTGTGATCAATCGCAAGGCACGTCCCCCGCTCCTCGTACACCTCCGCGCGCATCTGCAATTGAGTCACCACGAGGAAGCCTCAAAGCCGCGTGTGGCATGGCGCGGGTTTCCGCGCTGCGAGATGGGGATGGGGCCGGGAAGCAAAACAAGCCCATGCTCGGTGGCTTGCGTTTGTTGCTGTAAAGAACACAATGAGTAATCATTCAGAATATGTATATATATATATAAAGGTAATATATTGTGGAATATATGCGCGCGTGCTAATTATTGAGGACCTTTGCTTGTGTGCAATTGGCGGAATTGTTCCTCGAACAAGTTGCAGCGGACTCAGTGGAGCTGTGGAGGCCAACATTTGGATTGGAAGCTTCTTTGCATGCACCCTCCAACCCACGATCACGGACATTCACACAATCTCAACTGAAAAGCGGAGTGGCAGTCCGGAAGACCCTCCCATTCATCCTGCCAGGCCCCGAAACAGCAAGAACTTGTCCGGTACCTTCCAGGAGCTCTGTGACCCTTTACACACTTCCGCGAAACCTCCACTCATGATCTTGTGAATCGTGGCTGTCCCAACTTGGGTCCCTCTTCATTGGAACCGGTGCGGGTTCATGAAACACATAGACAAATGGTGGCCTGCGGCCAAAGGGTCAGTTTGAACATGGATGGGCTCCACGGGTTAGAGGTTGGTAATCATTTACCACCTACTTGTTTCCCAAAAACACAAGGCCAAACACATAGGTGACCTTTTGGAAAAAGTAGATGGGGTTCTTTCCCTCATAAATGGAATAAAAGCAATCTAACCAGTGGAATCCATCTACTTCTCACCAAACTAACCTCAAAAGAACGCCTATGGTCAACACCGTCTATACCAGCTCGCTGCTTTCGTGACCCCCCAAAATGGTGTTCCTGTTGGTTTCCCTGAAAAAATAAAGTAAAAAACAAAATGAAATATGTTTTTATTGTTTTATTTATTTTTTTAGTTTGTTGTAAAGAGAGACAAAAACAAGACAGGCCCGCATGGATTTTTCTCCAAAGACCTTCTGATGCCAACTTGCTTTCGGACTACTTCCATTCCCTTCAGCCCGCCTGGCAAGAAATCGGAACCTGATGTCCCGTCGCGAAATCGATTCCCTTCAAAACCCAAAAAATGGAAAATCTGGAAGACGAGTCCCTCTAAAATCTTATTGAAAAAAAAGAAACACAACAACACAAGAACTAGGTCCTCCAGATTTGAGAGGGTAGAAGTAAGGGTACCCTATTTTTTTCTGGTTTGTCTATTGTAGTAGGGGAACCCTCCCAACCAAAAAAGAGGTGAGGAAGGTCACCTAGCTGGGGGACCTAGAGAGGCAAGCTTATCTCTTCCATTTGCTTGAGCCCCCTGGAAAAAATAAACATACGCCCAGTAGTGAATTTGATTCCCTACTAAAACCGGCAAGGGACAATCAACAATTTGTTCATTTCAGCAAATGGATGATACGAAGCAAAAGGGTACCGTCCAACCATGTTTTAAAAAAGCCCTTCTTTCTAGAACACCCCCGGAAACCCCAGAAAAATGGCGGGTGGTAGAACGATGGTTGAAAAGAATGGAAGGGGAATCAACCCCAGAAGCAAATGGTGTAAGCAAAACTGTCATTGTTTGACTTTTTGCTGGCTAAATGGACATATGAGGGGAATCCAAAAAGTTGAAGTCTAAAGATCCGTTCTCCGAAAACCCAAAACAGCCACATATAAGAAGCAAAAAAGGGAAGATGGTGAACGACCCAAAAATTACACCAGCAGAGACCCCAAACAGTTGAGGGCTGACGGGCGAGCACAAACATGCCAACAGCTTGTGGCTTTCTGCGCTTCAACACGGATGAATCAAAATGATGCAGTCGTGAACCTGGCGCGCGTTGCGTTGCTGCACGTGTGTTGCTGGCATGCTTCGCGCTTCAGCACCGCGCCAGAACTGAGGTTGGGCAAGCGCGCGCGATGGCGGGCGAGCGCGCGCGCGTGAACGCAAGTGTGGCCGCGCAAGCACGCAGTCACATGGGCAGTTCAAACACACATGTCCAATTCAGACACACATGTGTGTACACGTGGAACACACATACGTATACGACTGAAACAGTATACATTCACCTGCGGCACACGCATAAATGTGTTGAGCTGGAAAACAAACATGTGCTTCTTGGAAAGCACACACACACATGTGCAAACGTGGAACGCACATATGTGTTCACTTACGACACGCTAATGCGTTCACGTGGAACACACATGTGTGTTCACTTGGAACACAATGAAACGCGTGTCCAATTCAGACACACATGTGTGTACACGTGGAACACACATGCGTTCACCTGGAACACAAAGACGCGCAATTAAAGCACACATGTGTGTACGCGTGGGACACACATATGTATACCACTGGAACACAAACATGTGTCCACCTGGAACACCGCGTGTGCGATTAAAGCACACATGTGTGTACATGTGGAACACACATATGCGCACACGTGAGCAAACATAAATGCTCACCTAAATCGCACACACATGCGCGCACCTCGAAAACAATCATGCGTTTTCTGGAGCGCATACATGTGCACACCTGGAGAGCAAATATGTCGTCAGATGCCAAAAAAAGTTCATCTAGCACATACTAATGTGTTCACGTGAAACACACATCTGTTCACCTGGAACACAAACACGTGTCCAATTGGAACACACATGTGCGTACACGTGGAACACACATATGTGCACACGTGAACACGCATATGTGCACACGTGAACACTCACATATATGTGCACCCGGAACACACACCCGTGTGCTCATCTGATAACAACCATGTGTTCTCCTGGAACACAAACACGTGTCCAATTGGAACACGCATGTGTGTACACGTGAACACACATATGTGTACACGTGGGAGACGCAAATGCGCACACGTGAACACACACACATGTGCACACGTGGAACACACACATGTGTACTGCACATGTGAACACACACATTTATGCGCGCGCGGAAAACACAGACACACACGAGTGTTCATCTGATAACAAACACGTGGTCTCCTGGAACACAACCGTGTGTCTAATTGGAACACAACCGTGTGTACACGTGAACACACATATGTGTACACGTGAACACACACATATTTATATATATATATATGCGCACCCGGAACACACACACACACGTGCGTTCATCTGAAAACAAACATGTATTCACCTGAAACACAAACACGTGTCCAATTGGAACAAACATGTGTGGACACATGAACTCACAAATGTGTACATGTGGAACACACATATGTGTGCAAATGAACACACATACATGCGCACGCGGAGCAGACACACACACACACACACGCGTTCATCTGATAACAAACATGTGTCCTCCTGGAACACAAACACGTGTCCAGTTGGAACGCACATGTGTGCACGCGCGAACACACAATGTGTGCCGTGAACACACATACAAAAAAGTGCACGCGGAGCAGACACACACGCACGTGTTCATCTGATAACAAACATGTGTTCTCCTGGAACACAACCGTGTGTCTAATTGGAACACAGACGTGTGTACACGTGAACACACATATGTGTACACGTGAACACACACATATATACGCGCACCCGGAACACACACACACACGAGTGTTCATCTGAAAACAAACATGTGTTCACCTGGAACACAAACACGTGTCCATTGGAACACACATGTGTGTACACGTGAACACACATATGTGTACACGTGGGAGACGCAAATGCGCACACGTGAACACACACATGTGCACACGTGCAACACACACATGTGTACTGCACATGTGAACACACACATTTATGCGCGCGCGGAAAACACAGACACACACGAGTGTTCATCTGATAACAAACACGTGTTCTCCTGGAACACAACCGTGTGTCTAATTGGAACACAGACGTGTGTACACGTGAACACACATATGTGTACACGTGAACACAGCACACGTGGAACACACACATGTGTACTGCACATGTGAACACACACATTTATGCGCGCGCGGAAAACACAGACACACACGAGTGTTCATCTGATAACAAACACGTGTTCTCCTGGAACACAACCGTGTGTCTAATTGGAACACAGACGTGTGTACACGTGAACACACATATGTGTACACGTGAACACACACACATATATATGCGCACCCGGAACACACACACACACGTGCGTTCATCTGAAAACAAACATGTATTCACCTGAAACACAAACACGTGTCCAATTGGAACACACATATGAACACACAAATGTGTGCAAACACACATATGTGTGCAAATGAACACACACACATGCGCATGCGGAGCAGACACACACACACGTGTTCATCTGATAACAAACATGTGTCCTCCTGGAACACAAACACGTGTCCAGTTGGAACGCACATGTGCGCACGCGTGAACACACAATGTGTGCACGTGAACACACATACAAAAAAAGTGCACGCGGAGCAGACACACACGCACGTGTTCATCTGATAACAAACATGTGTTCTCCTGGAACACATACACGTGTCTGATAAGAACACACATGTGTGTACACGTGAACACACATATGTGTACACGTGCAACACGCATATGTGCGCACGTGAACGCACATATGTGTACATGTGGAACACACATATGTGCACACGCGAACACACACACACACATATATATATATATATATGCGCGCCCGGAACACGCACACACACACATGCGTACACCTGGAACACATATGTGTGTATGTCTGGAAAGCACATTTCTGTTCACCTGCAACACACATATGTGTTCACCTGGAACCCATATATGCGCTCACTTGGAACAGGCATTTGTGTTCACGTGCGACACTGGTGCAGACCTGGATCACACAAGCATGTTTAACCAGAACAAACTTCTGTGTTGACTTGTAACACACATATGTGTACACATGGAACACACGTGTGTGCACATGTGGAGAAACATGTGCAACACAAATGTGCAACACACATGCGTTCACCTGGACAACAAAAATGTGTTCACATGGAATTTACATTTCCTGCACGCCTGGGCGACACATAAATCAAGTTCCCGAAGCCGGCTGTGAGGCGCTATTCCATGGGGCTCTGCCTTGAACAACGCTTGTGTTTTATATGCGTGTTCCAAGTAGGAAAATAGTGTTCGTGTACGATCAATCTAGCTTTTTTGCAACACATTGCTAGCGCGCGAGCCTGCTGCTGCTGCTGCTGCTACTACTGCTAGTACTATCAGTATCGGATGCGTCTCCAGCAGTTACAGGCTTCAGCTTAGCAAAAGCTTTCCGGCGCATTGCGCTTCTTTCTCGCTTAGCTGCACAGTGTCTTTCGTATCGATTGCTAAAGTGCTTTGATCGTATTGTGGCAACTCTTCGTATCGATTCAGTAAAGCATTTGCTTTCGCAGGGAAATACGCAACCCAATTCTTCCGTATGCTCGGTACAAGGCATCCCTGCCGTCTTGCCTCAGCCGTTGTTTCTCCCCTTTGTCCAGCAAATCGCACTCCATGATAATTGCATGCGAGGAGAGCGGAAGCAAATTTGGATTGAAGCGTAACTGGGAACCGGTCACAGCTGACCACTGCGCTAGCGCCTTGCTAGCGCGCGGCTAGCGCGGGTTCGCCGTATTTTTTGGAGTCACGGCGACCATCTGTGTGGATTTGACAAATTAAGGCCACGTAAGATGAAGGTAAACGTGCGGGCTGGCTTCAAGTACTAAGTAAGAACTGCAACATTACACCCTTGAAAGCCACGCAAAGCCCATCGCGGCAACCCACGCGCCAACTCTTGGAAACCAAGATCACCGAAGACCCTAGCGCAAACCAAGCGCCATCCTAGCGCCTCCAGTGGGGAGCGGGCAATCCATTGGTATTTGCAGGACTCCGCTTTGTGTGAATGAAAAACTGCACAAAGTGACTGCGACGGTGGCCTCTGTAGACTAAACCCCCTTACTAGGAATTTTGACCGGATCGCATATGTGTTTTATCAGAACAATCGCATGCTTTCACCTGGAACACAAACATGTGCTGACGTGGAACACACTCATGTGGTCACATGCAAAAAGTGCGTGTTCACTTGGAACGCGCCGATGTGGTCAGCTGGAACACACCAAGAACACACAATCATTTACTTGAAGCACTCGTACGTGCATCCGCAGCATGCTGCCTGTGGCTTGATCAAGCGCACGCGCGCGCTCAAACACACGTTTCTGAGCCTCAAACACACATGCGTGCCCGCGGAATACACCGCGAATGACCAGGGAGCCGTGCCAGGCATCCAGGCTGGGGGACAACAAGAAGGAGACAAAGGGAGACAAATGAACCCGTCCGCCCGGAGAGCCGTGCCAGACATCCAAGCTGGGAGACAAACGAATCCGTCCACCCAGAGAGCCGTGACAGGCATCCAGGCTGGGAGACAACCGGGGCCAAATAAAGGGAGACAAAGGGAGACAAATGAATCTGTCAGGCAAATGAAGGGAGAGGAACCCGTCCGCCGGGAGAGCCGGGACAACCCCAGGTGCCAAGAGCACCACTGGGTATCTCGGCGTAGGTTCGTTGAACATCATCAAAGAATCGATAGACGATTTAACTCCAGCGTGATTCACGTTTGTTTCACCGGGGGGTTAACAGAGCCTTCTCGTAGCTGAAGCCGTGCACCGCAGCGCACCGCTCTCGTCAGCTCGGGACTCCAAATGCGAGCAAGGACAGAGAGAGGCCGCAACTGATAACGAGGCACTGAACGAACAGACAGGGTGTAGCCAACGATAGACAAGGAAGACGACCCACCACGAGCCCAAGCAAAATCGAAGTCCAGATGAAGGGCAGACAGAGGACCCTGTCCCCAACATCCACAAGACAAGGAATGACCGAAGCCAGGGCCGAAGCCGAAGGCAAACCAGACCCCGCCAAAAGGACAGAACCGCGGGAAGTGAAGGAAACCGCGGAGCGTGAGTGCCACACATCCAGGCTGGGAGACAACGGGAGACAAATGAATCCGTCCACCCAGAGGGGCATCCAGGCTGGGAGACAACGGGAGACAAACAAAGGGAGACAAAGGGAGACAAATGAATCCGTCCACCCAGAGAGGCATCCAGGCTGGGAGACAACGGGAGACAAATAAAGGGAGACAAAGGGAGACAAATCAATCCGTCCACCCACAGAGATGGGAGACAAATGAAGGGGAACCAAGGGAGACAAGTGAATCCGTCCGCCTGGAGAGCCGTGACAGACATCGAGGCTGGGAGACAAGGGGAGCCAAATGAAGGGAGACAAAGGGTGACAAGTGAAACTGTCCACCCGACACAACGGGGGACAAATGAAGGGAGACAAAGGGAGACAAGTGAATCTGTCCGCCTGGAGAGCCGTGCCAGACATCCAGGCTGGGAGACAACGGGAGACAAATGAAGGGAAACAAAGCCCAGAGAGCCGTGCCAGACAAATGAAGGGAGACAAAGGGAGACAAATGAACCCGTCCACCCAGAGAGCCGTGCCAGGCATCCAGGCTGGGAGGCAACGGGAGACAAATGAAGGGAGACAAAGGGTGACAAATGAACCCGTCCACCCAGAGAGCCGTGCCAGGCATCCAGGCTGGGAGACAACGGGAGACAAATGAAGGGAGACAAAGGGAGACAAATGAACCCCTCCACCCCAGAGAGCCGTGACAGGCGTCCAGGCTGGGAGACAACCGGGGCCAAATAAAGGGAGACAAACGGAGACAAATGAATCCGTCAGGCAAATGGAGGGAGAGGGAGACAAATGAACCCGTCCGCCGGGAGAGCCGGGACAACCCCAGGTGCCAAGAGCACCACTGGGTATCTCAGCGTAATGTTCGTTGAACATCCTCGAAGAGTCGATAGAGGATTTAACTCCAGCGTGATTCACGTTTGTTTCACCGGGGGGTTAACAGAGCCTTCTCGTAGCTGAAGCCGCGCACCGCAGCGCACCGCTATCGTCAGCTCGGGACCGCAACTGATAACGAGGCACTGAACGAACAGACAGGGTGTAGCCAACGATAGACAAGGAAGACGACCCACCACGAGCCCAAGCGAAATCGAAGTCCAGATGAAGGGCAGACAGAGGAGGACCCTGTCCCCAACATCCACAAGACAAGGAATGACCGAAGCCAGGGCCAAAGCCGAAGGCAAACCAGACCCCGCCAAAAGGACAGAACCGCGGGAAGTGAAGGAAACCGCGGAGCGTGAGTGCCACACATCCAGGCTGGGAGACAACGGGAGACAAATGAATCCGTCCACCCAGAGAGCCGTGCCAGGCATCCAGGCTGGGAGACAACGGGAGACAAATAAAGGGAGACAAAGGGAAACAAATGAATCCGTCCACCCACAGAGATGGGAGACAAATGAAGGGGAACCAAGGGAGACAAGTGAATCCGTCCGCCTGGAGAGCCGTGACAGACATCCAGGCTGGGAGACAACAGGAGCCAAATGAAGGGAGACAAAGGGAGAAAAGTGAATCTGTCCACCAAAAAAACAGTGCCAGGCATCCAGGCTGGGAGACAACGGGAGACAAATGAAGGGAAACAAAGGGGTGCCAGACATCCTGGGAGACAAAGGTAGACAAATGAACCCGTCCACCCAGAGAGCCGCGCCAGGCATCCAGGCTGGGAGACAACGGGAGACAAATGAAGGGAGACAAAGGGAGACAAATGAACCCGTCCACCCAGAGAGCCGTGCCAGGCATCCAGGCTGGGAGACAACGGGAGAAATCAAGGGAGACAAAGGGAGACAAATGAACCCGTCCACCCAGAGAGCCGTGCCAGGCATCCAGGCTGGGAGAGAACGGGAGACAAATGAAGGGGACAAAGGGAGACACATGAACCCGTCCACCCAGAGAGCCGTGCCAGATCCAGGCTGGGAGACAACGGGCGACAAATGAAGGGAGACAAAGGGAGACAAGTGAATCTGTCCACCCAGGCATCCAGGCTGGGAGACAACGGGAGACAAATGAAGGGAGACAAAGGGAGACAAATGAACCCGAGCCGCGCCAGGCATCCAGGCTGGGAGACAAATGAAGGGAGACAAAGGGAGACAAATGAACCCGTCCACCCAGAGAGCCGTGCCAGGCATCCAGGCTGGGAGACAACGGGAGACAAATGACAAAGGGAGACAAATGAACCCGTCCACCCAGACTGGATCATCCAGGCTGGGAGACAACGGGAGACAAATGAAGGGAGACAAAGGGAGACAAGTGAACCCAGGGAGACAAACGAACGCGTCCACCCAGAGAGCCGTGCCAGGCATCCAGGCGGGGAGACAACGGGAGACAAATGAAGGGAGACACAGGGAGACAAATGAACCCGTCCACCCAGAGAGCTGTGCCAGGCATCCAGGCTAGGGCTTGGCAACAGGCGAGCCACCTTAAATGAATTTAGAACCCCTCACAGTAAACTGTTTGGGGAAAAAGGAAGATGGTGAACGACCTCCAACCCCCAAAAAAGGCTAAAAGGGCACCTGAATCCAAAAAGTTGAAGTCCAAAGATCCGTTCTCCAAAAACCAAAAACAGCCACACATAAGAAACAAACAAAGGAAGATGGTCTAAGATGGTGAACGACCTAAAGGAAGATGGTGAACGACCTCCAACCCCCAAAAAAGGGTAAACAAAAGGGCACCACTGGCTGGGGGGACCTAGTGTAAGCAAAACCCGTTCTCCAAAAAACGAAAACAACCACATTTAAGAAGCAAGAAGCAAACAGAAGACCTTCCGAGGAGCTCAGGGACATCAGGGTGAAGAGGCCACCGCCCACCACCGTGAGATGCGACTGCTCCTCGTAGAGGTCCAGGGCCGCGACCTCCGGCATCTTGCTCATCTCTGTGACCTGGGGAAAATCAACCGGTCACCGGGGGGGAAGAAAAAGACAGATGGATTTGTCAACCAAAACACCAGAATAACCGCCTAAAGACGCCAACAAATACCTAAAACACCCAAAACACAGGGAAATGATGCCGTCCTTTTAGGGGAACCAGGGGGAAGAAAAAGACAGGGACATGTCGACCAAAACACCAGAAGAACCAGTTTTATCTGTATATAATACCTAAAAAAACACCAAAAAATAAGATGGGCATGTCCCAAAACACCAAAGAAATCACCAAAATAAGTCCTGTAGAGAGGTTAGAAGAAGGGTACCGCTTTTTTGTCTTTTTCTGGAGTCTATTTTAGTAGGGGAACCCTCCCCCAGAAAGGGCACTACTGGGGGACCTAGACTAAAATAACCAGGTCGTACCTTATCTGGAAATAGGCAAGAATAGGGAGATGAAGGATTCTCCATCTCCGTGACCTCACTCGCCGACTCGGTGCTCGCGGTGAGCATTTGGTGACGAAGTGGACAGGCCGGACATCCGGTGGCTCGTCTTTTGTTTGAAAGGAATATCCGGGTTTGAAAGGAAAGCCAAAAGGAATATCAGATTCTCCTACACCCCACTCTACTTGTTGGTGCTCAGAGGGAATGACTACCTACACAACCATGGTTTTTCTTTGTGGTTTCCTTCAAGGGAACCTCAGGGTTCATTCCCACAATGAACCAAAAAGAACCAAAGTGACAATATTGCCAAATGAACCAAAACGACAAATCCCAAATGAACCAAAATGACAACACATCCCAAATGAACCAAAATGACCAGGTCTTGTCTGGAAATAGTCAAGAATACGGAGTTTCCCCACAGGGGGTGTAATTTAACCCTTGGAACTACGTGTGAGCTCGGGTCACTCCGAAGGAAATGCTGGCATTTGGTGCCTCGTCTTTGCTTAAAGAGTACCCGTTTGTTGGGGGGGTTGAACGGAAAGCTAAAAGGGAAAACCAAAAAGGACGCCAATCTTTTGGGTGGGTCCCTTAAAAATAAACAGACCCAAAAGGGAAAACCAAAAAGGAAAACCGTTTCTGGTGGGTCCCCAAAAACAAACAGACCCCATGCGTTTTGTTTTACCATATTCCCAGTGGGGCTCTCCAAAAATCTTGCTTGTCCGTGGGGTGTTCGTTCGAGTCCCGGAGTCCCGGGCATCTCTGAATCTCCGGGCCGGGCTGTCCAAAAGATCGGGGCCCCATGAGTCAGAACCAAAACCCAGAAACATGTACCTTGGTTGACGTTGGGTTTGGGAAGTTGAATTTTAGCAGTTAAGTGGTTGGATTTCAACCACTAAACCACACAAAGCAAAAATGTAAAATGTGTTCCAACGACGGCCGTGGTACATGCTCAGAGTCCAAAAGCTCGCGTGCTTTTACAAGGGAGAGGAATTCCTGAGTTTGGGGTTGGTGCTTGTCCTCAAAAGGGTCACACGTCGCGCCAGGTCGAGTCATAATCAAAACCCGGTACTAAAATGGTCCCAGAACCAGGTACAGGATTAAGAAGCCGGATATCCGCAGCTATTTATGGTTGGGATTGCTAACCTTCATCTACCCGGGTTTTGATTGTGGCTCAAATGGAATCCTGGTGGGACTTCAACCTGCAGTCCAATTCCTGGTTCATTTTGAGCCATAGCTATACGGGTGTTTCTCAAAGGCCGATTCCTCCAGTTGGCCGGTGTCCCTTTGGTTTCCCTTCCAACCACCCCTAAAACGGGGGGTACCCCCCAAAAAACAAGTCGCCGGGCCCAGCAGTACACCGTCTCCCATGTCAAAAACAGGAGGAGGCGCTCGGGTCCGAAAGGCTTCACCTCCCGGCCCACAACGAAAGACCAACCGACCAAAGCAATCGACCCCGGGGCCCCGAAGCGAGGTCCGGAGGTCCGCTGGGTGCGGGGCGTGCACCAAGTTGTTGGGGATCAGCCTCACAGCGCCCTTCGGATTCGCGCTCCTCGGGGCCCGCGGGGCAAAGCATGCGTGCCAGAGACAGCCACTTGTTGGATAGTGTTGAGAGGAAACCTGGATGGGGCCCTTGTGAGAAACCCCCATCTGCATCTATGAGCGGCCAAAAAAAGAGAGAGGACATGGGAAAAGGAGGAGTCTAGAGCTCATCCCCCCATGTCCTGGGTGCCAACCGGTGGGTCTTTGGTACAAGTTTGGCCTATCCTTTGGCTGAAGGGGGCGGGGCTTTTGGGGGGGGGGGGGCGGGGGGTTGGGAGGGGGGCGGGCGCTGTGTCAAGGGATGGTGGGGTGGGGTTAAGAACCCCTCTGTTTGAAAGGGTTTTGGAAACTCGCCCAAACAAGTGCATGGAGAACACCCATGTGTCAAGATGGATTCCTTTTGGACCCATCCAAAAGGAAAGGCCGAATCCTACCATTTGGAGGGCCAGCTTTGACACGTTCCGAGCAGAGGTCTGTTGCCTCATGCGGAGAAAGACGCTTTTCGGACTTGCCTGGGAAGAAGAAATGGACTCCCCTTGCTCGAGTCACTCTTAACTGGGCTGTCCTCAGATCCCCTGCTAAAAGTTGTTGACTTTTCGTGGGTGAAATGGACGCCCCCACTAAACCCTAAACCTTAGGCACCGGATGGTTCCAAAGAGCCGCAAGCAAAGGGAGCCCCGACCAGAAGAAAAACTATTCGAGTTTCTTGCAAGTGGCACGCCTGCATGGGTGTGTCCTTGTTGGAGTTGAAATCCCATTGTGGTTTTGAAAAGGGAAACCAAAAGGAAAACCGTTGCGCCAATTTTTGGGTCTCACCTAGCATTACAGAACAGACCAAAAAGGAAACGCAAAGGAAGCGAGGAGTCATGCATTGGAAATGCACAGAACCACAAAGCTGTCTGACGAGTCCGATGTGAACAATGTCTGCTGGGCGGTCTAGCGATTTAGCAGAAAATCCCAACTAAGAGAACTTGCTGAGAAGCCTTTAAGAAGCACTCGCGGTCACTGGGGTTTCGGAAACCCCAGTCAGCAGCATTTTTTCGAATCTGGTTCATTCAACGAGAAGAAACCCCTTGTCAAAAAGGTGAGGTACCTGGAAGAGAGTCTTCCTCTTGTAGGGACCCCCTTGTCAGGCGCCTTTCCTGGCGGGGTCTGGGGTCTGGGGCAACAAATTCAACGAGGATCCCCTGGCTAAGGAAAGCTACAAGAAACCTTCCCTTCCATTTGCTTTTGCGCCCCCTGGACAAAACTAAAAATTCCCGCCAGGGCGCACCGGACTGCCAGCACCAGCGGAGCCCTCGGAGTTTTTCAGAGGGGCTTGCACCCCCAAGACTCCAAGACTGCGGTTGTCCCTTTGGTTGCCCTTGAAACCACCCCCCAAAAAAAAGAGTCTCCGCCAAAAAGCAGCCCTGTGAGATACCTTTGCCCCTACCAAAAAAAAGCGTGGATGAGTTTTTGTTCACCAGCGTCTTTCCCAGGGAAAGTGTTGGGGTCCAATTGCCTTCGGCTCCCCCACAGCGGACCATTCCCGGCATCGCTCGTTTGGCCGCAACTACGAAGGCGGCGCTCCAAACAATTGACACCCCTGGAGCGCTCCGCCAGTACGAGAAGGACACAGCTCTTTGAAAAGAAAGAGCCAGAATGGCAGGAGCCCATTCCAAGTAAGTCCTTGAGAAAAAGAAGAAGGCGAAAACGGCTCAACTCCTCACTTCCGATCGAGTGGATGGCCCGTTCCAAGTTTCATTCCCTGAAAATCCAATCAGCTCTCCAATTGGTTTGGAGTCGAATCGCTGGTTTGGAGATTTGAAGCCCTGGTTCTTCTGGGCAATGGGAAGCCTCCCCCACACCACCGAGCCCAAGCACCAATTGGAGCGAGGCTGATCCATGTCATTCCTTGCAAAAAGAAAATACGAGGATCAATTCCTCACTTCCGATCGAGTGGATTGGCCACCAAAAAAGGAACCAAACTGTTTAATGTACCACTCAAATGGCCTTCTCAAAAGGTTTCAAGTCCGAAGCGGGACTCAGGTACTTTTGAGATGTCCCCTCCCTTCGCCACCAAATGTGTCTCTCACCCACAAACCAAGATGAAGCCGAGGCCACCCGCCAAAACCCTCAAGCCGGCCTGCAGGCGCTGGGTAAGGTAGTCCAAGGACAGCACGTCGCTCTTGGACCTGCAAGAGGGCGTGCCTGACCTCGCGCCCCATACTTCTCGAAACGCTTGCCACAAGATAACTCGGTTGACGTTGGAAGGGGAGCAAACAAAAAAATAGCAGTAAAGTGGGGATTTCCCACTAAACCACAATAAGCAAAAATGTAAAATGTTTCCCAACAACAACCATGGTAAACTAACTCCGTATGGGTCAAAATTACACCGGGATACGGACCGCAGGTTGTAGTCCATGTTTCCATTTAGAGAAATCGGGCAACCCGTTTTGGGGTTACCCTATTTTGGACCCACAGCCAACTCTTGAAGCAAAGATGGACGAACCGCTTCCTTCGGTTTCCTGAAGATGTGCCTCAAGGGCACCACCAAAAATACATAGACCAGTCAACACCATGTTCCCTAAACCAAGAGGATACAAATAAACGATGGATGCTTCTTTTCGAAGCCCCATTCATCAACCCTCCAGTTTGCTTCGTCGTCACCTGGCAACAAAAAAACTCATTACATATGTCCAGATAGTCATATATCGGTAAAACAGGCAAAAACATAACACATTTTCTTCAGCAAAGGAACTCTGAGTGGGTTGGCAAAAAAGGCAACCACACCTTTTATTTACCTCTAAAATGGTCCAAGACCAAAAGTGACTAAAGCCCGATACGGAACTGAGGGAATGAGTGGAAGAAACGCCATGGGTTTCTATGAGAACAGCAAAACAACCCCAAGCCCCCATGGTTTTTATACAACCCCCAAACTGCAAGGCTTTTATACCACCCAAACCCCATGGTTTCTATGAGAAACCCAATCAGCCCTTGTTCTTCTTGGACCAAGGTTTTCACAAAGAACCGGTCGGCCTCTCCACCTCCGTGTCGCTCGCCAGGCTGCAAAAGTCCTCCTGGAATTGGGGTGGGTGGGCTGGGTGGGCTGGGTGGGGTGGGTGGGGTGGGTGGGGTGGGTGGGCTGGGTGGGGTGGGTGGGGTGGGTGGGGGGGGTGTGGGTGGGGTGGGTGGGGTGGGTGGGGTGGGTGGGCTGGGTGAGTGGGGTGGGGTGGGTGTGGGTGGGGTGGGTGGGTGGGGTCGGTGGGGTGGGTGGGGTGGGTGGGGTGGGTGTGGGTGGGGTGGGTGGGTGGGGTGGGTGGGGTGGTCGTGTGGGGGGTGTGGGTGGGGTGGGTGGGTGGGTGTGGGTGGGGTGGTCGTGTGGGTGGGGTGGTCGTGTGGGTGGGGGGTGGGGGGTGGGCTTCCCAAAACAAACCCACCCGTTTCCTAGACCCCTCTTTGGGGAGAAGTCGAATCCACGTCTTAGGCGTGATGTCCTTTCAAACCCGAGGCTAGTCTTGGGGCGCGTTCACTTTCATGGAGCCTGGCGAGACTTGCTCTTTAAAGGCGGGAAACAGGGGGTCAATGTACAGGCCCTATTTAAAAAAATATTTCCTTCCTAAGAAACATCCAAAGAAAACTTCACATTCTGAGTCACTCTATTTCCCATACAAACATTGCACCATGTAAGTTAGAAACAGCTTCAACATGACAAGAAGTCACTGCAGCGCGTGATCCTGGAATATATGGATCCCTGCTAAATGTCGCCATCGTCTATGTCCCACAACGGGCGCATGCCAAAACAAAGGACTGGAATTAGAAGGCGATCGCATTCTGTCGGTTCCGTATGCAGCGGCGGAAAAACAAAGACATGGAAAAGGCGATCGAAGCAACTGGAGATGGCGAGAAGGAGCCTAGATCAAAACACGGTACTCGAGCATAAAAGGGGTCCGGCAAAAATGTGGCTGTTCCGTCCCTGTTTGATTTCCTTTCAGAACAAGATAACATGGGCAGCTTCGCACCCGGTGCAGCTGTCTTGCAGGATTGCAAGCTGGGGGTTCCAATCTGTAGAATCGAGGGGCAACTGCAACTTGCTGGCTTGTGTTGAACATTATATACAGCTCAAGTGCAGGCTAATTACTCGACTTCAAGAGTGGTCAAAAAAACATGAGGGTGTGCCCCTTGTTTGAGCTCCATGATCTTCTCATCGACTTGAACGTGACGGAATACGGAACGAGGAACCAATCTTTCAGGTGGTTGAACCAGGTGAACTTCATGCAAAGCTCAGTGCAGAGCAAACTTCTAGAAACTTCTAGGGATTGATTCCCTATTCTTTTCAGCTATCGTCTTCAAAAACCAGATCCGTTTCCCTGGGTTCTTGGTGGCTTTCTAAAGAAGGATCCCTGGAAAGAATTGGTTGGGTTTTTTCCCCTAGAAAAGTCCACAGAGCTGCCGCAACTCCTATCGATAGGAGTCATCAAAACCGATCGGTACAAAAATGGTGAACCCAGAACCATGTACAGGGATCCGGATGCGTTATACACCTGAACATTCCGTTGCAAATGGTGGCTTCCCCTTATTTTGGTGGAAAAAGCCATGTTTCAAATGGGCAAAATGTATCTTTTCAGGAGCCCTGATGTAAGGAATTGAAGAGGCGGCCGCAACCATTTATGGCTGGGATTGCCCCTTGCTAACCTTGATTTTACCCGGGTTTTCATTGTGACTCATCTGAGGCTCCTTGTCCGTATCCTCCTCCACCATACCTACCGAGCTGTCGGCCCCCATGTCTCATAGGGGTATACAATTAATGTGGACGCTGGGTTAATGAACCATTCCTATCATTCGGGGGTGTTCCCTTCAGAAGTGATAGTAGGAACCATGGAAACACGTGGGGTGCACCCACGGGCAAACCCCTCTAGTCTATATACATATATATATATATATATATGTATATATATGTGTACATGTAACACAAACACAGCTCGTTGGGCAGCATATACCCTTGAATTAAGTGGCATTTCTATGTGTTTCTCACCCACCTCCATTCCTCCAAAACCCATCTCGCAACGGCCAGCTTGAACGTAGGCCAAACCTCTTGGGTCCGGAGTAAGGCTCCTTTTCCACCCAGTGCTCCGATTCCAATAGCTGAAGAACCACAAGCTTTAGAGGAAGCTCCTTTAAGCCCCGCCCCCTTTTTGGGTTCCATGTTTCTTTGAAGGTGTGGCCATGGAACAGATTGCAATGCCAACGACGGAAATGGGGGGTGTTGGGGGGAAAGGGGGGAAACTGTGGGGGGCTGTCTGGAGTTCTGAAATGGGTTGACCTTTGGATTTCCTTCAATACGCAGTGCAAGCAATTACTCCCTTGGCCCTAACCCTGAGCTATCCACGGGCTAAGATAGATCCCCAACTTGATAAACCTCTTGGCGGTTATCCAGGCGTGTCTCTCAGTGTCTTCGTCATTTGGCCATGGGTCAAAAGCCCGTACCGCCAGTGAACATCCCAGTCCCCACTAAAATAGACTAAAATGGGTGGTGCACCTACCCCCAAAATGATCCCATTGGTTTTGACAACCACAGCCATTTTGGGGCCTCAAGGCGTATGCGGAATCCGATTCCGGATCCCACCGGAAAAATAAAAATTCGCAGCACCCTGTGATGTTCTGGATGTTCGGCGGCAAAGGTTACAGCTCGGCGTGTCTTTTTGGAGGGTATCCGCTTTTGGGCGGCTTTCCCTGGAAACCAAAAGGACAACCTCCACTTTGAGGAGACATATCCTGAAGCTGGAATCCGGGCAGCTCGATTTTCTGACCTGAGTAAAAACTGCCTGTGCCTGGAAGTGCTCATTTTGGCGTCCCTTTCAAAACAACACCGACCCAAAAAAATACATGGGAGCCTTTCTTCACATGGCAGTCGTGCATCGTCCACTTTCAAGCAAGACTTTGACTCCGCTTCAATCGCTTCGTCGGATCCAGATCTTTAAAATTGGACGTCGAAGAAACCCCATCAGACCCTTATGAATCCTGGTTCGAGTTCAGGGCATATTTCTAGATGTTCACGGGTTTGTTTACTAGTTTTAGTGGATTCCTTCATTCATCTCGTTTATATCTAGCTCAGTGATGGGTGAATCTTCAGAAGGGCGCACCTCAAGCAGAATTCATGGAGAACCCCCTGAGACATAAAAACCAAAAATCCAAAGGCTCCGGGACCCATGATAATTCATATACGACAGACCTGTGAGCTTGGTTCCTCCAAATCCCACCCGTCCCTGACGAAAGGTGCAAAGGCTCTCCCAAGATCGAGCTTCTCAAAGGACACACCCAAAACCCCTCTAAACCTGGTGATGTTGGTTCCCCGCACCAAAATAGCGCCACGCACCCCCCACCCCACCCCCCCTCCCCACTGTCCCCCACTGCCTGCCTCGTTTCAGCTCATTGGGCCCGGGCAGCGCGAAGAAGCGAGCCACAACAGCCCACAGCACCCCCAGCACCCCCTGCCGCTCCTGGCGGCGCTGGCGACGCTTGCCGCTGGCGACTGGCGACGCGACGCTTGCCGCTGGCGACTGGCACCCCCCGCCGTTGCCGGTGGTGTTTTTTTCTTCCCCCCCCCCCCCCCCCGTTTTTTTCGTTCTTCAAAAAAAACGTTGTTGTTTTTTTCTTTCTCCACTCCCCAACAAAAAGGTGGAAAAAACAGGCAAGGTGTCTGCATTTGGCCTTTTCATCCCCTTGAACAAATATAAAATCTGTCCAGTAGTAAAACCAACCGGGAAACATAAAACATACTCTTAAGCAACAGGAAGTATTTTCCCTTGTCGCTCTTGTTTGGAATCCACAGGGAAACCAGCCGCTCGGATTCCATTTCTCAGTCCATTGAGCAGAGCCTTGGAGTCTCAGGCTACCCTTCCCATAAGTCGCGATAAGCGGTACTTGATTCATTGCTATATGAGCCCAAGTCAATATTGATGGTGTCCTGGGATTTCGTTGTTTGTAGCCTCCCCCCCCTTGAGTGTGCTCCATTTCCCCTACCGAGGCTCAACATGTCTCGCACCGGATCTGTGGCCCTGGCTTTGCCTCCATACCCATTTGGCTCCCAGGCAGCATCGCTAGGCCCCGGAAGCTTTCAGCCGAAAAAACAAACATGGGGAGCAGAGCCTGTCCTTTGTTCGCCGCACCTTGGCGCTAATGATCTCCGCAAAGGTCTCGTTGCCTCGCGGAAAAACAACAAAACGAGGAGCAAGACTTGGGTCGTTTTGCGTGAAGACGGCACCCTTTCTCCAACAACCATGGACGGTGGACACTGCGGGGTCCCCCGAAAAGGAAAGCGTTCGTCTTGCGAAACCCTCCGATTCGGAATCGCCCATTGATTGGGCGACCCCAAATGCGCTTCTTGGATGCCAATCACACAAGTTACTGACCTGAGCGATCGGAACCCGCTGAGCACTTAACAAAAATGGTGACACCAGAAACCCGAAGACTCGGAGGCTTCGAATTTGAGTTCCCAGGCATAAACCAAACAGAAAGCAAAAACCAGCTCCCGCAACATGAGTGAGTCTACATGGACGACACTGTACCCAACTCGACTAAAAACAAATCGTTGCCGACCTCTAAACGATGGACAAAAAACACACTTGAACTCCAAATGGAGAGTGCTAATCTTTCGAGTGCAACTGATGAGTCTCGAGTACAACTGATGAGTCTCGAGTACAACTGATGAGTCTCGAGTGGATTCGGCTTGCAGTCACTTGGCTTCCGTCTAGCAGCGAACACGTTACCCGAAAGAACAAGAAGCACAAACAGCGCCGCAACCAAGGGGCCAAATAGACATTCAGAATCACTGATGCAGGTACAAGATGCTGCGTCCAGCATCTCCTCCACCCGATTTCCGTAGCTTCGTTGGCACGGCTTGGAAATCAGGCGCCGTGCCCCCTGCCTCCGAAAACGGCCCAAGGTGGTGACAGGGTATTCTGTCACTCCGCACACACACGCCCCTCAAAGAGGGGCGAGAACCACTTTTTCGGGGGAGAAAAAACCACGCGCCCCAAAACCGGGCGAAGACCCCAACAGAAAACAAACGGAGCAAGGGAGCCCAAAAGAAACAGAAAGGCCCCAAGTTGGGTCTCCGCGGGCAAAACCCCAAACAAGAAACAAGAACAACGGGGAAGCCAGGTTTCGGGTCTCCGAGGGCAACAACCCCAAACAGTGCAAAAACGACCTAGACCTTGTAGACGAAAGGGGCCGCGAAGGCAAAGAGGCAGAAGAGGAACAGGCCATCCCTAACCGGGCGAACAGGAAGTACAAGAGATAGCCCAGAGAGGGAAAGAAAAAGAAAGGAAAGAAAAGAAAGGGACGAAAGAGAGAAAGAAAGAGAGAGAGAGAGACAGACACAGAAAGAGAGAGAGAGAAAGAGAGAGAGAGACACAGAAGCGTATTTAGGGCAACGCAACCGCCCGGGGGAAAAAGAAAGGAGCAGGGTGCGTATTTAGGGCGCCGCATCCCGCCCGGGAAGAAGGAACAAGAAGCAGAAGGCAAAGAGAGAAAAAGGAGAAAAGAAGGAAGAAGGAAGAAGGAAGAGGAAGAGGGAAGTAGTAGTATGCGTTTTTAGGGCGACGCATCCCGCCCAGACAGGAACAGAGGATGAAGACCAAGGCTCGCGGAGAAAGACGTCGAATCCCACACAGGGGCCAAGAGGACGGACCCGAAGTAGCAACGGAAGGTGAAGAAGACGTCAAGCCAAACTACGTGACGAAGAAGAGGAGTAGGAACAGGAAGACAGACGCGAAGACGAAGACGAGGAAAAAGGTGAACAGCGCGAGGACAACCAGGCCATCCCTAAGCGGGCGAACAGGAGCGGGACGAACGCGCGGGTCACGAAAGGCAGCAAAAAGGGAACGGGAGGAAGGAGAAGCCATCCCTAAGCGGGCGAAGGACCAGAAGACGGGCACGCGGAAGAAGAAGGCGAGAAAAAAGGGAAACGTAGGGTGAGACGTCGCTATGGTCTGACCGCTGTCTTCCCTTTAGTGAAACCTCGTTCCTGGTTAAATGTGAAATTCCGCCGTTCTATGATCAGCACGTTGAGGTCAAATTTTCCGACAGAGCCGGCCCGGGGTCACACAATGGGTACACCCGAGGATTCCCCACGAATGGGGTGTACACACTTGAACTCCAAATGGAGAGTGCTAATCTTTCGAGTACAACTGATGAGTCTCGAGTACAACTGATGAGTCTCGAGTACAACTGATGAGTCTCGAGTGGATTCGGCTTGCAGTCACTTGGCTTCCGTCTAGCAGCGAACACGTTACCCGAAAGAACAAGAAGCACAAACAGCGCCGCAACCAAGGGGCCAAATAGACATTCAGAATCACTGATGCAGGTACAAGATGCTGCGTCCAGCATCTCCTCCACCCGATTTCCGTAGCTTCGTTGGCACGGCTTGGAAATCAGGCGCCGTGCCCCCTGCCTCCGAAAACGGCCCAAGGTGGTGACAGGGTATTCTGTCACTCCGCACACACACACACAAGGAATATGGGTGTATCGCTTTTGGAGTCCGTACACTTTGTGGGTCCTGGTTTAACTCAAACCCAAAAGGAACACCACCACGTTGTGGGTCCCTCTTGGAGACACACCCATATCGCCGAGTTGTTTTCCGTTTTGGAGCGTGTGGGGTTCATTCATCCGGGGTTCCGGTGTCCAGGGTCGCAACCGCATTACACCCGGCTACCAATCTGTTATTTAGAGCTGTACCAGTTAGAACTGTGACGATCATATTGTAGAGTCCTCAAAATGTGTTGATTGCCCGACCTCTTCTGGAGGAAGAAGCAACAAAACAACAGAATTACCTTGAGGCTGACGCCTGTCAGGCAATGCTTCCTCATGACGCTTCAGCCCATATGACAAGATGATGATTACAGTGTAAATGGCCACTTTCAAGACCACTCTGAGTAGCAGGGTCGCGGGTGGTACAAATTACAAGCTTCCCCGAGCTTATGTTCTGGGTTCCCCTCATATGGTCAAAACTGACAAACTGACCAACCATTCAGGCAAACAAATGAGAACACACACACCTCGCTCATGTCGCTGGAAGTTCTGCGCCCCTCAAATGGGTTGCTCCAGGCCCGAAGCAACCGATCCATCGCCTTTGTCGGTGATCAAAAGGAGCGCCGGCTCTTGGGGGGGGGGGGAGGGCGACAAACAAGTTGCACGTCTTGTATGATTTTAGTCAGCACTTCCCTTCCAAGCAGGAGTCCAATTAGAAGTCAATTAGAACCTGGAGTTTAATTGTTAGTTTAGATGTATCATTGGATTTTCTTCAAATATGCTTATATATATATATATGTGTTTTATTATATTAAAGTATATTGTAAACAGGATGTCCTTCCAAATCTACATGGACACTTATTTCCAATATATAGTATTTGGTTAGCAAGTGAAATGCCCAGGCCGCGATGGCAACTGATGCCTTGCGGAGACGTGTTTCTTCTTGCTGACCCCAACCTCAAAAACAAAAAACCTCGAGAAAACCAACAAACCAAAGAATTCAATTGTCAGCCCCTATGTGGAACTTTCTCGCTATAGCATGAAAAGTTGTAGAAAACCTCCAGAAACCCAACACAACAAAAAAACAAAACAACATACCCAAGTCCATGGGTCTTGTTGTTGCTTTTCTGGTTGTTGTTTGTTGGTTTTCTTGCTTTTGTTTTGGTTTTCTCGAGTTTTCTCTCTACTTCATGAAAAGTACAGAAAACCTCGAGAAAACCAAACAAAACATACCCCAACAGATACAGGAGTCCAGGGGTCTTGCTTTTTTGGTGTCCTTGAGTTTGTTGTTGTTTTGTCTTGTTTTTGGTCTGTTTTGGTGGTGTGCCAAAAAAAACAACATTTTCGGTGCCCTTCTGTATGAAAAAAAGTCGGAAATTTGGGGTCCGTCTTTTTGTTCATTCATGGTACCCCGTTTTGGGTTGTCGAACAGGGAAGCCAAAAAAACGACGGAGATCCATGTTGCGGGACCCCCAGTTTGAGATCGACACACCCAACTTTGTGCTCAAACGCTCCTCTAGGTCCAGTGGAGAGCTTGGAATAAGTTGGTACCGTCACTTTTTTCGGGTTTCTGATTTCTATTTTAGTAGGGGAACCGAATCTCCCAACCCAAAAAGGGGTGAGAAAGGGCAGCTGGGGGAATCTAGTGTAAGCCAAACTGCCATTATTGAACTTTTTGCTGGTTAAATGGAAATATGAGGGGAATCCAAAAAGTTGAAGTCTAAAAGTCAAAAGGGTCCTTCTCACGGGGGCGATCACCGGTCACCGCCACTGAGGGGTTGCGGCCAGACGAACAGCCGCTGGCCTTGCTCTAGCTCCTCCTCGGCCTGAAGTGGGAGGCCAAAGCCCCCACCCCAAAAAAAAAGGAACGACTTGTTGGTGTCCTTAGGATGCCAAAGGGTATCCTTAAAAACACAGAGAACATTGGAACAAAAACAACACCTTTTGAGTGGCGAGACTTTCAGATCGCCGGAAAGAAGTGCTGGATGGACTGTTGCAACATATCTCCTGAACTACTAAGGTGATCACCTTTTGGGGCCACTAAAGAAGGGTTGCCAAAAGGCGTCCTTTTGAGAAAAATTGGACGAAATCTGTTCGCACCACTTTGCAACTATGTCTGAGACCACCAGGTATCTTGGCATTTCTAGGGAAATTCTCACAAACCCATGGTTTCGGAAGGGTGCGAACCATGTTCTTTTTTGCTGAAAGGGGAGGAGAACTCCTCAAAGGTCAGCAGCTCGAACCCCGCTCGGCCTGTTTGGCGCCGATGCGTTGCAGCTCTCTCAAATGCCGGTGACCTCGGCTTTCGCACGAAGGCTTGCGCGGGAGTCTTCGTCCGGTGCTGGGGGCGTCTTTGCGTGGCAAACTGGGTCTGCCTGGAGTCTCCATGACCCGAAATAAAAATGGGTCCATGACCCATTTCTTTCTTTCGGGTAATGACCCCATTTTTTTTTCGGGTCCATGACTCCAGGTGTCCTTTTTTTTTCCGAGGTCTCCCCGTGGCTTTTGGCTCAGTTAGGGCTGGTGGAGCCAGGGGGCCCCGTCATGTTGGTGGTAGATCCAACCGAAAACCACCATGTGGCTGTGGCGAATTCAAAAAACCGGAGCTCCAAAATGGCGCAAGCCCTGGTAAGTGGAAACATGGAAACCAAAACCTGCGGTTTGCCCCTCCTGTTTAATTTTGAGCCACACCCATGCTGGGGGAACCAACATGGGATTGATTACAGCTCCACTCGGGGCAACTGCTGTGTGCATTTCGAGATGTCAGCCTTCACGGTGTGGCCACTGCTCGGTTGGCATCTCCTTCGGGTAGACGTCCAGGTCCCGTTAGACAGCTGTCCAAAAACCATGGCTGGTGAAATCAGGAAACATTCAAACATCCCACGACCACACTCTTTGCTGGCTTGCCAGCAACCATCATATCCCCCGAAATCGCCAGGTGGCATGCTCCTTATCTCCATTTGCAGAATTCCGCTGGGAGAAAAAGACAAACACATACTATCACCGGCAGTTACACAGTGAATGAGAAGGCTGGTTTATGATGATCCCCCTGTAATTACCAACAAACCTTATCTATGGTTTCAACCATGGTTTCATTTCGTGGTGCGAACGGATTCTGGAACCATCCACAGCAAGTTCCCTTTAAAACCAACAAGGTCCAAGCAACACAAAATCCAGCCAATGGGTGCTCTCTTTTTTTGAGGGGGGACCCAAACAAAAATGGGTGGCTGTCCTTTTGGAGTCCCTTCAAAGGCCACCCACTTTTGCCGCCCAGATGGAAGCCTAGGTCCTCCAGATTGGGGAGCTTAGAATGAGGGTACCCGATTTTTGTTTTTCTGGTTTGTCTAGGTTTGTAGGGGAACCCTCCCCCAAAAAAAGTTCAAAGGCACTACCGGGGGACCTGGAAGCTAAAAACCGCCAGAACCTGGAGCTCCTCCACTTTTCCGTGCGACGGAGTGTCTGGCGAGTCTCTTGCAGTTGTCGCCCCAGGGCCTCCGCCCATCTTGAAGCTTCAAACCGCAACCAAAGTCCGAAAGAAACTCGGAGGCGCGGCCGTTTTGTTTTTTTTAGAAATGCCCCCCAAAATTGAGGGTTTCAGTGGTTTCTTTTGGAGTGCCCCCAAAATATGTGTTCCTTTTGGTTTTCCCCTGCCCCAAAAAAACGAGGAGCCCCCCCTTTGCCTTTCGCGCGCGCTCGGCACGGCGCGCGAGGCATCGCGACAGCCCAAGGCATCGCTCGGCACGCGATCGAATGCGGGCAAACTCCCGGGTTCCAAGCCCTCGCTGAGGGAAAGCGTTGCTACCCCTGTTAACTCTCATCGTCAGGGTGGTGGGATCAGGGGTTTTTATCCATGATGTTGATTCTGTTTCTGCGGGGTTGATCATCCAGAATTGGGGGTAGAATTTGGGTGGTTCTCCAGAATTGCGATCAAGAAAAACCGGCAATACTGTGATTGTGTCAGAAACCGGAAATTTGTGGTGTCTCTTTCGCCTTCCATTCCTCGAGTGTTGCGGGATCACTCGGGGTTTATCCAACCACTTCTGTGATACTTTTGGGAATCTCCCCCTTTGTATGGGGGGGTTAGTCTTTGGGAAGCACTTTCTGTTGTATCACAGAAGTGGATTCCATTTCCCAGAGCCCTCATCGTAGATTGCAATTTGGGTGTGAGCCGCCCACGAAACCCACATCTGCCATCCCCAAACTCTTCGATTGCGGTTGACCGGGGAAAATGAGCCTTCGGAGGGTAAAGGTGGATGCTGCACTCTTCGCGTCGCCAGAGCGGGCCAAAGGCTTCAAAAAGTTTGGCTTCGGAAAAAAATCCCCGTGAGCGCGGGCCGTGCCCTTAACCGACGAGAAAACTTCTGAATGCTCGGGGCTTGAAGTGCTTACGAGCCAGAGGAAAAAGCCTGCTTGACCAGGGTGCAACACCGAGATGCCACAACTTATGGAACATCAGCGCTTTTTTGGGCCAAGATTGATGCCAATGGCGGATGACTTCTTCAAGGGGAAGGGGAACTCCGGTTACGCAAGGTGCACGATCGGAACTGCAATGTGTGTAGTGGATCTCTGAAGCCCTCTCGGAAACAAACAGAAAGCCCGTCCAAATGCACCCCATTTTGGCGGGTATTTGGGTTGATCAATATATTGCGTAAAAGGCCCCCCAGATGGCCATGGGAAACTTTCCCATGTGGTTGAAATGTCATCTGGCTGCTTTTCCAACCAACTGTCATCCCATGTTCATCCAACCTCTTGATGAACCCATCCCACCTATTGATCAACCACCATTTGGGTATGAATTTCAATATGGGGCCCCAACCGGTGGACTTCATCTCATGTCGGGGATTCATGTCCACCAACCACTTTGCACGTGGTTCCCCATTAACTAGGTCCTCCAGCAGAGAGGTTAGAATAAGGGTGCCAACTTTTTTTCTGTAGTCTATATTTAGTGGGGGAACCCTCCCCCCCAAAAAAGAAACGGTGAGAAAGGGCACTAATTGCAGGGGGACCTAGACTATGAACAACTTCTTGGCGCCATGGAAAACACCGAAGGAAAAACCCCACCAACCCGTTTGGACGTGGTTCCCTATGAACTAGGTCCTCCAGTAGAGAGGTTAGAATTAGGGTACCAACTTTTTTCTGTAGCCCCTAAAAAACGGTAAAAGGGCACTGGGAGACCTAGACTCTTCAACTTCTTGGCGCCATGGAAAACACCAAAGGACCCCAAGGCGGCCAAGAGCTCTGCTACTCGCGACCGGAGCGCCTCACACGAACTTGCCGCCCGCCTCACGCTGCTGCCGCTCTTTCAGGCGCATCCTCGAGTTCCGACCGCCCCCTTTGGGCCCCGGTGAAATTTTCTTCCCGCCGCGTTTTGTTGGCGCGTTTCTGGGGGAAAAAGAAGAAATAGGTAATAAAATGGTTTCCCTGTAAAATCAACCAGGGGGAAGTAAACATGTCCGAAACAAATGGAAGTAAACATGCCCTAAAGCAATGGGGAAGACCGACGAACAGAGGAGCACGTTTCCCGCTATGCTCCTGCTGAAATGGGTTCAAACTGGGGTGTGCGCTTTGTTTCGGGTGAAAACACACACACAGAGTGTGTGACACACAACACACACGGGCACCTCCATAGGTGACCTGTTGGACACAAATCGATAGCGCTGGTATATGGAAAGGCAACCCCCACTGGCAGTTTTCCTTTGGTTCCGTTTAAACCAACCCCAAAAAGGTACCATCGAAACAAGACGCAGACAGGACATGGCGTGTCAAAAAGGGTGGTTTGGAGGTGGTTTCCCATTTCAGAAAAGAAGCAGCCATTTGTGGAAGAAAAAAACCAGTCAACTGATTAAGGCACAGGCACCTTTGAACGTAACGCAATGCTTGATCTTTCTGCCAAAGGATGGGAAAGTCCTTTTTGTTTGAACGGGGAAGAAGTGGAACGGGGGGCGGTTCCGAGTCCTGCTGGGGATATCACCTGAGCTTATCTATTTTGGGGGATGCCCTCTGTCCACATGGTTCTTGAAAAGAGGCTAAAACTTGTTGTGCCACTCGTTCCTCGTCCCCAAAAGTAGTTTTCTTGTTAAAAACAAAAACTCAGGTGAGGTGAAGCTGGATAAGACCCCCCCGACCCCCCCCCCCTTTCAGTTTAGTGTTTACAGTTGTTTTAGAACTTTTCTTGTAGTTTGGGGGCCGAAACTGCGTCTCGGTGTCCTTTTGGAGCTTTTTCGGAGCTCTCAAAGCCAACGCGGCACAGATCGCTCCTCTTCACCAGCTCCCGAGAGCCCTTCAGGAAGGACATGCAGTCCTCCTCGTCCTAACGAGGCAGCTGCTCGCGGCGCGTGTCCGGTAGCTACAGAAAACAATAGCGGCTGGGACTCATGACAGGGAAACATGAATATCTCTCTCTCAGAAGGCACAGGTTGTGGACGAGTGCCCATAACTCTAGAAACCGGCTTGGACCTGGATTTTGTGGATCCACTCCTGTAGGATACCGAAAGAGTATAAAACATTACCAAAAAAAGGAACAAGCAGGGGCAAGAACAGGTGAAATCCGAAAAATGCGCATCCCAACCGTTTGCTAGAATGACATCCCCTTCTACAAACAGTGAATATTGACCCTTGCTCACGTGTTTTCAGGCTAGGAGTTCTGCCGGCAACTTCGTCCGCAACATGGCCTACGGCATCGCAGCGCATGAAGAGCGAAAAGAACGTTGCGACCTTGGTCTCCTCATTTCTAGAGTTCCAAGACTTTATGCTTTTCGGGCGACCATTTAATGGCAAACCAAAAAAGGTTGGACTTTTTGTTCGCCAATCTCGCTGAAGTGAAGACTAGGAACCCAAGGATTTGTTTGAGGTCTAATGCCACATCTCACACTGAGTGCACTGGCCAAAAAGTCCAACCTGTTTGTTTGCCACTATAATGCTTGGTTACTTTCTGCTCCCCCGCTCAAAGTTTAACTTTAAGTGGTTTAAAGAGAACCCCATTGGTTGGCAAAATGTGAAAGTCCTAACATCCCTTGGCAAAATGCACCAAAGAATGGTCTTCCCAAAACGCCTGTCAGGCAGTCCCTCAAGTCAGGCAGTCCCCCCCCCCCCCTGCCCTGCTTGAGACTCCACGTAAACCACGCCTTCGCGCAACGTCCCGTCCTGCGCCTGAACCTCATTCACATCCAGCAGGAAGTAGCCATCGATGGCCTCCCAGAAAAACATGGGATGGGGTTGGCTCTTTGTCCCGCGCAAATGGGTGTGTCTGTTTTTGTTCTGGGGAACCATCGAATTTCTGCCCGTTTTCAGATCCAAAAGGGTTTAACTTGTGGGTCAAATGGAAACCCAACCGCTAGACCAACTAAAAATCTGAAAACCGAGAAAGGAGTTGCCCAAAGGACCTGGAAATTCAAGGTTAACCTTTTTGGGGCCATGACTTCAAGTGGACCAAAATTGGACAACCGAAAGGTCAAAAGGTCGATTCGCTTTGCACAACTGAGGTGCTCAAGAAGACCGGCGGACCCAAATTTGGCGATTCTACGAACAAGCAGGAGGTTCCGCCGAAATCTCCTCCGAACATTCTCGAGTTTGAGAAATTCAAATCTGGGCTGTCCTCAGATCCCCCCTAAGAGTGTAACTTTTAGCGGGTTAAATGGAAATCCCCACTAAACACTAATAAAAGACTAAAAAGCTAAGGGGATGGCTGGGAACCACCAAGAAATGGGCACTCCCGATGCCCCACATTTCCACATTTCAGTGCCAAGGATGTGTGGCTCCAAATTGCCACGACCACAGATGTTTCTTGCCTTTGCTACTGTCCACGGCCGAAATCCGTTCGCACCACTTTGACACCATGATTGAAACGATTGTTTGTTGGTATGTACAGTGCCAAGGAATTCTTGGGTGGTGCCTAAGAGGATTTCATTCATCCACAGTATCCCTTCGCACCACGAAATGAAACCATGGTTGAAGCCAAAACATTTGTCGATATTTACGGGAAAATCGCATCATTCCGGTGTTTCTTAGGTGGTGCGAAATGGATTTCGTAACCATTCACAGTACCAACTGGGGACCGGTTGGAGGCGCCGGAGCTGAGTATGGCAAGCTATAACAGGTTGTCTCAAATAGGGGACTGCTTTCCTTCGGCTTTCCGAGAAAAATAAGGTACCCCTCAACAAAGGACACACCCACAAAGATGGACCTTGCTGGTGTCAAGACTGCATCAAGACCTTAAAGAAAACATGCGGACCTTGTGCCAGGTGGCCGATTTAGAACAAATGGATGGGGTTTCCCTGGTAGAAAAATAGGTCATAAGCCAGTGGAACCCAATTTATTTGTGACCAAAAAACCCATGAAACGCACACCTCTGCTTGTGCTCCAAAGGATCAAAAGGTACAGATACCAACCTCAAGACCTCGGCTGGGAACTGAGACCTCCAAACCCCGAGTGCCGCCGTGCGGATTTTGACCCCCGCAGCTTGGGGTTCACAGGCAGAAACCAAAATATGGCCAGCGGAGCCCACATAGGTGGGGGGAGTTGGTCAGGGGAAGGGGGTGGAGTCCAGGAACTCAGGCGGTGAGTTGAGTTTTAAAGGGCCACCCAAAGGAAACCAACAGGCATCGGTGTCCTTTTAGGTTGGAAATAGATGGGTGAAACCCTGGCAAATGGGTCATCTAAACCAGAACCCATCTATTTCTATCCAAGACAAGCGATCAAAAGGACCACCTATGAGCATAGGTGTCCTTTTAGGGACATAGATGGCCCTGGTAGATGATTCAACCACCAGGTCAACCAGGAATCGCCATCTATGTTTCAACCAAACCACCAAAAAGGACACCTATGGGATCCCAACTTTGCTCGGCCCTTCAAACAATATGAAACCCCGAGTGGCACCTGGACCCAACAGGACCACCTAGAACGCTCCTTTTCTGCCCAAAGCACTCCAGGACTTAGGGGCAGCTCCGCCCCATAGCGTCCAATAAGCCCAGGTGGTATCCCCAACAGCCCCGGAACCCTCTGGAACCTTCTGAACCCTCCTTGAAGGCTGCCCCACCCCGATCGAGCTTATATTTCGGCAAGAGACCAAATCCATAGCTTCCAGCAGTCGGGGGGGGGGGGAAAAAGGAAAGAAAGGGAACCCCCTTAAGCCCCTAATGGTTGCAAGGTCGATTCGCTTTGGGCATCTTCCAGACTTTCGGAAAACAAAACCAAAAACAGGGTACATGTATGTATATATATATATAATGTGTGTGTCGATGTATCGATATATATATATATATATGTATGTATGTATGTATGTATATATATATTACAAAAAGCAAAAAGGAAAACGGAAAGAGAAAAAAAAAAAAGAGAAAGAACAAAAAGGTCGACGCAAAGGGCCCTCGGCCTCGGGATCCTCGGGGTTGTCCTCCCAGACCGAGAAGGGCCGGGGCCAGACCCGGGTGATCACCGCGGAGTTCAGCGGGATGGGGTCCTCTCCGCCCGGCGAACACGTCGTCGTTCGCCGCCGGCGGCTGAAAAACCGCGGGGCGTTTTGGTGGAGCTTTCGGGTTTTTCTTGCCCCAAGTTGGGGTTCTGGAAAAACCCCCGGAAAAAACGCCGGAAAAGTTGGCCGCCGGCGTGAAACCGCGAGACGTTGTTGAGCTTTCGGGTTTTTCTTGGGCCCCAAAAGTGATTAAAGTTTAAGCCAGTTGGCCGCGACTTTGCACCGCGAGACCTTTTGAAGCTTCAGATTTTTGTCCAAACGTGGGCAAACGCCCTGAAGCGCGAAAAACCTCCAGACGATGGGCGGTAGGGGGCTGGGGGGAGTTGGTCAGGGGAAGGGGGTGGAGTCCAGGAACTCAGGTGGTGAGTTGATTTTTAAAGGGCCACCCAAAGGAAACCAACAGGCATAGGTGTCCCTTTAGGGGAAAAATCCATGGGTTTCCCTGGTAGATGATTAAACCACCAGGTAAACCAGGAATCGAAACCCATTGATTCTTTTTACCAAAAACCAACCAAAAAGGACGCCTATGCCAACCGGTTTCCCCTTCAACTTTGAGACAAGTCCATTTCTATATGTTGCCCAAACGCTAAAAGTGACTCACTTTTAGTGGTTTTTGAATGGAAACTACCAATAAACACTAAAAGGCTAAAAAGCTAAGGAACCGGATGGCTGGGAGCCACCAAGATACCTCTACGTTGCCCAGAAGCCTCCATTTGAAGGGCTGCTACAAGACCGCCTCCCGGAAGGAAGACACCCAAATCGAGGTTCCCCGTTTATGTGGGTGGTGTGGTTGTTTGAGGTAAGGGAAAACCTAAAAGGAAAACCACCAGGATTTGTATTGTGTTTTTTTGTTGGCGGGGGAGGGGGGACATCTCAAAATAGAGACAGATGAAACCTCTTTCAACTTACTAGGTCTTCCAGATTAGAGAGGGTAGAATAAGTTGGTACCAACCTTTTTTCAGGACGTCTATTTTAGTAGGGGAACCCTCCCAACCAAAAAAGAAACGGTAAAAGTTGGCACCTAGCTGGGGGGACCTTCAGCTTGCCTTGTCGGCCTCCGGGTCGAACTGCTCCAGATGGAACACCGGCAGCAAGGTCTCCGCGAAGGCCTATTCCGCCGATTCAACCCGCAACACATATCAGCACTCCACACGCTTGTGCATTCCTTCCATTTGCTTTTGCGCCCCCTGGAATAATAATAAAATATGTCCAGTAGTGAAATCGCTTCCCTTTAAAACCAGCAAGGGAAATATGGGGCATAAGCAAATGGATGTTTCGTAAACATCACTCATTGCTCAGGACACTCCTTAGGGAATCCCATATGGGTATTAGAAACCGTTTGGTGGACATCGTTTGGGTGGGGGTTTATGTCCACCAACCACTTTTCAGGGGGCTCCCTAGTAAAATTCATAGCCATATGTGTGTGTGTGTTTTCAAAGTGCGCAAATCACCGTTGCTTCCCGCATTGTTTTAGGCCTCGCTTTCAAGAGGCGTCGAAACAGGTCTGTTGGTTATTCGCATAAGCCATGGTCAAAGTTACTTGCTTCCCCTGAAGGACATGGAAAAAGCAGGGCGTGTCCCCTGGCGCGGGAATTTAGAGCTCGTCCCCCATGCCCCCAACAAATGGACCATAGCCTGGACATCTTGGCTGTTTGACCTAACCTTCCAATGTTTTGTTTAAAGATACGGTTCTGAGGTAGAGTCTTCCAGGGAAGGCGACAAAAAAAAAACACCTCTTTGAGTGCCGAACTTGGCTCTTTTCGCCCATGGCCGGGTTTCCGGTTTTCCGGATCCCGGCTGAGCAGCTTGGTGAAGGGAAGCAAAAGCATGAAGCCCACCCCTTGAGAGCGCCGATGTTCGACACGCTCGTGATTCTTTGTTTGGGTCCGCAGCCGGAAACCCCGGTAGATTAAATTCCGGGCAACCGCAGAAATGTGCCAGCTGCTTTCTTTACCGGAAGCTTAGTCATTTTTCTTCCTCGACTACTCTTTGGGATAGGCTTTGTACGTATGACATCTAGTTCTGCCTTGATAGGCACCATTTTGACATCGGCTTTTTCGGGCTCCATTTTGCGAGCAGATTTGTTCTTCCAAACCACATCTTCTAGTCGTACAACGCGTTGGTAGCCTGGGCAGAACACGTGTTTTTCTGCTCCGCTAAGCGCATTGTTCTTTCTTGATAGGAACCTTCTGTGGTTCCCTTTCTGTGTACACGCGCAATGCACCTGCTCAACGCCTTGCCCGGCCAGGTCTCATCATTTCTAGGCTCGCCTCTGCAATTTGCGCAGGTGGCGCGAACAAGAAGCAGTGTTACGGGCTCGTAGCTCTGGGGCGAAGGTTCAAAAAGCGGCAGCCGTGGCCAGGTGGTTTATGTTTCAAGCGCTGAACAAATTCGCTTCTTGGCGAATTTGAGCGCGAGACGAGTGCCTATGGGAGTTGTGTTTCCAGCGTGCGAGACCTTAGGATGACACATTCTTGCCTTGGTGAAAGCTCCTATATGCTCCTATGTATCAGAGATGCCGATGGAGGGGGACACAAGCAGGAACACTTCCGAGTTGGAGGCTGCGAGAGGGAGCACGCGCGATGGGTGAAACGATTCAAGCCCGCGGGCTCTAGATCCGATTCAGAGCCTTGAGTCCTAGTTTTAGAATCTTCAAAACTCTGGGGATCTTTAAAAAAGGGTTCAAATGGAAACCCTAAGCCCGGCACAGGTTAAAAACTGGGCAGGTGGGACTTCCTTGCTCGATTGGACCATCAAATTCACCCCCTAAGTGGCAGGTTAAAGGGCAACAACCCCAGTTCACCCTCAGTTTCTGACATTCCTAACCATTGCTAACCCCCCAAAACATCGAACCCTAGTAAACCCCCAGTTTCTCGCTTCAACCCCCAGAAACATCCACAAATCTCCATTGATCAAATCCTCGGATTCTTTCTGCTCCCCTGCTAAAAGTGAATAACATTTAGTGGTCAAATGGGAAAACACCCACTAGGTTGGCAAAAAGTTACCAGTGAACATCCGATTCATTCCCCACTAAAATAGGTTCTAAAATGGCTGGTGAATTCACCCACCCCAAAATAGGATCCCATTCGTTTTGAACCATGGCCATGTGTCTTAGAGGGTCTATCTGTGTGCTCCTTGGGGAACTCTAAAATGAGCGGCAGATCCCACGCCTTGAACTTCCTGAGCATCACCCCCGCCGCGGCCGAGGTGTCCTGCACCAGCTTGGGGTTCAGCAGCACCACCGGCACCTTCTTCCCCACGTCTCGCCTGGGTCATTTGTCAACCGTCCCGGCCCGTCCACATGAATGGCTGGCTCCAAAAACCCGGCACCAAAATGGGTTGCCCTGGTAAGGAGAAACATGGACCAAAACCGACCAAAAGACATCTGAACCTTTGGCTTCAACTCGGGGAGTGAGCTTTGGGAATCGGACCCCGATTCCCAACAGGGGAACAAGCTGCGAACCAAAGGGCGCCTGATCCAGTTGGAGGTTGATTTTGGGGAGGGAGTTGTGTCCACCACTCTTCCCCTTTAAGTATAGGCACTTATCTCAAAGAACCAAGGAAACCGTCCCTGAAACTAAGCGGATTTTGCCGGTCTCCTAGAATTCATTGTGGGAGTACTCCACAAGGGGAGGAAGGGGGGAAGTGGGAGCCAAACCCCTTCCGACTGGGAAGTTTGGCCCGAAGGGTCCCGTGGTAATGTTGACTCCACCAGATCCGGAGAACCCGTCCTAGGGGGAAGCACCCTCCAGTGATGAACCCCCACCCTTGTCCAAATCCGGCAGGGCTTCTGCTTGGATCCAGGCCTTCCATTACGTGCCGACGGTGAAGGTGGCATTTCCAAGTGGCGGCGCTCGTGGGTCCCAGTCAAGAGACGTCCATTCAAGAGACATGTGGGGTTCATCAAAATGTCCGTAATACATGGGGTGACCATTCGGGAATACACATAGCCATTTTGCCGAACGGACCATTGATCACCCCCGTGTCAGGGGCATGATGCCAAAATGGCGCCTTTGTTGGACAACCCGACTTGGATGTTCAAACCACGGAGTAAGTAGGTTGCAGCCATAGCTTTAAGGGGGACCAGCCCCAGTTACCCCAGTTATGACCAGCTAAGTTGGCCGAACAAACAAGAAGGCGCGTCTCTCTGGAACAGGAGAGAGCTCTCAACTCCCCCCCTGGCGCCCCTTAGGGGCCCCGGCATCACGTCGAAGATCGCCAGCACTGCCGCCATCTCCGACTGGTTCGGCGCCACCACCATCAGCAGGGAGGACTCCAAAATCTCCTCCAGCACCATACGCTCCTGAAAAAAAAACACGAGCGCAACCTCGCTTGCGGCGCTTCCGCCCCCATCGATTCGGCCTCTCGGCCAAGGGAAAAGACCAACGCGAAATAGCTGTTTTTCCGGCCCAAAGGTCCTTCGAATCTTCGAACCTGTGGGTTCTCAGGTTCGGGTTCGGAGGGAGCCTCTTGGGGGGAGGGGAGTACGGCCTAAGATTACTCTCTCTCTCTTGATTGTAGATACTTTCTCTCTTGATTGTAACGGCCAAGTCCTTGAAACACTCAGCGCTGATGGGGTATAACTGATGTTCATTGCCCAATAATGGTCTGACGGGACCTAGGAAAGGGCCCATTGCCGGTGGATGGGATGTGCTTGTCGGGCGCCCCATGCGCTTTTGGGGCGCGAAAAAAGGCAAGGGCCAGGTGGCGCAAAAGAAAGGTGGAAGCGCAGTGAGTTCAACCCGCTGTTGCGAAAAGCGACCCGCAACACGACCAACCGCGTGAATGATCTTCAAGGTTGCGACACTCCCATGCGTCCGCACAAAGAGGAACATGGCGATTGCCCGTCTGCGGCGAAAAGGGAAACCAGCCGTTGAGGGGTCCCCGTTGCTTGATTACCCCTACATGGCACACCTTCTACAGCAAGTTGAAGGCTCCGAGTAGAACAAAGACGAGTGACTTTTCGATGTGCCGCCAAGTCTCAAACAACTCCCATGGCTATGAATTGTAAGGGGTTCTACCCGAAATAGTGCCCACCTATGTCCACCAAAGGGTACCCAAGTAAAGCTCCTAAAGTGGAAGTACCCGTTTTTGAGGTCTATTTCAACAAACCACAAAACACCCTCAGAGCCAGAAGCGTGCCCCCGTTTGGCCCGCCAGGATAGTCTGGGAGACTTTTGATGGGCCGCGGCTTTCCTTGAAATTTCACTTGGCGGCTCCCTTTCCCCAAACTGCTCACTTCCGATCGAGCGGTTTTTCCACTGAAATGGTTTTCTCAAAAAGTTAGAAGTCCAGGACCTCGGGAAGCGACTGACAATCCACCAATGAACCACGAGTCACCTCCGCTCGACTGCTTGCTTCTTCCGGTAGAAGTGGCCCGCAGGCTTCGTGGGTGGACACAAGCACCCCTAGCATTAAGGCTGCCACGGTTTTAGGAAGCACCCTCGGGTTCAATTCAATCCCCACCAAAACAATGGCATCACTCACGCGCCCTGCAAAAAGTGTTGCTGGTTGAAAGGTAAAATGATGGACACCCAAAAAGGCAAAGAGTCCATCATTTTTACCTTTTTGGGTGTCCTTTTACCTTTTTGGGTGTCCTTTTAGCAAGAGTCCTCTTAGGTAAAATGAAGCTAAGCCTTTGGCCTTGCCGTGGAACGGTTGACCCAACTTTGATTCGGGCGCCGGCGGTCGAATTCCTCGGATGGTCGGAGTTCCAGGGGCTAGCGCTCTGAACTTCTAACCTCCGAATGGACAGGTGTTGAAACCGCGATTTCCTGAGTGGATTGGCCAAACCAAACTGAACTTTTGATTTGGGTGTGGCTCAAAATTCAACAGGAGGGGTAACGCAAGAATTGGTCCATGTTTCCACTTACCAGGGAGTTTACCAGGGTTCCATTTTGGAATTGCGGTTTTTCGAGCCACAGCCATTTACCTCTAAGATGGTCGTCCCAACCCCCCAGGTATAAAGCAACGTAACCCGAGTGTTACCACGGCACATACCACGGCACATGTACCGTGAACGCATGACATCCAACGTTTCAATCGAGTCAACGAGCCATGTGCTGCCGTGGCCCTTCCACGCGAATGCTTCGTTCCAAGACGCACTTTATAACCAGCAAGACGTGAAGGAATCCAATCGCAGCCCTCCGGAACCGAACAGTTCGCTACCTCTGGTTGCCTCAGCCCCTAGTTGCGCCGTGCCCATGGAACTCATGGCCCATGGTCGTTCACTTAGGATCCGTTTGTCCTGTCCAAACTCAAGGGGCTGATGCAGTAACCATGCCTACCAATCCACATAACTAGACGGTCCAAAAAAGCCACACATCTGACGTCCGGGAAAAAACATGGCCTCCATTCGGATCTCGCGCTTGGGCAGCACTGGCGGGAGGTTGTCCATGATCCTGTGCTGCGGGAACAGGGCCCACGTGCCTACCCAATTTTCCTCTGGGAGCGGTACGGCGTCGCGAGATCTAGGCCCGGTTGGGGGATACGAACAAATCTAGGCCCGGAAGAGGCTGCTTGCAACTGTATAGAGAAACTCAATCCGGTTGTTGCTCCAGTGTCCTCATGAAGCTGCCAAGAACAAGCGAGATTCATTGATAGCAACCTGGCAACATGACCCAAGCAAATGCGCGATCCTGGTTTCGAAGAAAAAAAGACATTGGAATTGAAAAACCACCAGGCATAAGGCTCCTGGCGAGACGCGGGTTCAAATTTTGGGCAACCATTCCTCTTTCACACAACTTACGGCGGAAGATTCACTATAGCTTCATCTCTCTTTCTTTCTTTCTTTCTTTCTGTCTTTCTTTCTTTCTTTCTTTTCTTTCTTTCTTTCTTTCTTTTGATTTTTCTTGCCGCGCCTTGCCTTGCCTTACTTCTTTCAGTGTTTTAGTTTTATCTATGTTTCAGCCACCTATCCATCTATCCATCTACTCGTGTATCCCTCTATCTATCTATCGATTAAGGTCCACTTGTCTATCTAAGGGTCTATCTGTCTATCTACCTTTCATCTGCGTGTCCATCTTTCCATGCAATTTTGCTATCTATCTATCTGTCTGTGTGTCTGTCCATCTATTTCGACCTATCTATTTATCTACCTATCTACCTGTTCATCTATCTATCCATCTATCTATCCGTCAACCTGTTTATCTATTTCTTGTATCTATCAACCCATATACTTGGTACGCACTGTTGCTGTTTTTCTGTCTACCCATCGATCTATCTCTTTGCTTTCCAATCTCTCGATCAATCTAGCAACCAGCCACCCAGCTACTTATGTATAAGCCAAGCTACCTACCTACCTACCTACCTACCTACCTGCCTACCTACCTATGATATAACGACAGCACTGCGACTGCCACGGAGTCAGCACCTCGCAATGCGAAAGCGCTGCGCCTGCGCGAATTCGCTGCGCGTGTGTCGAAATCTGCGCCTGGCCTTGCGAAAGTGCTGCGCCTGCCACGAAATCTGCACATCACCTGTGCCACGCAATGTGTGTCTCACCTTGCGAAAGCCCTGCGCCTGCCACGAAAATCGGCACCTCGCCTTGCAAAAGCGCGTCGCCGGCCGGGCAATCTGTACCGGACCGTGCGAAAGTGTCGCGCAAAGTGCGAGTGGAGATCGCTCAACTTCCTTTGATGAGTGATGAATATGTCAAATGCCATCATCAAATCAAAGCAGCGCAACCCAGCTTGGCGCGTGTCACAAGGATGAACAGCATTCGGAGGACACCCGACCGGTTTTGCGGGCAACAAGTCCAACCCCTCCAACCAAACCACCCAAAGTCCTACCCCTTCAGTACCACCCCTTAGGTCCAGCTACCACTTAGGTCCAGCTCCACCAAACTTGACTAAGTCGCACTGTCCAACCACCAAAGGTCTGCCCCTTCAGCACCACCCTTAGGTCCAGCCGCACCAAGCTCGACTCCGCATTTTGCCGGGGCGCAGGTTCTGCGGCAGCTCCCCCCAGCGGGTCTCCACCAGACTCTTGGCCCCGAAGTCTGTGAAGAGCACCCGCACGCCACGGCCCTCCGGCAGCTTGGCCGAGAGCGCCAAGGTCTTCGCCACCTCTCGGGACGGCACGGCCGGACGGGAGGACGAAGCTGCTCCAAGCCACGGAAGCCGTCAGTTTGGACGGAGGGGAAACGTCGGAAAGGAACGGGTGCTTTGGGTTTGGCGCATCCAAAATTGGGGAGCCGGCCATTTTTGGGCGGTTCTCCGGTTGGTTTCGTTGCAAATCAACCACATGTGCTTTTACGCCCGAATCATCGAGAGTTGTAGAAGGACTAAAAGACAAGGACAAAAAGGCCCAGGTGGTTTTTACCAACAGCAACTCAAAACTATCGTTTCATATACAGCTTCATTCCCAGAGCTGATGAGCATTGGTTTCCGTGTAGCCAAGAAGCCTTGAGAAAGCATGTTTTTTGGGGGGATTCACCAGCCATTGTGCACAGCATGCGACGCGGGGCACCCTAACGATCGCCCAAACACAAAACGATCGCCCAAGTTTGGGCAACTGGACAGTCCATTGACCATCTGCAGACAACGGGCTTCTTCAAACCAAACAGCAACAGAGCCATGCCAAGGATTCGCCCGGAATGTTTCCGCCCCATGGACGCAACGGGTTCCCAAAACGGGTGCGCGTAAGCCTGGGCTGAAGGGCGCCGTTGAAGAGAAGGATCCCTGAAGAGTATTTGGAGGATACAGCTAGTCCAAGGAGTTCACCTCATGACACACAAACAACTACAAGGGAACGCATTTGACATGACCTTCTATCTGGGAGGGGGTTTGGGGGCCTCCGTGTTTGTTCCCCAAGGGAAAATGGAACCATAACCACAATTCCAGGGGTCACCCCCTTCCCCAATTCCGGGGCTGGACATGACCTCCTCCCCTCAGCTGACGGATTTCACGTGGCAACCGCTGCTCGCCTGCTCGGCAAACTGCAGCACGCCGCCCAGCTCACCTGCCAACCAAAGGCACGCAGCACCCATCAGGCACCGCGTGGAAAGGATACATCCCGCTTTTTCGAAGATCAACATGTCTTGGTGGTTCCCAGCCATCCGGTTCCTTAGCTTTTCAGCCGAGTGTTGAGTGGCGAGTTCCATTTCACCCACTGAAAGTTAAACCTTTAGCGGGGGATCTGAGGACAGCCCAGTTCCACGAATGGGCAGGCTGTGAAAGTTTGGCCATGGGCCATGAGTCCAGGACCTGCCAAGCTCTGAGCACTTGCTCTCACGCGGAGGCCCCAATGTTCAACTAGGTCCTCCAGTGGAGAGGTTAGAATAAGAATACCGTCTTTTTTCTGTAGTCTATTTTAGTAGGGGAACCCTCCCAACCCAAAAAGGGGTGAGAAAGGGCACCTAGCTGGGGGACCTGGTCAAAGAAAAGATCCAGGGTGATCCGTTTTCAGTTCCCCCTGCTAAAAGTAACAAACTTGTGGGATAAATGTGGAAACCCAACCACGAAAGACGGGCTAAAAAGATCCGAACAGCTCTCCGAACCATTTCGGGCCGGACAGTTCAACATGTTGATCTGTTCTCCGGAGACCATAAAGGGGTCACTTAATTCTCCCTGAGATTGGTGACAAGCAAATTTCTCCAGCGAGGAGAATATTCTAGTCGGAACCGCAGTAATAAAGACATAGCGAAGCCAGGCGAGGCGAAACAAATCAGATGAAAGTGAATCAAAGGAAAAAAGAACAAGAAAAGAACCATATATATATATATATTGTCTAAAGAGAGAACCCAAAAGACATAGAGAGAGAGAGAGAGCGAGTGAACTAGGGAGGGAGGGAGGAGGGAGGGAGGGAGGGAGGGAGGGAGGGAGGGAGGGAGGGAGGGAGGGACAAAGAAAGAAAGAAAGAAAAGAAAGAAAGAAAGAAAGATTGAAAGACAGAAGCGAAGAAGTGCAGCAAGGCAAGCAAACAAGCAAGCCAAGCCAACAAATGAAACGAAGATAAGCCTGTCGCCACAATGGGATTCCGAGGGGTGGCTCTAATTTCACGCAAGAACATACACAAACTCCTCCCCCTTTGGGTTCGCTTTGCTTTGGGCTCGTTTTGGGGGGGGGTGAAACAAGTGAAGAAATCGTCCAGCCAGGCGTCAAGCTTTGTCAACTCAGGTAAGAAATGGGTCTAGAAAAAGGACAGCCTTACTCACCCCGTAAAGTGGCCTCCTTTAAAGGATGTTGTTGAAACTAAAACGCGACCCATGCCCTTCTCGCAAGAAGCACATCCTGCCTGTGACTTGGCTATCCTCCGCGCCAGTATTGAAGTACATGGTCTGCCGAACCTGACCATCCTGCCACGCTTGGCTGCGTACAACGGCAAATCAAAGACAAAGTCCCGTTTTCGTTTAAAGACGAATCCGCTTTTCATCGTGGTCCTTTGGCAAGAAACCGCCTGGATGTCCAACAAGCAAGAAACAAGTTGGACAACTGAAGGGCACAAAATGCCCTGCGCCGCAGAGTTCGCAACTCCCTTCATTTACTTCAATGGATCAGGGAGGCCTCCTTGATTTACTTCACCGCCTGTTTCTTGGGCCTGGCTCTTTCATTTGCCCACGAAGCAGGCAAACCCAAGCGCCGGATCCTTTCGCCGCAGAGGGAAGAGAGTGGGGTGACCCCGCAAAAGGGTCCGCTATACCTATACCTGTGAAGCCTTTTCCCTTCCCATATGTGGTCTCCTTAACACCAAAAAACATCCTGTGTGCTCTCGACCCCCTGTATTAGATTTGTTACATCTCCTCTCCATCCATCCCAAAAACACTTCAACCCAGTTTCCTATGGTTGTCAGGGCCCAAAGCAAGCCCCTGTTGGGAGGGAGGGGCCCCTATTCAGGGGCCCTGGACAAGCATAGGACAGTTGAAACTGGGCGCAGGTCCTTCCAAACGAACCCAAGACCAATTTCCCCCCCCCCCCCCCCTCAAGAAAAAGAAAGACCGCACACCCAAAACCAACCACCCCTAACCCCAAAAAAACAAACACCCGTGGTTCCATCCTTCCCCCCCCGGTTGAGGTGTGTTTTTTTAACTCGCCCCGGCTCAGCACAAGGTGGCTCTGAACATAGTTGGCCAGGTTGGGCATCCCCGGCATCCCCAGTATCACTGGCCTCGCTCGGAACTGCCGATTGGCTTTGATTTCGTGGCAGTTCAGAATTGCTCCGGGCTTGTTTCGGGTGAGTGTTGGGCTTGCTGAGGTCTTGTATAATGAGGGCGGGTCTTGGGTTTGCTTGGGGTTCATTTAGGAATTGAAAAGGGCTGATATCTAGGATGCTGCTGGGAGGGTTTAAGGTTGACTTTGAGCCGGTTTGGGTTGGCTCGGAGATGATTTGCGCGAGGTGTGCGGCCCAGTTTTTGCACTAGCCTTTGGGCTGCTTCAGGGCGTGGTTATGCAATTTTTGGGGCAACGCCCCACAAAACAGTCCCAAAGCAATTCTGAACTGCCACGAAATCAAAGCCAATTGGCAGCCCTATTCCGAGCGAGGCCGGTGATGCTGGGGATGCCGGGGATGCGGCCGCCCAGCTGGCCAACCAACCAACCAACCAGCCCCCTGGCCGGGGCTAAGCCCCGAGCCGGGGCTAGTAAAAACAAAAACACCGGTTCCTCCCCCTCCTTTCCCAACAAACAAAAAAACATGTTTTTTGTCCCCATGGCCGGGTTTCAATCTCACCCCCCCAACAAAAAAGCAAAAGACGAGAAACCAAAAACCGCCGCCTTTCACCCGAGCTCTCCGAACCGCTCGCTCGTCGCTCGCGCCGTCGCTCGAGGCGTCGCTCGAAACTCTTCGGCTCCTCCGCGGCGCGGAGGCAGGCGGAGCAGGCCCAGGCCACCGCCTGGTCGAAGCTCTGCGGCACCGGGGTGGAGGCCTCGATGGTCGCCTCGCTCGCTCGGCGCTCGCTCGGCGCTCGCTCGGCGCTCGCTCGGCTTTCGGGAGCCTTTTTTTTCCCCCAGAGCGAGCCAACGAGCGAAGCGAACGAAGGAGCGAAGGAGAAGGAGAAGGCAGAGATATGGGTGGTGGTTGCTTTGTTTTGCTTCTTTTTTTTTGAGGGGTGGTGGGGTGGTGGAGAGATGTGTGTTTTTTGGTTTGTTTCTTTTGAGGTATTTTTTTTGGGGCGGAGGGGACTGCCACACTCTGGAAAACGGCTTGGATTCGCGCTGTTTGTGGGATGTTGCCTGGTCTTCCCCCTGTTGGTCCCTTTTTCTGGAATCGTTTAGTACTTACTCTTTTCATATCCTACAGTGGTGGATCCACACAAGCCACATCCAAACAGGTCTTTAGACATACTGGCGCCGGGAGTCGATACAGCCAACGCGAGATGAATAGACCATACCCTAAAGGTGGTTGTAAATTCCTTCACCTGCCATCATGCCGCTGTAAAACCAACTGCATTAAAACAACTGCAACACATACTGTCCAATCATTCCAAGAGTTGCCTGGTTTGACACACATGCTGGGGAGGTGCGCCATGCGGCGCCCATACAGGCGAACAGTTTATTCCAAACAATTGAATAAGATGTGATTAAAAACATATCTACATTAGTTCAAATGTGTTCAAACATTCATATTGTGCTATTGTTGACTATGTTTCACAATTATATAGTTCAATATCAAAGTATGCATCTGTCTTGAGGTTGCCAGCAACACCTGCTTTCTCTTGATGCTTTGAAACAATCAACATGTTGAATCACCAACTATTCATTGGTTATGTAATCCTCTCCTGTGTTAGTACATGCTAGAGGCATTTAATGTTTCTAAATATGTGTATATATATATATATATATATAACTTTAATAGGTAGAACACCACCTGTCTTTAGCGATTTCCGCCCAGCTCATTTAATTTGTCTACCTAAGCAAAAATCGATCCCCTCGTTAAATATAATAAATATAAAAAAAGGTAAGTTATAAAGATAAGCTGACATTCCCTAACAGTATAACTATGCCTCTTGATGCTCTGGTTGCTTGTCGTCTTCTTGATTTGATGATGTTCTTCCCCCTCTCAACCACGCTTGCTTAGGGTAATCATCAAAGGCTGATTGTACAGGTCCATAAATGGACCCATGGCCATGTTGAGAACCCTTTGTAATTAAGCCAAAACCAACGGTTATTCACCCATAAACTAGGGGTTCATACCGGGGGTTCACATATGGAAGTATACATTCAGCCTTTGAAATCAATCCAGTTCAAGATGGGATTGGCACACACCCTAAACGCAAAACTGGCGACATCGAAAGCCTTCCTGCCCATTTGGGAATGTGTCGGGACTGGGGAGTACTTTGAGGGAACCACTTCGCCTGTCATTTTGATGAGCATAGCACAGAAGCCGCCAATGAAAACAGGGCGTGACAAAAGGAAGGTACAGTTCTCAAATCTCCTCCTCCAAAAAGGTGACCCTCCAAGCGATTCCATGGAAGCTCCAACCAAGAATCCTTTGGAAGACGAGCTCGAGCTCCCCATGAGCGGGGATCTTGTTTCCAACTTTATGTCGGTGTTGAAAAAGCCCACGTGGAGCTCAAATGGCTATGAATTTTAATCTAGGACCCTTTGGTGGACATCATTTAGGTGGGGATTCATGTCCACCAATCACTTTTGAGGTGTTTCCCTATTGAAATTCATGGCCAAATGGGTGGTTACAAAATGGAGATCTCTTTGAAGGAGCTTCCCCTGAGGGAGTCCCAAACCTCGTTACGCCGACCGCTCGCCCTCGCTCGCTCGCCCAAGGCGCCTGCACCATCTCCTCTCTCATTCCCATGGCCATCCGCTTCTCCTCGGTCATGCCTGCGACCCGAAAGCTCAGGGGAACTGGAAAGACTCGCTTCCCATCCAGCGAGTGGCTTGGAGACTCGCTTGGCGAGTGGCGAGTGGCAACAAAGGTTCTAGGGAAATCCTTCCAATTCCATTCTGAACCCAGGGATCCGAGTCTTTTCAGGAAACCCTTTAAAACACGCAGGGGAAGCGGATCCGGTTTTTGAAAAGAACGATGGTTGAAAATAATGGGGAATCAACCCCTAGAAAGGTAGCCGAATTTGCTGCCCAACCCAAAAAGGAGGAAGTGCGAAACGGAACTCAGGGAGTGAGTAGAGACTCTTTGAAGGGGTCTTAAAACTTGCTGGGGTTCGAAGGGGGTCCTCACGTTCCTGAAAGAGTCTACTTTCGAGCTGGAAGCCCAGGTGTCAGCCACGTCGGGAGCAGTTCCGGGTAATTCTGTTGGTCAATACACCGCACCAAACACGAACAGCTGGTATTTGCAGGGACTATCTCGAGTCAGGACTATGAAGGATATGGTATAGACAAACATTAAAAGTAATTGCCTCACGTGAGAAGAACGTTCGAAAAAGCCTGATGTAACTCACTGCCTCCGGTTTGTTTCTGAACTGACTACAATATTGTCGTCGGTGTTCTTTCAAGAAGACGCATCTAGATAGTGGCAAGTCACAGGGAGAATGTATGGCTGGCTCGACAGTTTGCCTCAAACGAAGGCTCCAAGAAACGCAAAAATCGTTCATGAGATCCAACCCTACCCCCCCCCCCCTCCAATCCCCTCATAACTCGTAACCGCCCTGGCTTCCTTCACATGAGATTTACGATCCCACCAATTACCATGGAACCTGACAGGGGGTCGCTTTAAAAGGAAAATGGTCTTCCGGGACCCCCCCTGTCAGGTTCCGTCCTAATTGTTGGGAGGGTAGGTCCTGGGCCGGGGTATCACCCCCCCACCCCGCAACTCCTCGCCTGCGCCCAAGTTCTGCAGCGTCTTCTGCTGCGGCGTGGCGCGGCGCGCGCCGCGCGCACCGCGCGCGCCCGCCCTATTGCCGCGGCAGCGCGGCACCGCGGCGAGCGCGCAGGCGGTCAAAGCGGCGCAGCTGAGGGACGGAGCCTCCCAGGAAATGTGGCGTATACCGTATGATCCGGTGGTGGGCAAGCGCCTTCTCGAGCTAGAAGACATATGCTTTTGTGCTTGCCTGTGGAGCCTCTGGCTTCGTGCCATCTGCAAAGTTTGTGGTTGAAGCGTCTGTTGGCGTAGTCCACACCCACATTCAAGCCAAACTGACTAAAATCCAGCCCAAGCTGGTCAAGCAAAAGGGTCACTACCAGCTGCCAGCAACAATGGAATTCACCCACACCTGCACTAGGCAAACATCCGCCCATTGGAATTGACAAAAAAACACCCCCGACTTCATCCCTAGGTCGCTGAGAGATCACTTCTCAGGCCCAAAAGGTTTGCACAGTCGCCCAAATCCCAAGCCAACGCCCAAGACTCAACAGGAAGGCGAGAATGGACGAGAATGAAGATGCCCACCACATGCCAAAGCAAAAACCAACCTTCGACATAATAAAGGTCTTCCCAGGAAGAACGGTCTGTCTTACCTCTACAATTTCGAACCCACCTCCCAGGCCTCCCATGCCGCCGGCCCGCGTGCTGTCGGCCGCGAAGGCACTGGCCTGGCAGCCCAAGGACGCTATCTGCATCGAGTGCCTATAGGTCCTCCAGATTTGAGAGGTTTGAATAAGTTGGTACCGTCTCTTTTTGCTGGCTTGTCTATTTTAGTAGGGGAACTTGAACCCTCCCCCAAAAAAGGGCAAAAGGGCGCTACTGGGGGACCTAGACGAGGACTCATCAAAAGGGAAAACTCGCGCGACAGCTTCGGCAAGAGATGGCTGCATCTTGGGACCTTCAACTCTTCCATCTGGCTGTCCTTCATGAGCACTGCATTTCTACCAGCTTGGCTCCAGACGACAACTGACCCCCTGACATGATGGTTGCTACACGTTCTGCCGCGAACACTTTCTGGATTCTAGCCTCTGGGCTTGTTGCAACCTTTGAAGTCAGGAAAAAACCTTGGGGGCCAGTTACTCTGCAAACCAGCGGACAAAACAACGCCAGATCTGACGACCCACTCGCCCCACTCCGTGACGGATTCCTTCCACTCACTTCACGGATCGGCTGGCTGCGAATCGGCTCTACGAAAGCCATGGCGCCAGACAATCCCAAAATTTTGGCGCCAGGTCCAGTCAAGACTGTGACGTGCCTCACGGTCATGTGCCGGTTGCGTGGGACATGCTTCACTTGTGTTCTCAGGTCATTCAAAGCTGGCGCCTGGATAATGCTGCAGATTATTCTGAGGCGCATTCAATCACAGAGCCAAATGCTAAGTCCAAATACTCAGAGCTATCCAGAATGGTGCTGGGGTTCGGCCTTGGAGAACCCAATGCAGCGTGAATCTGTTGGGACATATCCAGAAACCCAAAGCGCAAAGCGCGCAAGTGGAAGCTCGGCCACCCCCAATGCAAGCTTGCAGTGCTGCCACCATTGCATATTGAGGTTCCCTGTGTGAAACCGATTTCCTTTTACAATCAGGTTGAAAACAAACATATTCATTTCAGCAACTGAAAGCCGCTTTGACTCCTAGGCTTCTTGGATCCTGAAAGAGAGGTTCACAAATGCTAGGAACCTCGACCGCACTGAGGTAGATACTAAGATAGCCGGCGCACTGCCATCCCATAAAAACCAAAACAAAAGCCAGAACGTTGCCCCCATCCCATCCTCACTTTGCCACCCCCGCCCCACCCCCACCCCACCCCTGACCGGAAGCCATCGTTGTGGAAAATGACACTTGTGATACCCATGGCCCCCAAATTTCTGACTTCATTTCTCAGCGTAGAACCCCATGTCGGAGGAAACGAAGGGCCTCTGCCTTCGGTAGAAAGACTGATGGATGCTCTTCACAGCCCGCAAGCATTGTGTGGTCCCTTCCGTTCAAGCAAGCACACCATGAGGCTACAAATATATATATATATATGTAGGGTGTGTTTTTTTTGGGGGGACCCCTCCAAATGATGGTTTCCTTTTTGTTTCCCTTTGAAACCCCAAACAAGCAGGATTGCCCCATATATATATATATATCTGCCCTGAAATATGAGATCGAAAAAGTCACCAAGCGCCTTCCTGGATCGGATTTGGTCGGCTCACAGGGATGACAAGGGACCAAGAGAGGCTTGGCGGCCTTTGATTTCTTGTGTTCCAATCCACTTGTAAGACCCCCCCCCCAACCCAACTTGCCCCACCCACCCATCCACACACACACATACACACACACAAACAAAAAGAAAAGAAAAGAAAGAAAGCGCCCCAACTCTCAGCATTCCCGCGAAAACAACCACTCGCGTTTCATGCGATCGTCCATGGACCAGTTCAACGTCTGGGATGCCGCACCCACCGTCACCATTCCGCGCCTCGCTGAGGTGGCTGTATATGTCAAAAACCGGGGAATGCCGTTTTGATCGGAACCCGATTGGTAAATGAGAACATGGAAAACCTGCGGTCCCCTGGTGGTTTCACTTTGACCCAGACCCATGAACGATTATGATGTTTAGGGCTGGGGACGCATTTTGGGGTTCCGTGTTGATTTGCAGGGAAGTAAGCGCCATACCCGGCACTTGGCTCGGTGTGGTGAACAGCCAAACCACTGACTTCACCATCTATAAGATGCGCCATGACCCTGCAAATGGTTGGTCTCATGTCGGGTGTCTTGCTAAAACCGTCCCCAGGAGGGTTCCTAGTATTGACACATCAAATGCTTTTCCTGTGGCCTTCCATTTCAAAACCACCAAGAATTCGAAGACAAGTATGCAGGCGCTGTGGAAGTGCAAAGATGGTGGCAGAATTCCCTCAGACGCTGATCGCACCGGCGGCCGTTGCGCACACGGTTTTTGCCATGTCAACCTCACTTGGAGAAGCGCTAGCAGTCTTGATCTGAGTTGGGTCATTGTTCATTGTGTCCTTGAAACTAATGGGAACTTGCTCATTGAGTGTGACCCATGTCATACTCTTGCCTACCGTTTGGGAGTTACATGTCGCTGATGCATTTGATGTGCGTGGAACATGCTTTGTTGGCTTGATTTCGACTTACACCTCATTGGTGTTGTTAATTGAAGGTTTGAGGAGTTGAGTCCCCAGTTTCTTTCAAACTAAAACAATACGTGGAGACCAAACCGGCCACTTGGAAAAGCGGAAACATGAGGGTGTGTCTGTTTTTAGGGGACCCCTCAAAATGATGGTTTTGTATTTAGCTTCCCCTTCAGCCCAAGCCAAACAGGGGTACCATCAACCAAAGACACACCCATGAGCCTCGGAAAGTCTTGACTGTCAGCCGAGCCAGGCCGAATCCCCGAGGGAAGAAACGACCCCGACGAGTTGGCGGTTGCTTCAGAACGCGAGTGAGGGGTTTGCTTGCGGTGGGAGAAAGAGAGCTTTGCATCACCAAGATCCCCTCAAGAATCACGCAACCTGATCCCGTCACTCCATTTCCCCAACCAATCACCGTGTCACCGAATCGCTTCCCAGGCAACCCAGTAAAACGGATAAGATGAGCCCCTCTCTCCTTACACATGTCTGATCCCCCCGATCCGTCCGTGCCACGAATTGTCCAAAATGGATCCCCTCCCATTTCGAGTTGCCAAAATGGAACCCCCCTCCTCCAAAAATGGATCTGATCCCCTCCAAAATGGATCTGATCCCCAGCCGAGGTTTGGTCCCAAATGGATCTCCTCCTCCCAGTGGCGGGTCTTTGCTCTGGGCGAATTATGATACTTCACCAACCTGAAATTTGTTCTGGTGGGGGGAATAGCTATCCCCCACACAAAGCCACCCTTTGGGGCGAGAATTCGGTCGTGAATTCGGTCGTTATCCCAGGCTGCCGCCGGGCAGCTGGTAGAGCACCGCAAAGGTCATGGACTGGAACAGCAAGCAAACGCCCCAGGGCCTGCCGGAACCGAAAAGGCCAGAAACGAGATGGAACCCAAACCCTCGGGCGAACCTCGAGATGGAAGAAGAAACCGTAGACCCCGAAGAACGCTGATTGGCTGGTTGGTTGGGGGGCTGGCTGATTGGTTGGCTGCCTGATTGGCTGGTTGGCTGTGGCTGGAGGGTTGGCTGGAGGGAGTCTGGAGGGTTTGGTTGGGCTCTGAAACTCACGGCTTCTGAACGACAGGGCCGCCCTTTGACTCAGTTGTACGCCTGACGAGGGATGCGTTTGGATTGGGGCTTTAAAACACATACTGGGTTCAAGGTTCAAGATCCCAAAGCGCCGAAAAGTGTCTGTTTTCAGTCATTCCTGTTTGGTTGCACCTTATTGATTTGGAATGGTGTGCAGTAAATGCAGTTGATAGAGCAGCATATGGACATTGGATTATCAAAATAAATAGAAAATGATTTAAGAAATCCATGCCAACCCTTGCATATTGAAAAACAAGCTGCAAATAGGCTTTGTCAGCACAGATTTCGTTCAGGGAAAATAGTTGTTTTAGCAGACAGCGTGGCATTGATCAAGGCATGAAAGATGTGAGCAGATGTTTTTTGTTGGTATTGGCGAAGGTTTGTGCGCTGAAAGACGAAGGGGATTTGCAGACGAGTTGAGATGAGTGATGGGTATGGGCACAGGATTGTAAGTTGACAGGCAAAGATGATTTGCACATCAATTGAGATGAGAAATCGAAGATGCGCAGGCGAAGTAGAAGAGGCATTGTTTTCTTTGTTGTTGATATCCTTGCACCGGTACTCTCACAGAGATGCTTTACAGTCAGTTGAACGAGGATAACATTCGTGAGGAAGACTATGAAAAAGCAAAATTGATATGGACACACTTTAACAGTAAAACATGAGAGTCAGGATTATCTCTTTTACAAATGGTTTTTGCTGTTCCAAGCGATGTTTGTTGGAATTGGCCTGTTAGGGGTCTGGGTGGGGCCAACGTTGAGGAACTGGTTGAATTTGCAAAAATGAGTGTTTTTGCAATTCCCCACCTGTACAGAGCTGTTACCTGCGAAACATCCCCTGCATTGTCGTGCTTTTGGAAGTCTATTTTTTAGGGTATTTGAGGGGGGTTGCTAGTATCTGCTTTTGATGGTTGATTTTGGGGAATATCAAAAAACCCTGGTCTTTTGCACTTTTTTGTGGCCAGCCGGCTGCAGTCCCAGCATTCCCGACATCTCTGGCATTTTCTGTGTTTGGTCAATTTTGCGTGTCTGAAAGTCTTGAAATGTTGGATGCGAAGATTGGGTCTGTTCCTGTACGTTGGGTGGTTGCATCCCTTGCATGTCCGGCATCCCCAGCATCACTCCCATGAAAAAAATGAACAAGGTCTTAAAATCCCTTGCACCCCACTGGCGTCGGCGGATCGCGTAGCGATTTCAATACATATATATATATATGCGTATGTAAGTGTCACCGTCCGATTGGAAGACGACTCAACCCAGCGAACTGCCCACAACTACTTCTCTTTGAATCAGTAAAACAAATACATGACTGCAAAGGAAAGGTGTCAGCCCTTTGTATAACTCATGAAAAGAAAGCTAATTCTATCAAATGAGAGGGGAACGAGAAAAGAAGATGATAGGAACTTATGCCGACAATGATAAAGAGTCGAAAGAGAGATAAAATAGGACCAGAGGGACGAGACTATGATGAGAAAGTGATAGCAGTAAAAAACAAATATACGGTGGTTCTCTGTTCCGCGTCTGTCCAATATCTGTGCATCTTGCTTATCTCTTGCTTTTCTTCATCCTCAAAATATGTATTGTCATATTGGAATCTGAGAAATGCGTATATCTTGTCATATACAAATTAATCATTGGCATGGCATAGAAATCTTACGGTGTCTTACCTAACTAGTTGCTTTTCTAGTTATAAACGGTTCAAAAATTCGCTGTCATGAAATTTGAAAATAGATGTATTTTAGGGTCCACAATTATTAATCACCCGCGTTTCTTCTAAGGAATATGTTGTCGAGGAATTCCTAATTTATTCATTCCGTTCCTCGCTTTTTCTGAGGATTATTTCTTCACCGGTTAACCATCAAGAGATAAGAGTTGATAAGAAGTGAGCCAATATCCACTCCATCCATTCGCTCGCCAACAGATTTCAAGCAAGGGACGGCATGTCATTATCGTATTCTTGCTTCTTTGAATTTGTGTAGGTGATTCTTACTAATGATTCCTCAAAATGCAAATCTTAGAAGCGAGCATGATAATGAGTGAGCCATCTTTTCACATCTCATCCTCACATCCCAAGCTATACCAGATGAGAGGGAGAAGATGGTGAGAGACGAAGAGAGGAATGCCATGGGAAAGGCATTCCCATCATCTCTAATAAGAAATGGCATTCCCATCATCTCTTACTCCTTGCCATGTGATAGCTCTTCATATTCTTACATTCTGGAGACACAACATTGATATGAATAAAGAGACAGCCTGAGACAGCTATCTCATGGCCAACTGTGATTCCAACTGTGATTCCGTTCCTTCCCACACCCATCTCCAATTAGTACAGATTTGACGAATTCATGGATGGGTTTGTTCATGTCGTTCCTCTCGTACCTTTCCAGGCAATAAGATGTCCAAGGTGACAAGATATATATTAAGAAAGAACAAGGTCAGACAAAGAAAATGATTAATGATACTACGTCAAATGACAGCAATGCTGGAGAAGGCGGATGATGGGTAAGATCTCGTAAAAAGTCTCTTTGCAGGGTGACAAGAGATCGAACATACCGTTCAACGACAGGAATTCATTGTAATCTACTAATGCAAGGACCCAACCTCCGTGATATCCCATTCCTTTCTTGCCGGTTCCTCGTCCCTTGTGCATTTGATGTCTCCTGTTCCCAAGGCATCATATTTTCCAATTCTTCACTCCTCCCTTTCCCACCTAATGAACTCTCAAGAATGGAAAGGTACGGATAAAAAGATAAGGTGTCAATAATATGACTTTTTGGTACGGAATTGCGCATAATTCCAGGATCCGCCATCCAAAACAGCCAGACAAACCATTTTCTTGCAGGCTCTGCCACAAAAAAAGGAAGGGGGGAGGCTCATGGCTCATGCGACCGACAATCACAGCCAACTCAAACGCCATCTGAGTGTATTGTTTCTTTGCGGGTACCTCTGCTTGGTGGTTTTGAGGGAAACCAAAAGGAAGACCTTTTTAAGAACCATGCTGACTCCAAAAAAAAGAAGAAGAAGAAAACCGCCTGGGGCGCCAAAAGACGGCGCCATCTGGGGTCCCTGACACCATGAAGATGAAGAGGTCCACGCACATCTCAGACTTCATCTTCCTCCGGCCCCGAAAAGAAAGAAGAAAAAAAGCGGCAGGTCTCGAGAACCTTCGCGAGAAGTCTCTCTTCCTGTTCTGACACAACTTCGTGTTGAATTCTGGGCAAGCCAATTTTTGTTCGCTCATACGCTTTGAGCGTGGAACTAGAAGAGCCTCCAGTCACTCCCTGTCATCCGAGAAAGAACAGCGCCTCGGAACCCCCCAAATGGGTTGGTGTCGTTTTCTTTTGGTGTTATTTCAAAACTCACACGGAAAAAGAAAGACACCCTGGCACATCGTGCACGGTCATCTCGGTCTCTTGATTTCTCTGCTTCTCAATTGGACCCAGGACGCCAAGTTGCAAGGTCGAGTTGCCATGCTGAAAGGCAGTTGCATGGATCGTTGCACGGATCTCACCCATGTAAGGTTTCACTTCCAGGACGGCTTCGGTTCCTGAGATGTGCCTTTTCAACATCAGCGCACACTTGAACGTCGCCGAAAAAAGATGCAAAGATGTGCATATAATATAAGCATAGCCCGTGACCTTTCCAGGCTCAAACTGATTGAGAGAAGGCTTGCCATGGTGAATTACCTCATGCAAGCATGCCCGGGTTGATTTACAAGGGGAACGATGCCCAATCCCAAACGGTGTTCATGCGTGAATGTCTGCAGGCGGAAATGGTCTCACATGTCAAGTCAAACTTGTTTTGGCGTGTTTGGGAGGTGGTGGTATGGTCGGCGGGTTCAGCATTCCATGAAATGAACGAGCTGGTGCTTGAGTGAATCATATCGAATCCCCATGATCTGCATAACTGCTTTCTGCCATGGAGATTGTGCAAACCACAAGAGCCAGACACATTCCTTCTTAAGATCGCAAAACTGAGGCAGTCGACTGTGACTCCAGCACAAACCTCATTCTGGGCAAAAAGCAGGTGACACACTCAAGTGGCCAGAACTGAACATATGCCACACAGCTCAGATCGGAATCCAGGCCAGGTGAGAAAAACCGCAGACATCTCTAAACCCAATCTAAAAGGACCCCATCTTGGCAGGAACCAACAAACCACACACAACATGTCCAAACATCCGGTCGAAACCGAAGCATAGTTGTCCAGCCATGGACAAGCACCAAGAACACGATCACACGCGCGCCGGTTCTATCCTCTGGAAGCCACTGGAAGGTTTCTTTGTTTTTCTCACGCCTCCCAAAGAAACAAAAACGCAGATCCGTGTCGCGGGTTGAGTCTAGCTGCCTCCCAAAGAGGAAAAACGAAAAAAAAACACGAAGATCCGGTTCACCTCAAGGGATCTGCGTTTGAGGCAGGGCGCCGGGATGGAAAGCCCTCCACCAGGATGGCGGTGACGAAGCCAAAGAGCAGCGTGGACCTCGGAGACTGTTTTTGTTCAGCACCGAAAACCGCGCAGTCCGCTCGCTCGCGAGCTTCTTTTTTTGGGCCGAAGGCGGGAAAATTGGTTGGTGAAGCAACAAAATGTGAGGCCGAATTTTTACTTTCGGTCGGAGGTGGGGCATTTTGTTTGTTGAAGCCACCAAAATTTGAGTCCAGACCCAGAAACATATACCGGGCGGTCTGGCCTTCTTCTTTTGTGCGGGCGTCCGATTTCCTGGTCTGGTTGAAATGGGACAGCCAAGGGAAACAGACCATTTTCGGGAGGGCCCCGAAAGAAATGGCCCATATCAAGTCCAGCCGGGAGAACAAAGCAGCAACCTGCCATGCGTGAAGGTCGGAAGACTTCAAACTTGAATAGCACCTCTGGAAGCTGTTGCTTTTCTAAGGGTGGCATCATTTTAGGGTTTCCTTCATTTTCTTGTTCGGCTTTCGTGAAAAGGAAGCGGTTTGCTGAAAACCGGCTTTTTGAGGAACGGACTTCATACCTCACGAATAGGTCTTCTGTGAGATGGGCTGCTGAAAAACCCTTTACTAGCAGAGCGGAGACCCCGGTTCCTCGAAATGATTCGGGGAACAATGAGCAATGATCAACGAGCTCCAACAGGTCCATTTTCTGCGAGGCGTCGCGCAACTCGATTGGATGCCCCACCATTTGCCACACCAACCGTGAATCAGGTTGCAGGGGAAGCTTCAACCATACAAAACGCACACCCGCAAGCTGAGTGACTTGAGCGTGTCGTTTGCGCCAAGTTGGATGGTGAGGAAGGCGTTGCCGCCTTGCTAACGAGCATGTTGTTCATTGATCTGGTCTTCCGGTACTAGTTTAGCCGCGTCTTTGGCTGTGGCTGGGCTTCGCCGGCGTTCGCAAAGTAGCTTCCCTGAATACAGAACCCCCACCAAAAAAAAGAAGAAGCAGGTTCCCCTTCATGTAATTCTCTAGGTCCAGTAGAGCGGTTACAATAAGGCTACCCTTTTTTTTCTGTGGTCTACTTTAGTAAAAGAACCCTCCCAACCAAAAAAGAAACTAAAAGAAACGGCACCTAGCTGGGGGACCGAGCCAAGCACCAAGCAAACACCCCCATCGGATTTGGCGTCCGGTGCAATTTTTTGCATAATCTACTGCCCCCGGCTTCAGCGTGAGGTTCTGCGAGCTGTCCAGCCGCTCCTGAGGTGCACGTGCCCACCGCTGTAGCCCGCTCTGAGTTTATGTCGTGGAAGCCAAATGAGTCACCATCAAAACCAAAATCGGCAAAATGGTCTAATGAATTCAGGCAACGGATTCCGCGCTTGCACGGCAGCAGTGCGGGAGAAAAAAACACCTTCATCTACCCGGGCGTTGATTGTGGCTCAGTTGAGAAGCGCTTACGGCTGGCCCGCAGGAGGGCGAGGACGCAGCTTGGGGGGAAGCTGACATGGCTCCTCTTTGGCTCGAAAGGAAGGCCAATGCCGCTCAAAGACGAAGAATGCCCGGAAAACGGAAAAGGGGGGCAGGGGGGGGCGGCCCCTTTTCAGTGGTGATTCAGGCGAAAGCCACGGCAAACCGACCACTTTTTGGAGGTCCGTCACTTTGGAAGAGATATATATATATATATATATTGGAAATCAAATGCGGAAGATGGCAGAACGGACTTGGGAGTTGTGCATGTGTTTAACTTTAAAAATAAGTTTTGCTGCCGCTCCTTTTGATTCTCCTTCACAATGAAACCACGGAGTTCATCACAGTGCGCGATTTGTTCCTTCCTTTTAAACCATTTCAGAAGGCTGCTCTCTCGTTTCGACACACACACACACACACGCTCACCCAAAACAAACTTGGTCATGACAAATGAAGGATTTGGCCATCCACACAATTTTCTGCTGCTTCCTGACCCTCTCCAGACAGCACGAAGAGCCTACTATCTGGTGAGGCCACTTGTTTTCAGGTTTAAATTCCGCCATTCCGGGTTTCATGACACTTGCCAGCATCAAGGCAGCTGTGGATGGCGCAAATGGGCACGCAAAAAAACGGCCCAGCTTGCAGGCGGAAAGCGGCTTTTGCCTGAGGTCGGCGCACTCAGCAGGTCCCGCACATCCTCACGGAAAGACTCCAGCCGGCTGTGCCTGCGCTGCCGGGATCCGGGAGAAGCGAGAGGCGAGAAGCCCGACAGGGACGAAACTGGGAAATGGAAATCCTGGAGCTTCGGAACGCAACGAGTCTTTGATGCAACTTCATTGATTGGATTCTGGGCAAGCCACCTTTTTGTTCCCTCATACGCGGCTCGCTCGCGGCGCGCCTCATCTGCACCACATGCTGGTTCTTGGCCACGTGCTCGGAGCTCATCATAGGGCCCACCTTCCAGGCGTCCAGGTTCCCGCTCAGAGCGGCTGATGGTTTTTTTTTGGTTGTTTTCTCTCGTTGTTTGTCTTTCTTTCTTTTTGTGTGTGTGTTGATGGTTCGTTGTGTTTTTGTTTGTCTTGTTTGTTGTTTGTGTGTCTTGTTGTTCTTGTTTGTGGTGTTTTTGTTGTGTGTGTGTGTGTGTTTTTTGGGGGGGAGGAAGGGAGGGTTGGGAATCTCCAATGGATGGTTGGGAAATGATTTTAAACATTGGGCTGATGGGTTTGTGTTGGGAATCCCCAATGGTGGTTGGGAAAATGATAAAACTTTGGGCTGTATGCAGTCAAACAGGCCCCATTTTGCAGCCAAGAACCGGGAATCACACGGGTTGGGACCCCTGAAAAATGGGGTGGTGGTGGTGGGTAAAGGGAAACCCATCATTATGTTTAAGAAACAAGGAGACGCCTATGTCGCATGTTTGCCCAGTTTGCGCGGGAGCCTCCTTTTGGCGTTCCCACCAATTCACAGGGAAACTGACATTTCACTTGGGTGCTGTAGATCCCCCCGCAAAAGTTTAACTTTTTGCTGGTTAAAAGGCAATATGAGGGGAATCCAACAAGTTAAGGTCTAAAGATCCAACCCAATAGCTGTAGCATTCAGGGGGTTGTGGTCTGGCCCATTGTCCCTAAGAGACGTCCCGTGTCCCGGGTCCGTCAGGTCCCGGGTCCGCCGGTCCCCAAATCGCGGCGGGCAGGCGGCCAGGAGAACATCCAGGGCCACCTGAGGCGAAAGAAATCCCGATGTCCACCGGTCATGTGGATGGTTGCGAAATCCTCGGCACCGTTCAGAAATCCTATGATTCGATTCCCCAACGTAAATACCAACAAAGAAAGGCTTCAACCCTCCACAGTAGTCTCATTAGGAACACATTGTCCATTGATTGTAAATACCAACAAACAATGGTTTCAACCATGGTGTCAAAGTGGTGCGAACGGATTTCGTCCATGCACAGTAGTGGTTACTTGCTTCGCCCGACTCTTTCAGATTTCAGATTAGGCCTCATATGGGTGTGTGCGGGTGTTTTTTAGGGAACCCCCCCCCCAATCATGGTTCTCCTGTTGGCTTCCCTTTCAGGCCCCCAACAAAAAGACAGACCAAGACCTAGCCTACCCAGAAAAACAAGATTCGGGATCTTATGCTTCTAGGTCCTCCAGTAGAGAGGTTAGAGTAAGGGTACCCGTTTTTCGGTCGTCGAGTTTAGTAGGGGAACCCTCCCAAGCAAAGAAGGGGTGAGAGATCGGGCACCTAGCTCGGGGAATCTTCGCTGGCGCCATGGACTCTGCATGCAATTTCGACCGCACCGCATATGAAGAGATCTGCCGAAACGGGTCGGTTGCGACCTTCAGACCATTCCCAGAACCGGGAAGATGTCAAAGTGCAGCTGGTGTCCAACAAATGCCGGCTGAAGAGCAGAACATCAAATGGAATACTCAACACAAAGACTGTTGGCAATGTCATGTCCGGATAAAAGTCATGTAACTGGTATGAAACTCATATGGTATGAAAACAAGTGGAAAGTCAACATGGCAGCATGGTGATTGTCCTTTTAAGTGTCCCGAACCAACCTGGTTAGCTTCGTCTCCACACACCGCGGGCACAGTAGGCCGAGGCGCACGGCCCATGTCAACGAGGGCCGCCATTGAGAGAGGAGGGGCGAATCAAAGCGGCGATAGGCTCGATGGCCGATCTCCCGCGCTGGGGAAGGACACGTGGAACACAACAGCTTCCGCAAGACCAAAATGAACCATCCCTATGACTCCGACAAACTTCGACTTGTTTATGACTCCAAGTGGTAGCACCCAGCTGAGATGACTTCTTGCGGCTCATTGTTTATCACCAAAGCATATTGTTGAGGCAGAGTCTGCTCAAGGATTGTCTTTTTGAACCTGCTGGCGCACCACAACTCGCTGCATTTCAAAAAAAGCCAGCCACGCAAAAGCCACGGTATTCGTTTCCCAATTGTACGTGCTCAAGTTCACTTACCAAGCTACTGGCCCTGCCAAGTTGCAGTCCAAAGAAGAAATCTTGGGCTCCTTCCTTCCGGAAAACGTGGCCTCTCTGACTTGTGGGGCACTTCTGCCGGTCACATCTTCGAGCCACGGGGCGATCCTTTTTGGGAAGCGCGTAAAAGACACGCTAGGCGAGCCAAAGGCGGAGGATGCGGCAGGGATCCAAGCCAAGTTCGCCCCCCCTCTCCACCGTGCGTTCCCGGCGGAAGTCCCACATTTTCCCACGAGTTTTCCACAGCTCCTCACGCCTTTCACTCGGTTTGGGCCGAGAATCGGGCAAAACTTGGTGGGTCTTTGGGGTGCTAAGAAATGGCCTGAGCTCTTCGTATCCTGGAAGATGGCCACAGATTCCAGGGCAAAGCCTTGGACAGCACACAGAACATATGCTCTGATTCTGTTCCGGATTTAGTCTGTCCCAAAACAAAAAATGTTGCTGCTACTCTATCCTGAAATATAAGTATGCTTAGAGACCCCAGAAACATACGGAGCATGCGTTGATCCAGCGATTCAAGCATCTCGCGACGCACAATCTGTGGATCTGCCCCCTGCTTTTTGGCGGTCCGAGCCTGCGCGACTTGCCACACAGAAGCATGAAACCGTTCTCATGGCGGTCCCCTAACCTGGTTCGCCTTTCCCTCAGAATACCAACCGCAAGGGGCCCGACATTTGAGAAATAGTCATTTATATATATGTATATATATATATTTATATTTATATATATATATATATGTGTCTACACATGCATATATGCTTACATACTAAGTATTCGTATTCAGACATAAACAGTTCGAATGCCCATGACCACATATTGGCCTGCCCTGAGTAGCATGTTTTGCCTCGTGGGATCCGATATCCAGCCCTCTGTGACCAGACGAGGAAGCCAACCAACCAACAAACCAACCAAGCAACCAACCAACCAACAAACCAACCAACCAACAAACCAACCAAGCAAGCAAGCAACCAACCAACCAACCAAACAATCATTCAATCAACCAACCAATCATTCAATCAACCAACCAATCATTCAATCAACCAAACAATCATTCCATCAACCAAACAATCATTCCATCAACCAATGAAATCAGATCATCTCACATCCAATCCAAAGTAATCCATCAATCCACCGTATCAGACCCGCCCCCTTCCCCCGGCCAGCGTGCCTCTGCAGCCAGCTCGGCTTCCTGGGGCGAGGGCGGCACCACTTCACCTCCGGACGCTGGACGGGTCCCGCGGTCCCGCCGTCCCGGTCCCGCCCCCGTGAGATGAGAGGCGCTTCCAGAACCTGCAGGTGTTCATCCCGGAGAAAAAAAACAAAAAACAAAAAACCAAAAACAAAAAAAACGAGCCCACCGTTCTTTTGCTAGGTCCTCCAGATTTGAGAGGCTAGAATAAGGGTACCCACTTTTTGGTGTAGTCTGTTTTAGTAGGGGAACCCTCCCTACCAAAAAAAAAGGTGAGAAAGGACACCTAGCTGGGGGACCTAGTTTTTACTAGGGGGGCGCTGTAACAGCAGTGAAGTCGCGTTATCTAGACACAACATGACCTTTAAGAGACAGATTTATATAGCCTCGAACCAGGCACCAACCGTTGCAAGGCTCCAAGAACCCCGGAAGGGGTGCCTCAAACCCCGGCGGCCTTCGGGCCCATGTTTTCACTGAGATGTTGGGCTTCGAAAAATGAGGTTCGGCGCAGATCGGCCGCATTTTCGAGCCTGGGGATGTGGCTCCAATGCGGGTCGCTCCGACGAGTTGCGGATGAAACACGGATCTTCCGATTTACTTGCGGGTGCTCTGTAGGGAATGACTCCAGGCTGTTGGGAATCAACCGGAAGCGGATTCCCTCAAGGGAGAATGGCTTGATGACTGACTGACTGATTGACTGACTGACTGATTGGTTTGTTGGTTGGTTGGTTGGTTGACTGACTGACTGACCGACCGAGTGATTGATTGATGATTGGCTCCTCTGCCTCATTGATGGAACCAAGTCATGCATCTCATTCGTCGCTTCTTTCATTCCTGAACCGATAGCCTGCTGCACTCGTCTGATTAATCTCATTAGCATCTGCTTGGGCGTCGGCCGGCCTTGGGGGCCAGACTCCTCAGCTGTTGGGTGGTTGGGCTGGTTGGGCTGGTTGGCTCATTGGCCGTTGCGTTGGGTTGTTGATGGTTTTGTTGGGCTGCTGCTCTTGCTGGGCTGTTGGGCTGTGTCGTTTTAGATCAACATTTAGCCCAAAACCCAGCTTTTGGGCTTTCGGTCCCTATTCGATGTGAATCTGCAGAGACATGCCTAGACTGGGCGTCTTTCACAGGGATATCCTGAACAAATATAAGGTGCTTGAGAACATCACAGGCATTTCCGGAAAAGAAGAAAAAAGTTATTATTAGTTTTATTTTTATTTTATGTTTTAAAGTTAAAAAAAAAAAAAAAAAAAAAAAAAAAAAAACGGCAGGTCTGCTACCAAGGGACCACACAGCCCTTGTTGAAACTCTGGCGGATGGAATTTGGTGAAAGCCCAGAGTCTTCACACGAGGTGCCAGGGAGATCTTCCTCCTGATTAGTGCTTTGGTTTGGTAGTTTGGACCATTGGGTTCTTAGCTTCCCCATTTGGTGTGAAGGGTTCCTGGGGTTGAAATCCCAAACCACCAATCCAAACAGCTAATTAGTGCTTTGGTTTGGTGGCTTGGACGTTTTTGCTACCTTCCCCATTTGGTTTCAAAGGCTTCCTATCCCAAACCACCAATTCAGGGGGGAAGCTCAGCCATTGATTCCCCCGCTGCCCGTTGCCTTCCTGGCCATTCAGCTCTGCAGCGCCTGCATTCGGGCTGGCAAAGTCTCGAAAGCCCCGCGGCCGAAAAAAAAATTAGGCATCCAGCTCTGAAGAGTAACTTCTCTGCAAGTGTTCTGTAATTCTCCAGTAGTCCTGCATCCTTCCAATCTTGCTGGCAGACTGTTCCGTTTGGCCATGTCGCCAAGATCGCCATTCCGTTCGGCCATGTCCCCAAGACAGCATAGCACGCAAGCGCTGCCCCCCCCTTCCCCCGCCGGCACGCAAGCGCTATCTATCCCCGCGCCCCGCCTGTCAGCCCCCGGATCGTCACCTTGCTGCCCGCCGGGAACCGCCGCACCACCGTCGGCTCCGCCACCTCCACAGCCGGCGCGGCGGCCGCCGGAGGCGGCCGCCGGAGCGGCGGCCGCGGGCACGGCCGCAGCGGGCGCGGCGGGTGGGGAGGGCGCTGCTGCTGCGCCCTGGGCGAAGGCCAAGCTGGGAGACACGCCGAGCCGAGTAGAAAGGCTAGAATCATAGGTGTCCTTTGAAGGCAAATAGATGATGGTAGATGATGAAACCACCAGGTAAACCAGGGCCATCTATTTCTCCACCAAAACAACCAAAAAGGACACCTATGGCTGGAATCCTGCACTTGCTTCAGAAGAAAAAAACACGGTAGTCATAGGCTCCCTTTGAAACCAACCGGGAAAATAGACATCTTGCTTTCGGCCCCGTTCAAGAAGAAGAAGGAGAAAAGACGGCAGTGATAGATTCTAACACCAAACAACTTGCCTAAGAAGAAGAAAACAACGGTAGTGATAAATTCCCTTTGAAACTGACAGGGAAAATAAACATGCCTAATGTCCACAGCTTTGGCATACACGCACGCACATACACACACACACATACACAAAAACACACACCTGCAGATTTTACGAGGAGGGCACTGGAATGAAGAAGTTACTACGACATCTCATCTGAACATGATGCGTGGTGTATGCTGCGAACCTGGGCGTTTCGTGAAACATGATGGCATACCTGGTATGCTTCTCTGTTCAGAGGCAACACTTGCTGGTTCTCAGCAGGGAATGAGTTGGAACGACCCTATATACCGTCCATCCTATCCTACAGGACTCCCTATATTTCCCCTTAAAACATCACCCCCACCAAGGGACACTCACCTTTCATGGGCCAAAAGGATGATGTTTAAAATCGCCACAATGGGACATATAGGGACCCCTGTCCTATGGTGTCCTGAAAATTTCGGGAATCCCCTTCAGGTTCATTCCCACCCGGAAGGTCACCCCAGCAGCAGCAAGAAAACAAGCCTTGTCATTGCAACCAGAGCAATGTGTTTACACCCTTGCAGAAGTGTGGCTGTTGAAAAGTATGTGCACTGTTTGTGTATACACATATATATATATATATATATAAAAACCCGGAATCAACATCTGGGAAAAGACTGCTTCAGTCATGACTATGCGGAAATAACGTGTCATCTTTACTCGTGTCATGACCATTTAAAAGAAAGAATAAGCAAAAACAAAAGACATACTCACAAGAACCCGGACGCTACATGATGAACCCCACCGGTCTTCGAAACATCCCCCACTGGCCCACGCGACGTGTTCTCCAAACACGGCTCGTGCTTGCGGGGTCATTGCCACCGGCAAGAATGGTTCTCTCTTGTGGGTACACGAACAGCAAGTTTTGTGGTAGATTATTGTTATGTTTTAACCAGATCGGTGTTTACCCACCAATTCCGATACACCTTTCGAGCATAGGTGACCTGTTGGAAAAACATAGTTCCCTGGCAAATGGAAGAAGACCAACTGAAGCCAGAAGAACCCATTCGAAGCTTGGC